ACATTAGTAACATTGTCATGCAGACAGATATTTTAAGACACAGTTGTTGTGGTGAAGAAGGCGCAACAGAGCCTCTTCAACCTCAGGAGGCTGAATAAATTTGGCTTGGAACCTAAAAGCCTCACAAACTTTTACAGATGCACAATTGAGAGCATCCTGTTGGGCTGTATCACCACCTGGTACGGCAACTGCACCGCCCGCAACCGCAGGGCTCTCCAGAGGGTGATGCGGTCTGCCGAACGCATTACCGGGGTCAAACTACCCACCCTCCAGGACACCTACAGCACCCGATGTCACAGGAAGGCAAAAAATATCATCAAGGACATCAACCACCCGAGCCACTGCCTGTTCACCCCGCTATCATCCAGAAGGCGAGGTCAGTACAGGTGCATCAAAGCTGGGACCGAGGGAATGAAAAGCTTCTATCTCAAGGCCATCAGACTGTTAAATAGCCATCACTAGCACATTAGAGGCTGCTGCTGCCTATTGAAATCACTGGCCACTTTAAGAAATGGAACACTAGTCACTCTAATAATGTTTACATATCTTGCATTACTCATCTCATATGTATTACTGTATTCTATAATATTCTACAGTATCTTAGTCCATGCCGCTCTGTAATTGCTTGTCCATATATGTATATATTCTTAATTCCATTCCTTATTTAGATTTTTAGATTTGTGTGTATTGGGTATATGTTGTGAAATTGTTAGATATTACTTGTTAGATATTACTGCACTGTCGGAGCTAGAAGCACAAGCATTTCGCTACACCCGCAATAACATCTGCTAAACACGTGTATGTGACAAATAACATTTGATTTGATTTATAGCATAAATAACAGTGTTCATTCTATCATATTACATTTCATAATGTATATATCTATTATATCTACAGTGGCTTGAGAAAGTACTCACTCCCCTTGGCATTTTTCCTATTTTGTTGCCTTAAAACCTGGAATAAAATTGGATTTTTGGGGGGGTTGTATCATTTGATTTACACAACATGCCTACCACTTTGAAGATGCAAAATATATTTTTTTGTGAAACAAACAAGAAATAAGTAAAAAAAACAGAAAAATTGAGCGTGCATAATTATTCTCGGGATTATGAGAGGTGTTGGGTTTGCGCCAGACAAAGCGTTTTCCTTGATGGCCAAAAAGCACAATTTCTGTCTCATCTGACCAGAGTACCTTCTTCCACATGTTTGGGGAGTCTCCCACATGCCTTTTGGCGAGCACCAAATGTGTTTGCTTATTCTTTTCTTTAAGCAATGGCTTTTTTCTGGCCACTCTTCTGTAAAGCCCAGCTCTGTGGAGTGTACGAATTAAAGTGGTCCTATGGACAGATACTCCAATCTCTGCTGTGGAGCTTTGCAGCTCCTTTAGGGTTATCTTTGGTGTCTTTGTTGCCTCTCTGATTAATGACCTCCTTGCCTGGTCCGTGAGTTTTGGTGGGCGGCCCTCTCTTGGCAGGTTTGTTGTGGTGCCATATTCATTCTATTTTTTAATAATGGATTTAATGGTGCTCCGTGGGATGTTCAAAGTATCTGATATTTTTTTTATAACCCAACCCTGATCTGTACTTCTCCACAACTTTGTCCCTGACCTGTTTGGAGATATCCTTGGTCTTCATGGTGCCGCTTGCTTGGTGGTGCCCCTTGCTTAGTGGTGTTGCAGACTCTGGGGCCTTTCAGAACAGGTTTATATATACTGAGATCATGTGACACTTAGATTGCACACAGGTGGACTTTATTGAACTAATTATGTTACTTCTGAAGGTAATTGGTTGCACCATATCTCATTTAGGGGCTTCATAGCAAAGGGGGTGAATACATATGCACGCACCACTTTTCCGTTATTTATTTTTTTGAATGATTTGAAACAAGTTATTTTTTTCATTTCACTTCACCAATTTGGACTATTTTGTGTATGTCCATTACATGAAATCCAAATAAAAATCTATTTAAATTACAGGTTGTAATGCAACAAAATGATGAATACTTTTGCAAGGCACTGTATATCTTATTATCATCATGATTGTAAATCTATTTTCATAGTTAGAGTAAGGCCAGGATTAAATCCGTTCCTACTTTGAGCAGACATATGCAGCGTTTACTATGAATACGGTCTCTGCCAAGGCGGGAACATTGCCTTTAAAGGCGCAGCCTAAGTGCAAACATTCAGATTTTGTTTTCTTGTTATATAGATCTGACTATAGCCTAGTAAAATATGTCATGACACGAATGGAAAAGAAAACAGTTCCACATAGATATGACCATAATTATATAAAAAAGTTTAATATGAAATAATGTTTTCAAAATAAGTCATAGAACATGTGTCATAGAACCTTGTGTAGGTTTGTTTTCTCTCACATAAACAAATATATACGAGCAGTGTTTTAAAATAACAGCTTGTATATATCGACATTTGCAAGAAAAGTTTAAACAATAGATAATATACATTTTATATTCATACTCATATAGACGATAAATGTACATTTTGTATAGTAAAAACATTTATTTTAACAAGTTTTGTACCTACATTAATCAAAAAAGTACAGCATATTTAATAATTTTACAAATTCTTCATAAAAAATATATTTCTGTACAAAAACATTTTCTTTTGCACCTACTTCCAGTCAGCAGCACGTGATATCTCTATGTTGTAAAATGGAATGATATTAAACTGAATGCAGTTATACACCTCTTTAGTTGGGAAACCATTTTACAGATGTTGAAAGAAAAACGTTATTGCAGCAAGCCCAAAGGAAGGCAAAATGTGGATTAAAAGCAGTGGGTCTTACATCAAAATGTTTACAAAGAAAGGGGATGATTTGATTCATTTCCGTCTTAACCCTATTTATTAACAACACTGCTGTACAGTGTGTAGGTGTGTAATGAACACTAGATATCATTTGAAATGTAAAATGCTAAAATCGTTTGTAGAAAAATTAAGGAAATTAAAATGCTTCTGATTTTCCAAACATACTTCACACATTAAATGCATCATACTCAGGGGAATCTAAGTTGTGCTACTATGGCCACAAATACAACAGATATGAAATGGAATCTGATATCTCACAAGATTATAATACACATTTTGTCACTGGTGCATTGATCTCTAAGCAAGTGCATATGAAAACAGATTTCGAAAAGCCAAGCTAAGATAGTTCCTTTACTGTAAGTTTTGAACATTATTCGTGAATACATGCATAACCAAAATTCTTAGGAAAAACAACAAGCTAATCTATGACTTTGGAATCACAGTGTACTGTAAGCATTCAAGTAGCCTTACACTCTCAAGCGTTAGTGTTGTAATAGGTCATTTGTAACTGTGACAGCTTTTGAATTGAATAAGGCAGTGTTTCTTGGAGTGTAAGTAAGTAGTCTATGTTCAATTCATCATAATTGACTCAATACCCTTAAGGATAGGAGGGACATATCATAAAGGGGGGAAACAGAGTATTAAAACTAGCTTCTAAACGACCTGCTCATGCCACTGCTAAAGGAGGATTGCTATCCAACTTGATTCCCCACCTTGCCTTTAGTAGGCCTACCAAAACAAGGTTGTGTATCAGAGTTAAACATGGCATAATCTTATGGCACATATAAACTAAAATACATTTATGCATTAAAACTGTGATTTAAAGCAACGGCAGAAATTATGAAAAACAAACATTTGATTAGTCCCAGTATTGTAGAGTAGAAAAATGAAGTCCGTCTGCGCGGATATGAATATGAGCTATATTTGAAACGTAAGCGAATTTGCAGCAAGACCACAAGATAGGACTGCAAACTGTTGTGTAGGGTTCCGAATGTTAACAATGTTCAATGCCTGGGTAATGTCAAATAAACTACAATATGAACAGCAAACTGATGATCGAAAATATAAACAAACATTAATGACTAACATGCATGATACATACTGTAAGTATTTGATGCAATTTACAGTATACAACAATATTGAGCATTGTTGTTTTTTTTCAGAGCACAGGAGCCAGATCAGTTTGCTCTGCGGTAATATTAATCTGGGAATAAAATGAAAAATCATTCACGATTGCTGCACATTTGCATGTACACCAGTTGCTCCTTAATTTTTATTTGTGGATTTAAATGTTGCTTGATAAGCTGCATGGTGTTTGTGACTCCAGAGTTAAAATGCATTTATATAACCATGTAAAACAGTAAGGAGGGTGTTCCATACATTTATTTGCAAAACTAATATTGAAAATAAAATAAGCATCTCTATTGATAAACAGTAGCATGACATCATGCTCCTCGTGAATATGGAAATATACTGTATTTTTAATCTACAAATGGTCAAAAACCCTGTACGTCATTTTTCAGTTAGTTTGAAAATTCCTCTTTTGACTCATTTCATACCCATTCATAACACACTAGTGCAAAATTTGTGCGATAAAGTTTTTCAACACAACAGGTGAGCGAGTTCCTAGATTAGATAGCCATGTTCTCCTGCGAGACAGTTGTAGTTATAGCATATGTTCCCTTTATTGGAGAAGTCTGGCAAGGAATGAGCAGCAACATGTTCAAAGTTGCTTCCTCCTTTGTTGTACATCTTCACTGAAGAAAACACTTTTTTATCAACAATTATGTGGCTTTTCAAGACACTTTAGTATTTCCCCAAGCAGGGCCTTTGGGGGCCAAAAGACAGAACAAAAAGTAAAAAGGAAGGAGAATGAAAACAACTTTCAAAGAAAAATAAAATGCAGAACTCCTTGATCCTAGAGAGAATCTTCTCTGCTTTATTTTCCTGGCCACATACATGATCTCTGCTCCATAGAACACCAATAGTTGTCGTTTTATTTTTCGTGGCAAGTCCATATAAAATTGTCATTGATTTTAAATTGTGTATTTTATCATCTCCACAGAGAGGTTATAACGTGATGAGTCAAAGAAATATTGGCATCTGGCGAAAAAGAAGATACTGCTTACCACGAGGTATGGCTGTAAAAGCCAGTACAATGTTGGCGATAAGAGGGCTATACCACTGTGCAGACTGTGTTCAGAGTTGTATCAAACCTCACAGCTTTCGCCTCAGTGGGTTTCATGTTTGTGTCATACATAGGGTTTTCAAACGACGCTTGTCCATTTGTGTTTTCATGACCGGTGTAGCCATTATATTGTACTTTTGGTCTTGTTCTGAAAGGTAAACAAATAAAAAGTGTTAATACATTTACGTTATATAACTAATAAAAAGTGTTAATACATTTACGTTATATACAGTGGGGAAAAAAAGTATTTAGTCAGCCACCAATTGTGCAAGTTCTCCCACTTAAAAAGATGAGAGAGGCCTGTAATTTTCATCATAGGTACACGTCAACTATGACAGACAAATTGAGAAAAAAAATTCCAGAAAATCACACTGTAGGATTTTTTATGAATTTATTTGCAAATTATGGTGGAAAATAAGTATTTGGTCACCTACAAACAAGCAAGATTTCTGGCTCTCACAGACCTGTAACTTCTTCTTTAAGAGGCTCCTCTGTCCTCCACTCGTTACCTGTATTAATGGCACCTGTTTGAACTTGTTATCAGTATAAAAGACACCTGTCCACAACCTCAAACAGTCACACTCCAAACTCCACTATGGCCAAGACCAAAGAGCTGTCAAAGGACACCAGAAACAAAATTGTAGACCTGCACCAGGCTGGGAAGACTGAATCTGCAATAGGTAAGCAGCTTGGTTTGAAGAAATCAACTGTGGGAGCAATTATTAGGAAATGGAAGACATACAAGACCACTGATAATCTCCCTCGATCTGGGGCTCCACGCAAGATCTCACCCCATGGGGTCAAAATGATCACAAGAACGGTGAGCAAAAATCCCAGAACCACACGGGGGGACCTAGTGAATGACCTGCAGAGAGCTGGTACGAAAGTAACAAAGCCTACCATCAGTAACACAATATGCCGCCAGGGGCTCAAATCCTGCAGTGCCAGACGTGTCCCCCTGCTTAAGCCAGTACATGTCCAGGCCCGTCTGAAGTTTGCCAGAGTGCATTTGGATGATCCAGAAGAGGATTGGGAGAATGTTATATGGTCAGATGAAACCAAAATATAACTTTTTGGTAAAAACTCAACTCGTCGTGTTTGGAGGAAAAAGAATGCTGAGTTGCATCCAAAGAACACCATACCTACTGTGAAGCAAATACTTATTTTCCACCATAATTTGCAAATAAATTCATTAAAAATCCTACAATGTGATTTTCTGGATTTTTTTTTCTAATTTTGTCTGTCATAGTTGACGTGTACCTATGATGAAAATTACAAGCCTCTCTCATCTTTTTAAGTGGGAGAACTTGCACAATTGGTGGCTGACTAAATACTTTTTTCCCCCACTGTAACTCTACTAGCTATGACTGTTTTTTTTTACTTATCAGACAAATGTGACTTTGTTTCATGAAGGGATGTTAATGAATAGCAAAAAGTGCAATGACGAAGCAAAAACTCTTTCCCACTTGAGGAATCTCTGTACATTATTGTAACTGCATCTTCAAATATACCAAATAAGAAGTAATAAAACCCATAGCTAAGGAAAATATGTTTCAGCTCTCACTGACCTGTTTTTAATCTTCAATATAAGATCAATGTAAAGACCTTGATTCCCAGGAGCATTTTGTAAATCTTTACTTTGAATCAAATCAAATTGTATTGGTCGCGTACACAGCTGTTATCGCGAGTGTAGCGAAATGCTTGTGTTCCTAGCTCCAACAGTGCAGTAAACGTAATGTTCCTTCCATTACCTTACAAATCTCACTAAGTAAGACAAATGCAGGTTAAGTGACTACCTGGAGGGTTTAGTGTCTTCTACATGAACTTTGTGTGGCTATAAAAAGTCCATCAACTGATCCCACATCAAGGCATGGTTAAAGCAGGATCTATCTGCATGTGTGGAGAATACCTCTGCATTTTCACCAACACGTTTCCAAAGCCTTGCAAAGTGTCTGTGGGAGTATGAACGCGGTAGAGTACAGATGTAGGATCTTAATTTGAGCCAGTTTTCTACAGCAGGAAAATAATCCTGCAGCAACTGGAAACGTGAATTATTATGTGGATTATAATTCATTTACATTTTTATAGGGGTTGATACTTTTTCTGTAAGGGAAAATGAAGTAAGAAATTTCAAAGTGGACATTTCAAACTTCAGAAGCCATTTTAAACCTGAAATACACTACAAGTTATACTGCAAAACGGTGATCAAATTAAGATCCTACATATGTAAGTGGAATAAAGCCTAGTGGCTAAACATGTATAATATGGGTATGCAAAATTCTATACAGAAAGAAAGAAGATGTCACAAATTCAGCCGAGGTTGCCCCTCCTCCTTGCTCGGGCAGGTTTCGGCGTTCGGCATCACCGGCTTACTAGCCACTACCGCTCCATTTATCATCACTCCATTTGTCTTGTCTTGTCTTGTCAATCACACACACCTGGTACTCATTCCCTCATTAGTCTGTGTATAAGTATTCCCTCTGCCCCCTTGTCCTTTGTGAGTGATTGTTCGTTGTGAGAGTGAGTAGCTCGGTTGAGCTCTTTACTTGTATGCAGCCAAGGTTGATTTTCCCTTGTGCTAGTTTCGTTCTGTCGCTATATACGCTACATTATTGTACACTGAATAAACTCTTGATTTCGGTGTTTTACCTCCTGCGCCTGACTCCGTCATTCACACCTCATCACAGAATCACTCACCCGCTATGGAGTCAGCGGGAGAAGAGCGCACACCTGGAATCGTGGCAAGGTTCCAGGAGCATTCCACGATGCTGGCCAGCTTGGGGGAAGCGATGGATCGGGTTCTTCAGGTCGTCCAACGCCTGGAGAGGAGAGGAACCGATCTGTCGAGACCAGCTGTCCAACCGGATCCAGCGACCTACATCACAGCACCCGGAGGTATCAGATATCCCGACCTCGGCTGTTCGATGGGACGCCGGCTCTATGTCAGGGATTCCTTCTCCAACTGGAGCTGTACTGCTCCAGTGTCAGGGCGGCGCCATCAGATCGAGAGCAGGTGTCCGTCCTCATTTCCTGCCTCTCGGGGAAAGCCCTGGAGTGGGCCAACGCGGTTTGGAGAGAAGGAGGAGCCACGTTGGAGGACTACAGGGAGTTCGCCCGCCTATTTCGGGCGGTTTTCGATCACCTGCCCGAGGGTCGAGGGGCGGGTGAGCAGCTGGTCCACTTGAGGCAGGGGACAAGGACAGTACAGGAGTTCGCGCTGGAGTTCCGGATCCTGACAGCAGGGTCCGGGTGGAACGAGCGGGCCCTGATCAACCAGTTCCGGTGCCATCTACGGGAGGACGTCCAACGGGAGCTAGCCTGCCGTGACACCAGTTTGTCTTTTACCGAACTGGTGGACATGGCCATTCGTCTGGAAAACCTGCTGGAAACCAGAGGACGTCCTGGAGGAGGTCTGCCCGTTCCCACCCCGACCGATGCAGATCCAGAGCTCATGGAGCTGGGTGGTACCGCGCACCGAGAGAGCGGAGGACAACAGCGCCAGTGCCACTCGGATGGCACGAAGGGACATTCCACCACACGTTGTCGTCAGCTCTTTTGGGTCAGGAGGCGGCCGGCAGGGCACTCTCGCATCACCCCAGGTATTGAGCACCCACTCTTGTTCAGAGCCTGCTGAGCACTGTACTATACCCATATACTTCCCTGATCACATGAGAGTTCCTCAGTGTAAGGCACTAGTCGATTCAGGCGCAGCTGGGAACGTTATGGACAAACCTTGTGCACGCCCCCAGGGCATTTCATTAGTTCCCCTATCCATTCCACACCCCATTAGAGCACTTGATAGTCGACCATTAGGGTCCGGGTTGATAAAGGAAGTCACGGTACCAGTCACCATTATCACACAGGAGACGCATTGTGAGCAGGTCACTTTTTCCATAATTGAGTCTCTTGCTTTCCCTGTGGTGTTAGGTATTCCATGGCTAGCACTCCACAACCCCGCTTTCTCATGGCTGGAGAGGGTTCTCACGGGGTGGTCGCGAGAGTGTCAGGGTAGGTGTATGGGTGTTTCCATTGGTGCAACCAAGTCTTCTCTAAAAATAAAGCAACTAAATTATCACCTCATCGGGCGGGGGATTGCACAATAAACCTTCGGGTAGACGCTGTACCTCCCAGGAGTCATGTGTATCCCCTGTCGCAGGCGGAGACGGAGGCTATGGAGACATATGTCACCGAGTCCCTGCGCCAGGGGTACATACATCCCTCCACTTCACCTGCCTCAAGTTTTTTTTTTGTGAAGAAGAAAGACAGCGGTCTGCACCCGTGCATTGACTATCGACCACTGAACAAGGAGACGATTAGATTTAGTTATCCTCTCCCCCTCATTCCGTCAGTGGTTGAGTCATTGCATGGAGCGCGCTTCTTCACTAAATTAGATCTCAGGAGTGCGTACAACCTGGTGCGTATCCGAGAGGGAGATGAATGGAAGACAGCATTCAGCACAACCACTGGGCATTATGAATACCTGGTGATGCCCTATGGTTTGATGAATGCTCCCTCAGTCTTCCAGTCCTTTGTGAATGAAGTGTTTCGGGACATGCTTGGTCGCGGTGTAGTGGTCTACATCGACGACATCTTGGTGTATTCCGCTACGCGTGCCGAGCATGTGTCCCTGGTTCGCAAAAGTACTGGCCTGACAGTTGGAAAATGACCTTTATGCTAAGGCAGAAAAGTGTACGTTTTTCCAGCAGTCCGTCTCTTTCCTTGGATATCGCATTTCTACCACAGGTGTGGAGATGGAGAGCGACCACATTGCAGCCATGCGTAATTGGCCGACTACAACCACGGTAAAGGAGGTGCAGCACTTCCTTGGCTTCGCCAACTATTATCTGAGGTTTATCCAGGGCTTTGGCAAGGTCGCAGCTCCCATTACATCTCTGTTGAAGGGTGGGCCGTCCCGGCTCCGCTGGTCTGCTGAGGCTGACCTGGCCTTCAGTAACCTGAGGGAACTGTTCCCCTCGGCCCCGGTACTGGCCCACCCCGATCCAGTGGAGGTGGATGCGTCCGAGGTTGGGATGGGAGCAGTCCTGTCTCAACGCTCAGGCACGCCACCCAAGCTCCGCCCCTATGCGTTCTTTTCAAAGAAGCTCAGCCCGGTGGAGCAGAACTACGGCGTTGGTGATCGGGAGCTGTTGGCTGTTGTCCAAGCTCTGACAGTGTGGAGACATTGGCTCGAGGGGGCGAAACACCCATTCCTCGTCTGGACGGACCGCCGTAACCTGGAGTACATCTGGGCAGCGAGGAGGCTGAACCCTCGCCAGGCCAGGTGGGCCCTATTCTTCACCCGGTTTGATTTCACACTGTCATACATTCCGGGTACGAAGAACGTGAAGGCAGACGCACTGTCCTGGCTGTATGATACAGAGGAGAGGCCCAGAGACAACACCCCCATACTCCCGGCCTCCTGCATTGTGGCGCCGGTAGTATGGGCGATGGATGCGGATATAGCGCAGGCATTACGCACAGATCCATCTTCACCGCAGTATCCAGCTGGGCTGCAGTACGTGCCTGCGCTTATCCGTGATTGTCTGATCTACTGGGCACACGTCACCCTCCTCTGGTCACCCAGGTATCGGTCATACAGTGCGCTGCCTGACCGAAAAGTACTGGTGGCCTACCTTGGCTAAAGACGTGAGGGTGTATGTTTCCTCCTGCTCAGTGTGCGCCCATAGTAAGGCACCTAGGCACCTCCCAGCGGGTAAGTTAAAACCTTTACTAGTTCCACAACGACCATGGTCTCATTTGAGTGTTGATTTTTTAACTGATCTGCCTCTCTCTCAAGGGAACACCACCATCCTGGTCATTGTGGACCGCTTTTTGAAGGCCTGCCACCTCCTTCCTCTGCCCGGTCTCCCCACGGCTCTGCAAACTGTGGAGGCCCTGTTTACACACGTCTTCCGGCACTATGGGGTACCAGAGGATATAGTGTCTGACCGAGGTCCCCAGTTCACGTAAAAAGTCTGGAAGGCGTTCATGGAATGTCTGGGAGTCTCGGTCAGCCTGACCTCTGGGTTCCACCCTGAGAGTAATGGGCAGGTGGAACAGGTTAATCAGGATGTCGGTAGGTTCCTGAGGTCCTATTGCCAGGACCGGCCGGGGGAGTGGTCGGTGTTCCTGCCATGGGCAGAATATGCCCAGAACTCTCTCCGCCACTCCTCTACGAACCTAACGCCATTTCAGTGTGTTTTAGGTTATCAACCGGTTCTGGCACCGTGGCACCAGAGCCAGACGAAGCTCCTGCGGTGGATGACTGGTTTCGGCGCGCGGAGGAGACATGGAACGCTGCACATGTTCACCTCCAACGCGGCGTGCGGCGTGCGTCGTCAGAAGGCCATCGCTGACCGTCACCTCAGTGAGGCCCCCGTCTTTGCTCTCGACCCGGAATCTGCCCCTCCGCCTGCCCTGCCGGAAGCTGAGCCCGCGGTTTGTAGGGTCGTTAAAAGTCCAGAGGAGAATCAACGAGGTCACATATAGGTTATTACTCCACCCTGATTACCGTATTAACCCCTCGTTTCATGTGTCTCTCCTCAGGCCGGTGGTGGCTGGTCCGCTCCATGAGTCTGAGGTGCGGGAGGTCCCTCCACCTCCTTTGGACATCGAGGGGGCGCTGGCGTACTCTGTCCGGTCCATCCTGGATTCGAGGCACCGGGTGGGGGGCCTTCAGTACCTCGTGGAATGGGAAGGGTACGGTCCGGAGGAACGGTGCTGGGTCCCGGTGAGGGATATCCTCGATCTCTCTCTGCTGAGAGACTTCCATCGTCGCCATCCGACTCGCCCTGCTCCGCGTCCTCCTGGCCATCCCTGAGGCCAGTGTCGGCGCGCTGCTGGAGCTGCGCGTCAAAGGGGGGGATACTGTCACGAATTCAGCCGAGGTTGCCCCTCCTCCTTGCTCGGGCAGGTTTCGGCGTTCGGCATCACCGGCTTACTAGCCACTACCGCTCCATTTATCATCACTCCATTTGTCTTGTCTTGTCAATCACACACACCTGGTACTCATTCCCTCATTAGTCTGTGTATAAGTGTTCCCTCTGCCCCCTTGTCCTTTGTGAGTGATTGTTCGTTGTGAGAGTGAGTAGCTCGGTTGAGCTCTTTACTTGTATGCAGCCAAGGTTGATTTTCCCTTGTGCTAGTTTCATTCTGTCGCTATATTCGCTACATTATTGTACACTGAATAAACTCTTGTTTTCGGTGTTTACCTCGTGCGCCTGACTCCGTCATTCACACCTCATCACAGAAGAAAAATTCTAACTATCAAAACAGACTGATCCTACATGATGTAATTATAACATTGTCAAAAGACAGTATTCAAAAGCTGACATTTATGGGTTTGTAGCATTTGGCATACAAAATGAGTGAAATGTTAATAAAACTTACAGTATACATTTTCTTTATCTATGTGAATATGAAGATACTTTCTAAGCATGATTCTGTATTCATGTTAAAACACAATACTTCAGTAAATATAACAGTACAAAACAAATGGATTCTCATGATATCTTATAGGCAAATGTACACAAAAAACGAATAGAACAACATTCAGTTGGTAGAAATATGCTGACAGCGAGATGACAATATGAGATCAAAGAACACAACATATTCATTTGTGCCTAACACATTTTAAAACATTGTATTTTTTTTTTTTTTCACAAAATGAAAAAAGTAAAAGAGGATAATGACGATGTGGAAGTAGGAATTGTTGCTTATAGTGATTTAGTTTCTTATATCTTACCTGCCGCCCGCCCTGATTACGTCTTTGGGTCTCTCATTGTCATCAGTGTCTTGTGAAAGTACCCTGTCAATTTTTCATGTACTTTAATATTGCGTAATTTCCATTTTATCTGACAATAATGTCACATACTTTCTTTCTTTTGCTTGTTCAGTTAGCTTTGGAAAACGCCAATGCTAATTTATTGTAAACGTTTTGTTTCGCACTCATCTAACATTTGATTTTGTTATGTAACGATCTATCAACTGAAACTTTTAAGGATCACTCATCGTTGGTGAATTGGCACAGGAGTTTCCCATAACTTATAAGAGACTACGACGCTTAACGTCCAAGCATATATGGACAAACATCACCAATGCAGGTTACCAAGACATCCAATAGCCGGCACTCCTTACCTGTGTTTGTAGAGGTAAAATGCAAACCCTGACAGAATAAGGACAAAGAATGGCACTAGTATGGCAGCTGCTACTGAACTGCTGTTGGTACCATAGTATGGGGGATTTGATGGCTCCAGGTCTGTTGTAAAGAGACCTAATAAAGAATAACAGTACAATCATTGTTGTCAAACTTCTTGGAGTAACTTATGTAAAAGCTATGGTATCATCAGTAAAATGTAACTGTGCATGTCGTTTTTGTTTATTATTAAGATCACACAATGATTGTACCTCCTCTTGTTAGTACAAATCTTCCAAAGTCCTTGCTTTGAATGTGACCCTGGTAAACAAAGGTTTTCTTGTCAGACTCTGCGGTCACCTAAACCAACACAAAAGAGAGGGGGAACAAAATTAGATTTTTGCAGATTTGTCAGGGCATACAGTAGTTGAAATGCAGAACCATTACACGGCTCTCGCTATTACCCATTCACCTCATATCCCTCCTTTGTCCTCATGCAGCTTATCGGTGTCTCTATCACCTTTGAAGTGACTAACTGCTATAGTGTTCACATTAAGATATCTCTTTGAACTTTACAAAACTACAGTCAAGCAATAACTTCAACTGACATATTTACATTCAAATCATTTTAGGGCATTAGGCCATACAATGTTAAGTTGCAGTGTCTTGTGTTGGGTATGGAAGACAAAACCTAGTGCCAGAGCTGCGTATTGATGACAAAATATTGTTATGTTTCCTGATTAGCTTTGAAGTCCATCATTAGGCCCTTTATTGATCATTTAATTCAAATAAAATACTTACGTAGCCATCCATTGCCCAGTTGTCGTTCTTGAATTTACTGAAATGATGCTCTGTTGGACCGCGTATCTGGTAAACCTTTAGTAGCAAATGGTTTTCCTCCTTCTTGTACGTTCCTGAAAACAACGGAAATTGGGTTATCGGTTGGTGTTTACTGTTGTAATGTTGACTTCCACTGTAATATTTGCCTAATCAAATAACGTCAGGGTTAACATGTGTATGGTGCTTTACCAGCAAGTTTAAGCTGCACTCTGCTCTGATCCAGAAGTGTGGCATTGACTCTACTGGTTGTTTCATTAAATCCATTTACAGTAATAGTGGCAACTTCTCTTGCCCCAAGATACTCATAGAACCCGGTCCAGACAAAGTTTAAAGAAAACACATCTACAGGAACTGAAGGAAAGAAAGACTCATGTTATACTGTATGACCAGAACAAGATAAGGTACCATAATTCATCAAGATTTTTCTTTGCTTTTGCGTCATCCATCGTCTGTACAGCCATTATTAAGAGAAACCTCAGATGTACAGTAAGGACAGTACATGTTACATTGAATGGACAAGCATTTGAACATGAACCAATTACTCAGAGAAGATAACGTACCACCAATCTTGTTTTTCTGAACATCTGACTCCACTCCTTTTTTACCATTTATTTTTGGCCCAACTGAAAGATGGAAGAAATAATTGACTACATGACATTTATGGACGTGACCTACTCACTGCCAGTTGCTGCTTGTAGCCGTGTAATGACAACAATTTCTTTTGGCTACATTTTACCAGAGCGATTCAGACTTGATGATTGCTGAAATGTTGTATACTAAATTACCCAGATATTCTCAGCTAGCACAGAGCACACAGCAAATTAACTACTGTGTTGAATACCAATGTACGGGGAAAATAGGATTGACACATACAAGTAGCAGATGAACTGCTAATCTAAGTATATGTCCAATGGTATAATTTATTGTCCTCAGGTTGTGAATGGTTCACAGGAAATAGTGACATTTGAATAACAGGCACATTCCAGTGCATAAGTATACCTTTGCAGACAGGTGGCTTTCCGGACCACTTTCCATCAGGTTTACATGTCCTGTGCTCTGATCCCCCGGCCAGGAAGAATCCGTCCTGACATGTATAAATCAAAGTATAGCCCAGAGTTGGTAGATCAATAGCCTTCACGTCAATGTTAGACAGTGTCTCGGGCTGTCTGCAGGCATGGGCTACAAAAAAGAAAGCACGAAGAAGAAAAAACCATGGTAAAACACAATACATTCACTCTACCACTGACCAGCGTTACCGGTCAGAATACAGCAGCCCCACACCCACACCAGTATCATGGAGTTATGTAGAGATCAAGCAATCCTATCAGGAGCAAACATATAAAACAAGGCCAGAGTGGTGCTATCCATCTGTAACATAATATATGAACTCAGTCTTCACACTTTCCTGTTGTCAATTTAAGCCTCCCCACTCCCAAGCCTCTGACAGTGAAGCTGCTTTATGTGGAGGAGACGCCTGAAGAATTTCGTGGGGTATGCTGTCAAAATCGCCCACTGATTTACCACTCACATACGAACAGCTTAAACTTGGCTAACTTTATCTCTTCTTTGCTGAGGGCAGCAATCCCTACTTAACTTCCCTCCATGAATCACACAGCCCTTTCTCAAATGTCAATTCCCTTTTGACCATCCCTCAATGGTTTCTACGTTGTGATCTTTCTATTAACCATACATACAGCTCAAGACCTATAATCCTGGGCAGAGTTATTAAGGAGAGAGCTGGAGAACATGACACTACCATGATCTGGAATGCAGTAAATGAAAGGGTTACATTTTCTAAACCAATGCTCTACTCCCTTTGGCTGTCATACCCCCCTCTATACCGCCTGTGTCTCTCCCTTTAGTCATTAACAAGTCAACGCTAAGAAAATGTATACCTGGCAGATTAATAAAACACTTTTTCCAGTTTTCTTGACAATGTCTTGTCACACAAAAACAAATATTTCAGAAAGTCTTACCGATACATTCTGGTTGCACACCACTCCATGTCAAATTTTCCAGACAGGTTCTTGTTGTAGATCCCAGTATGTGGTAGTTTTTACGGCATTTGAAGGAGATTTTGCTTCCAACCTAAAACGGAAGAAGACTCATTACTATAAATGGTCTAAAAACAACCAGAGAATTGCTTTGACTGACCAGAATACTATTTTGGACTATTTTAGCAAATGATCTGAGCACAAATGACAATACAAAGATCTACTGTATGTTTACCCACAATTTGACATCGCTAGAAGTAAGGACCTTACCTCAAATCCTTGGGATGTGACTGGTATCCCATTAGATGGTGTTCCAGGGTCTCTGCATGTGCTATATGCAGGATCTAAAGAAAATGAAATGTTTAGCTCACTGACTACCAACATCATCATCACTGAAGAAAAGATGCAAACACTCAACAACATGACACCACACTACACCACACTACAAAACACTATCCTACACCACACCACACCACACTAGACCACAGCACACCACACTACACAACACACTACACTACACCACATCAGACCACACTACACCACATCACACTACAACTAAGGCAGCAGACAGTGGTGTAAAGTACTTTAGTAAAATACTACTTCAGTAGTATCTGTACTTTACTGTTTATATTTTTGACTACTTTTACTTATAATAATATGCCATTTAGCAGACACTTTTATCCAAAGCGACTTACAGTCATGCGTGCATAAATTTTTACATATGGGTGGTCCCGGGGATCGAACCCACTACCCTGGCATTACAAGCGCCATGCTCTACCAATTGAGCTACAGAGGACCACATACTTCACTACATTCCTTTAAAAAATATTGTACCTTTTAATCCATAAATTTTCCTTGACACCCAAAAGTGCTCGTTATATTTTGAATGCTTAGCAGGACAGGAAAATTGTCAAATTCACGCACTTATCAAGAGAACATCCCTGGTCATCCCTACTGCCTCTGATCTGGCGGACTCACTAAACACACATGCTTCGTTTGTAAATTATGTTGGAATGTTGGAGTGTGCCTCTGGCTATCCGTAAATAAAAAAAATAAGAAAATGGTGCCGTCTGGTTTGCTTAATATAAGGAATTTGAAATTAATTATACTTTTACTTTTGATACTTAAGTATATTTTTGTAATTACATTTACTTTTGATACTTAAGTATATTTTTGTAATTACATTTACTTTTGATACTTAAGTATATTTTAAACCAAATACTTTTAGACTTTTACTCAAGTAGAATTTTACTGGGTGACTTTTACTTTTATTTGAGTTATTTTCTATGAAGGTACTTTTTCCACCACTGGCAGCAGATGTGCATTATTATTATGGTATGAATGGGCAGGACGACCCACCTATACATGAGGGCTGCATTCCACTCCAACTCCCATCCACCTGACACACTCTCCTGGAGGACCCGACCAGGATGTTGGGGTCCCTGCAGTAGAAGGTGACCTCTGACCTGTAGGTGAACTGTTTCCCCTCAGCATAACCCTCTGCTGGGGTGCCTGGGTCTCCACACAGCACAGCTAGGCACAACAAAGCACAGAGACCATTAATCAAATCACACACACTTCACATCACACACATCCCCCGGGTTACGTGGGTTTCGGAATCTTAATTCATAATTTTTCAATTGCACAACTGACCAGCTAGTCATTCATAACATGGCTCTTGGAATTACAACATTACGAGGTGAAAAAAAGATAATCTTGTTGTGAGAGACAGAAAGCACCGTAGCTAAACTAGACCTGTTCTCCCCTACTGTACAATGGTTTCAAGTTGCTTTTTCATAATAGGTCTTTCATGTTTGTGAAATGCCCCACATACATGTTCCACAAAGAGTTTAGCAGCGGAAGTCACTCAGACCTGTTTCAGATCCACAGTATGAGAAGTTGTTATTACAGAGTGTGTCACAACTTCCACGGAGGCGGCCTCCCCTCCTTCTTCGGGCAGGCTTCGGCGTTCGTCGTCACTGGCTTACTAACCACTGCTGCTCCCATTATCATCACTCCACTTGTCTTGTCTTGTTATCACACACACCTGGTTCTCATCCCCTCATTAGTCTGTGTATAAGTGTCCCCTCTGCTCCCTTGTCTGTGTGGGTGATTGTTCCATGTGAGAGTAGAGTAGCTCGGTTGAGCTACTCTCTTATTGTATTGCCGGGGTAGATTTATTCCCCTATGCTTGTATATCGTTTGGAGTATTTCCGTACCGTGATTGCCAGGGTAGAGAGTTTCCCCTGTGCCTATGTTTGTATGTCGCTATCCAGCGCAACTGTGACGGAAAGGAATAAACTCTGTATTCGGTGATTTACCCTCCTGCGCCTGACTCCTATCACACTCATCACAGAGTGGGCTCTCCTGCAGGCTTTCCATGACAACCCACTTTCCATGACAACCCACTCTGTGCATGGAATTTTGGAACATTCTGGCACTACTTCTGGCACCGTGTCAGGAGGTTTATGATCAAGGCCTGCAGGCTGCAGCAGCAGACTCCGTCCATGTATCTTGTAATGCTCATGTTATGGGCAGCCCTAGCTGCGGATACTTGAGGGATCAATTTAGGAAATGTTGACATTCTTTTTGCATCTGTCACAACAGTTTCCCAACCTGTCAAATCTGGCATTTCACAGAGGGTTTAGCCGGGTCATGCACCCCCCAGCGGCACAACTTTAACAGGGCTATAGGAAGGATAAGTAGGCCAGGTGTGCACATTTAATTTGCTTTAAACTGATAGGCACTGCTTTCATAAATTTGATGCGTCTACTATAAAATATTTTTTAACACAAACAGAGCAATAGGTAAACACTGCTAAGCTTTGATAACACTGCCATTGCACTAAAGCTTAGATCAAGTGCTCAGATTTTCAGTCTTAAAGGTACTTGATTTTCAACTTACGAAGACATTGAGGGATCTCCCCTCGCCATGTGCCGTTCCCCTCACATGAGACGATTCCAGGGCTGGATAGCTGGTACCCATCAAAACAGCTGTAGGTGACACTGGAGCCCCACTGCAAGTCTGACCCCTCAACCTTCCCATTGCGAACAGCAGGAGGCCGGTCACACATGATCACTGATGTGGGGACAAAACAATATCATCAGGATGGATGTAATGATTTTCAGTGAGTAAGTACTGCATGTTAACTCAAAACATATCTTTTAATGTGCTAGAAGGGAATGGATGATTTATCGCGGTTCATATCCTCTTTGATGATCATATTCTGTCTTCCACAGGGAGAAAGTGTTTTCATTTGCCTATTAATGGCAAGTAATATAGTTAATTCGGAAGTAGACGTCCCATTAATCACAATACATATCCGATATGGTCTGTGTATCTGTTTTCGATTATATGCAGGGTATTGCATGAACTGTTATTTCCCGTTGAGACGATAAAATATTCTAACTCTGAAAGAAATCATTGCAAATGCTGTGGTATTGGATGTCTATTCTGTAAAAGCAGGAATTTCTGGCATATTAAAACAGTATTCACACACAGGACTGCAATTGGTCTATAACCACATGTCTGGTAAAGTGCTACTGTGGGAAATTCTATGTAAGTGCACACATTCACTCTCTGCCTGTCAATCTGCTTGGGAGGAGACTTCCCTGCTCTATGCTTGTCTGCATTGCACCACTAACTGGATGCATCGTTTTCTCCACACGTTTCAAGTCTGACATCTGATAGCACAGATCCTACACATTTCATGGATAACATCCCTTCGGTCTGTGTAAGTGAATAATTTGTGCTCGCTGTGCCAAAAAGGTAGAGAAACTACTCCAAACAGGATCAAAACACTTTTGAGTTCTTTTGATCTCTGAGTGCTTGAAATTCTGGAGTGTGGTGATATCTGTAGTATATTTCTCTGGTTGCGCCTTCTCATCTCAGCCCTCAGTAAAGAAATGAAAGTAGAAATGTTTGTTTCTTTGTAAGCCAACAACAAGTATTATTGAGTCATAACCAAAGTTGAATTACCTTTACAGTTAGGCTTGGTTTGGTTCCAAGACCCGTTCTTGGTGCAGAGGAGCACGGATGAACCGACAGTGTCCATGACGTGGCCTGGGTTACAGTGATACTGAACAGTCTTGTTGAAGGTGAACTCATTCCCTATGTAAATCCCATTGGCAACAGGACCTGGATCTCCACAGCTGATCACTGTTGAATTGGTCAAACATTTGTACATGCAGTACTGTATAAGCATAATCAAAAGCATAGAGTGGCATGTAGGATTAGGTGTATTGTGGCCACGTCTCATGGTCTAGGTTGAATGAATACAAGATGTGTGTTAGACCAGCCCACTGTAGAGCTCCTACAGTGCACAGTACAGTATACCTGTGCAGTCTAGGGCTGAGCCGGTCCAGGTGCCATTGGTGGTGCAGTGGCGAGTGGTGAGACCTGAGGTCTCATATCCTTCCCAGCAGGCATATGCCACGGAGCTTGAAAACACTATTCCATCACTGAAGACAATCTTCCCATAGGCAGGAGTACCTGGATTTCCACACGAAATCGCTGAAAAAAACATAAATAGATAAACATAAAAAAAAAACTAGAACATTCGTCAAGGTAGATTTAAGGTAAATAAACCATATATTAATTGTCACTTGCAATCATTAAAGTACTACTCTTGGCTATGGTGTGGATAAAAGGAATCTACTCTATAATAAGTCCAATCTTTCTACAGTCGTGGTCAAACGTTTTGAGAATGACACAAATACTAATTTTCACAAAGTCTGCTGCCTCAGTTTTGATGATGGTAATTTGCAAATACTCCAGAATGTCATGAAAAGTGATCAGATGAATTGCAATTAATTGCAAAGTCCCTCTTTGCCATGAAAATGAACTTAATCCCCCAAAAACATTTCCACTGCATTTCAGCCCTGCCACAAAAGGACCAGCTGCCATCATGTCAGTGATTCTTTCGTTAACACAGGTGTGTTGACGAGGACAAGGCTGGAGATCACTCTGTCATGCTGATTGAGTTAGAATAACAGACTGGAAGCTTTAAAAGGAGGGTGGTGCTTGAAATCATTGTTCTTCCTCTGTTAACAATTGTTACCTGCAAGGAAACACGTGCCATCATCATTGCTTTACACAAAAAGGGCTTCACAGGCAAGGATATTGCTGCTAGTAAGATTGCACCTAAATCAACCATTTATCGGATCATCAAGAACTTCAAGGAGAGAGGTTCAATTGTTGTGAAGAAGGCATCAGGGCGCCCAAGAAAGACCAGCAAGCGCCAGGACCGTCTCCTAAAGTTGATTCAGCTGCGGAATCGGGGCACCACCAGTGCAGAGCTTGCTCAGGAATGGCAGCAGGCAGATGTGAGTGCATCTGCACGCACAGTGAGGCGAATACTTTTGGAGGATGGCCTGGTGTCAAGAAGGGCAGCAAAGAAGCCACTTCTCTCCAGGAAAAACATCAGGGACAGACTGATATTCTGCAAAAGGTACAGGGATTGGACTGCCGAGGACTGGGGTAAAGTCATTTTCTCTGATGAATCCCCTTTCCAATTGTTTGGGGCATCCGGAAAACACCTTGTCCGGAGAAGACAAGGTGAGCGCTACCATCAGTCCTGTGTAATGCCAACAGTAAAGCATCCCGAGACCATTCATGTGTGGGGTTGCTTCTCAGCCAAGGGAGTGGGCTCACTCACAATTTTGCCTAAGAACACAGCCATGAATAAAGAATGGTACCAACACATCCTCTGAAAGCAACTTCTCCCAACCATACAAGAACAGTTTGGTGACGAACAATGCCTTTTCCAGCATGATGGAGCACCTTGCCATAAGGCAAAAGTGATAACTAAGTGGCTCGGGGAACAAAACATCGACATTTTGGGTCCATGGCCAGGAAACACCCAGACCTTAATCCCATTTAGAACTTGTGGTCGATCCTCAAGAGGTGGGTGGACAAACAAAAACACACAAAATCTGAATAGAATTATGCAAGAATGAGGATGTGGCCCAGAAGTTAATTGACAGCATGCCAGGGCGGATTGCAGAGGTCTTGAAAAAGAAGGGTCAACACTGCAAATATTGACTCTTTGCATAAATGTAATGTAATTGTCAATAAAAGCCTTTAACACTTATTGAATGCTTGTAATTATACTTCAGTATACCATAGTAACATCTGACTAAAATATCTCATAACACTGAAGCAGCGAACTTTGTGAAGACCAATACTTGTGTCATTCTCAAAACTTTTGACCACAACTGTACAGTACAATATATTTTACAGGTGCTGGCCAAGCAGATCAACTTAATTGTAATCTAACCGAAACAAGACATTAAAATAAAATACCTATTGATTTGATCCAATTAGTTAAAGCTTTTTAAGGAAATGCCTTTTGTCAGTGATTTGAAGTGGCATTTTAGAAGACGGTGATAAATGAAATGGGATCTCACTCTCATAGATATCGGCTTTAAAAACCAATTTGGTTAATTGGGAACAACAAGGCTATTCCATAAATAATGAGTCATCAGGGACATATTCACAAACATAACCACATGACTCACATGAATAGATCTTTCAGAGCTTTCACTCACACAACCTGCTGAAAGAGATTGTCCGGTGCTTTTGTATACCTTTTAGCCAGTAGTTCTGAAAGTAGCGCTCACAAGCTAAAAAAGTGGTCCCCAAAAAATGGCATACTACATCACATATGTGCACCACGTCATTGCTCTTTCTCTTGCTCTGCTGTGTGTGCATCTTGCTAGCTGTCACTCAAATGGCGAGGGGCTGAAGCTCATTGGTTGAACTCGAATTGCTAGGGGGCTAGCCCACGTGGGGGAAAATGTAGGGAAAACAGCTTCCAGAAAAAACGGTTGTTTTTAAAAACTAGGGATTTCATGGCTAATTTAGGTAAGACAGTAATTATTCTCATAGATTATGCATGTATGAACTACACATTGACACATCCAGCCCAATGCGGGAAGTTTAAAAAAAACTTCACCAAAGTTCCAGAGGATGTCTTTAAATACTCTCAATTGGGCTTAAGCATTTTCATCTTTGTTTACAGAAGGGGAGAACTAGCAGCATGGGAATCTTCAGAGGGCATTAATCAAAGAGGGATCTGGCAAAGCATGACATCAGTTGTGAGGAAATATGCTCTCCGCTTTCCTCCATGTGAAAATGAATGACAAATGTACACAAATGCTGATCTCAAAAAGTAATGAACGCTTTTGTATTTGTATTTATTATGGATCCCCATTAGCTGCAGCCAAGGCACCAGCTGCTCTACCGGGGGTCCAGCAAAATTAAGGCAGTTATACATTTAAAAAACATTACAATACAGGCCTCTACTACCACATATCTATAACACAAAATCCATGTGTACATGTGTGTATAGTGCGTATGTTATCGTGTGTTTGTATGCAAACTTTACAGTTGCTTTGATTACAGTGGGAATCTCCGGGGCATTAGCTAGTGCTAGCTTTGAGTGTTTATGTCTCAATTAGGGTTGATTGAGCACATACTCATTAGCTCAAGTCATAGAATAGCTAAATAGCTGAACATTTAAAGAGATTGAATGGGATCTTAAGCACTAATACATTCGTAACATATTGTACGAATTGGAATTCGTAACATATCATACGATCTGCAGGACGTAAAAATACGAAATGGATGACGTTGTAAACAATTGTGCACAATTTTCAGGTACCTGTTTTGGATTGTGACCACTACTTTCAAAACTACTAGCTGAAATTATACAAAACCTCTGTAGCATCACCTTAAGAGCAGTAAACTCCATTATTCATTCATCTTGATAAGAATGACTAGCATTATCGCTGTGTAGACATAATATCACTCCAAAGCTGCAACAGGATACTCTGTAGATTAAAGGAAGCAAATCCCCCTGTACAGCTTCCCTTAACAATGTAACCACTTAGAAATAGAGAACAACTGGTCCATTAAAGAGTTAATGAAGTCCCTCAGTGAGACCACTGAGACCATATGTATTTCCCGACTCAAAGTCATTATTTCCCAAGTGACAGCTGTCTTGTGGTCTCCCTGTGCATGACAATGTGTATTTAGTACTTGGGCACAGCATTATTTGTATAACAGAAATAGTGCGCAGCCTTCCACTTTGAATCTCCCAAGCAGTGATCCGTCTCAACTCCCTTATAGCAACCGTTAAACCAATTGGCACACTAGATAAAGATGAGCAAAAAAGACTGTATAAAATAAATACAAATACAATATTATATGCTCAAATAAAATGGGGGAAATTACTAATACAATTGTTTAGAGAAAGATTTTGTTTAACAAGTAATACAAAAAATAAAATAAATAAATAGGAGTCAAAATTACTGGATAATATGCATTGCTCTTTCGAAGGCCAAACCTACCGCTGGTGTGTGTGGCCAAAGACCTCTATTTCCTGTCATCTGACCATAGCACTGGTTCCAATCCAGGTGCCAATGCCATTTAGCAAACTCCAGGCGGTGCTATGGTCAGATGACATGAAACATAGAGCTCTTTGGCCACGCACACCAATTGTAGGTTTGGCCTTCGAAAGAACAACGCATATGCATTAAATACCTCATCCCAACTGTAAAATATGGTGGAGGATCTTCGATGTTATGGGGCTATTTTGCTTCCACTAGTCCAGAGGGCCTTAGTTAAGGTCAATGGCATCGTGAACTTTACCAAGTAGCAGGAGATTTTTGTAATTGAAAGAAATGTTAATTGACCACAAAACCAACATTTTGCAATGGCATCTCAGTCTCCGTACTTGAATCCCATTGAAAACTTGTGTCATTATACTCACAGGGGGAGGGTGCTGGATATTGACGCACCCATGCATCAATCTAAGTAACATAATAAAAAAATCCCCATAAAAATCTGTCAGTTTAAGCTAGAGATATCGCATACGCCTACAGTTGAAGCCGGAAGATGACATACTGTACACCTTAGCCAAATACATTTAAACTCAGTTTTTCACAATTCCTGACATTTAATTATAGTAAAAATTCCCTGTCTTAGGTCAGTTAGGATCACCACTTTATTTTAAGAATGTGAAATGTCAGAATAATAGTAGAGAGAATGACTTTTATCTCTTTCATCACATTCCCAGTGAGTCAGAAGTTTAAATACACTCAATTAGTATTTGGTAGCATTGCCTTTAAATTGTTTAACTTGGGTCAAACGTTTCGGGTAGCCTTCCACAAGCTTCCCACAATAAGTTGGGTGAATTTTGGCACATTCCTCCAGCCAGAGCTGGTGTAACTGACTCAGGTTTGTAGTCCTCGTTGCTCGCACATGCTTTTTAAGTTCTGCCCACAAATATTCTATAGAATTGAGGTCAGGGCTTTGTGATGGCCATTTTGCCACAACTTTGGAAGTATGCTTGGGGTCATTGTCCATTTGGTAGACCCATTTGCGACCAAGCTTTAACTTCCTGACTGATGTCTTGAGATGTTGCTTCAATATATCCACATCATTTTCCTTCCTCATGATGCCATGTATTTTGTGAAGTGCACCAGTCCCTCCTGCAGCAAAGCACCCCCACAGCATGATGCTGCCACCCCCGTGCTTCACGGTTGGGATGGTGTTCTTCGGCTTGCAAGCATTCCCCTTTTTCCTCCAAACATAACATGGTCGTTATGGCCAACCAGTTCTATTTTTGTTTCATCAGACCAGAGGACATTTCTCCAAAATGTACGATATTTGTCCCCATGTGCAGTTGCAAACCGTAGTTTTACTGTGGATATAGATACTTTTGTACCTGTTTCCTCCAGCATCTTCACAAGGTCCTTCGCTGTTGTTCTGGGATTGATTTGCACTTTTCACACCAAAGTACGTTAATCTCTAGGAGACAGAATGCGTCTCCTTCCTGAGCGGTATAATGGCTGGTGTTTATACTTGCATACTATTGTTTGTACAGATGAAAGTGGTACCTTCAGGCATTTGGAAATTGCTCCCAAGGATGAACCAGACTTGTGGAGGTCTACACATTTTTTTCTGAGGTCTTGGCTGATTTATTTTGCTTCTCCCATGATGTCAAGCAAAGAGGTACTGAGTTTGAAGGTAGTCCTTGAAATACATCCACAGGTACACCTCCAATTGACTCAAATGATGTCAATTAGCCTATCAGAAGCTTCTGAAGCCATGACATCATTTTCTGGAATTTTCAAAGCTGTTTAAAGGCACAGTCAACTTAGTGTATGTAAACTTCTGACCCACTGGAATTGTGATACAGTGAATTATAAGTGAAATAATATGTCTGTAAACAATTGTTGGAAAAATTACTTGTGTCGTGCACAAAGTAGATGTCCTAACAGACTTGCCAAAACTATAGTTTGTTAACAAGAAATGTGTGGAGTGGTTGAAAAACAAGTTTTAATGACTCCAACCTAAGTGTATGTAAACTTCCAATTTCAACTGTATGTCAACCTTCTGCATCTGTGGTGGAAGGTGGCCTAGATACAGAGGTGTTTGTCAGACCATGAGACATCCCGAAAATCGGTCTTCTAACGAAGACCACTCTGTGGAAAGAACACAATGGTGTTCTCTGTTTTGCTCTACGACCCCCACATGTGTCACAGGACTCGTCTAAAGGTAACCCATAAAAATGAATGGAGGTAGTTTTGTGCCCAAGAAAATAAGGGGATATGTGTTCAAAAAATAATTATTATTTCCTGAGCAGACACTTCAAAACCGTATTCCTTATGATACATTTCTTGGGGGTACATAAAGGGTCCTAAAATGAAAAAAAAAAATAATAATCTAAAACAATTCCTGCTTAGTAAAACATCCTCCCCCCCAACGGCTTAGACTGTTTTTAGGTTAAACAAAATCTCTTTCTCTGAGCAATTGTATTAGTATAGGGTGTCCAATCAAAAATGCATCTTTTGACCAATGGGTAAAATAATATGTTAATTGTGTAGATAATCCTGGGCTACTGGCCACCTGACAGGCTCACTTTCCCACTGAACTCATCACCTTTCTTCTCAAATCCACAGGACATAAAACAATATAGAGGTAAGATGGATATCAATTTTGGGACATGACATGTAGTATTTTCATATATTAGTATATGCTTTTCATATTCATTCAAATTTCCTGTTATTTTTCTAAGATTTCTCACAAAAACAAGCATGTCAAGGGAGCACTAAGCGTATACCAAACTTTTTATTTTCAAAGCCGTTTACATTTAATTCAGCTTGTGTCATGCAAATTTAGCTTTTTATGACCCGCTGAAACGACCATAAAATGTTAAATCCTCTAAAGTTTTTACGAGAAACCTGCGCCGATTTGTCAACATAGCTCGGTGCTTATTAACGGATGTATTAGGTTACGAAATCCAACTTTTTTGATATAATGTTAATGATATGTTAGAGAAAGACCCCACTGAATGATTCATAACATGAATAATCATATTTGTCTTGGTAAAATGTATTTTATAACACAAAGTGAAATTTCATCAGCAAAGTCTGTTTTCACACACTCTGGGCAGAGTGGGTGGACACCCTAATTAGTATAAAATAATTTCCTTTGTTTTAATTCAATATACAGTAGCTTGTTATATTTGTATTATTTATTTTATACTTTATTTTTTGTTCATCTTTATCAAGGGTGCAAATAATAATGGACCTGAAAGTATACAGTGCATTCGGAAAGTATTCAGACCCCTTGACTTTTTCCACATTTTGTTACGTTACAGCCTGATTCTGAAATGGATTAAATTAATTATTTTCCTCATCAATCTACACACAATACCCCATAATGACAAAGCGAAAACAGGTTTTTCGAAATTTTTGCAAATGTATTACAAATACAAATCAGAAATACCTTATTTACATAAGTATTCAGAGCCTTTGCTATGAGACTCGAAATTGAGCTCAGGTTCATCCTGTTTCCATTGAACATCCTTGAGATGTTTCTACAACTTGATTGGAGTCCACCTGTGGTAAATTCAATTGATTGGACATGATTTGGAAAGGCACACACCTGTCTATATAAGGTCCAACAGTTGACAGTGCATGTCAGAGCAAAAACCAAGCCATGAGGTCGAAGGAATTGTCCGTAGAGCTCCGAGACAGGATTGTGTCGAGGCACAGATCTGGGGAAGGGTACCAAGAGATGTCTGCAGGATTGAAGGTCCCCAAGAACACAGTGCTCTCCATCATTCTTTTGTTATATTTTACCCCCTTTTCTCCCAATTTAAATTATGACCTTGTCTCATCGTTGCAACTCCACAATGAGCTCGGGAGAGGCGAAGGTCGAGTCATACGTCCTCCGAAACATGACCCGCCAAACTGCGCTTCTTAACACCTGCCGCTTAACCCGGAAGCCAGCTGCACCAATGCGATACAGTGCCTTAGACTGCTGCGCCACTCGGGAGGCCCAGCCTTCATCATTCTTAAATAGAAGAAGTTTAGAACCACCAAAACACTTCCGAGAGCTGGTCGCCCGGCCAAACTGAGCAATCGGGGGAGAAGTGCCTTGGTCAGGGAGGTGACCAAGAACCCGATGGTCACTCTGACAGAGCTCCAGAGTTCCTCTGTGGAGATGGGAGAACCTTCCAGAAGGATCACCATTTCTGCAGCACTCCACCAAATCAGGCCTTTATGGTAGAGTGGCCAAACGGAAGCCACTCTTCAGTAAAAGGCACATGACAGCCCGCTTGGAGTTTGCCATAAGGCACCTAAAAGACTCTCAGACCATGAGTAAAGTACAGAGAGATCCTTGATGAAAACCTGTTCCAGAGCGCTCAGGACCTCAGACTGGAGCAAAAGTTCACCTTCCAACAGGACAACGACCCTAAGCACACAGCCAAGACAACGCAGGAGTGACTTCGGGACAAGTCTCTGAATGTCCTTTAGTAACCGAGCCAGAGCTCGGACTTGAACCCCATCGAACATCTCTGGAGAGACCTGAAAATAGCTGTGCAGCTACGCTCCCCATCCAACCTTACAGAGCTTGAGAGGATCTGCAAAGAAGAATGGGAGAAACTCCCCAAATACAGGTGTGCCAAGCTTGTAGCGTCATACCCAAGAAGACTTGAGGCTGTAATCGCTGCCAAAGGTGCTTCAACAAACTACTGAGTAAAGGGTCTGAATACTTATGTAAATGTCTTATTTCAGTTTTTTTTTATACATTTGCAAACATTTCTAAAAACCTGTTTTTGCTTTGTCATTATGGGGTATTGTGCGTAGATTGATGACGGGAAAAAAACTATTTAATCCATTTTAGAATAAGGCTGTAATGTAACAAAATGTGGAAAAAGTCAAGGGGTCTGAATCCTTTCCGAATGCACTGTATATGGCAGGGGACTCACCTTCACAGACTGGCTGGGTGCCACTCCAGGAGCCGTTGAGGAGGCAGGTCCTCTCAGCCGAGCCACTCAGGGAGAAGCCGGCTTCACAGGTGAACCTCAGCAGGCTCTTCAGCTGGAACTCGTCCCCCAGCCTGGAGCCATGAGGTGGGATTCCAGGGTCACCGCACTCCCCAGAACTACCGCCTCATGAGGGAGAGAAAATATACAACACTCAAACGACCTCCCATCACTCACCGCAGCAGGTCCATAGGCAGCGCATATCAGTCATTCTAGCCTTGTTTTCTGAGATGGAAATAGTATTTTCCCCCCCTTCCTTTTAACCTCCATGAAATGCTACCAAGGCTCTACCCAGAGTGCTTGCATCCTACAGCTCTAGCTACCAAACTTGGAAAACCCACAGAAACCCATTGTTTTTTCAGCTGGGGTTGACTTCCCTGAAACCTGTCGATCTCTGTTATTTCTGTCCATTAGAGAGCCTTCAGGTCTCCCCTGCCCGGCAGTGTGGTACACTCTTAGAAAACAAAGTGCTATCTAAAACCAAAAAGGGTTATCCTATGGGGACAGCCGCAGAACCCTTTTGGAACCCTTTTTTCTAAGAGTGTAGGACCCTGCTGATGGATATACCTGAGCAGTAGGGTTGTGGGCCGCTCCAGCGCCCGTCCTCCTGACAGTAGCGCGTGGCGTTTCCAATCAGTGCTCGGCCGCGGCTGCAGGTGTAATGGACCACAGCTCCGTTGGTGAACTTCCTACCTGACATAATAGCTTGGGGCGGTGTGCCAGGATCCCCACAGGAAATAGCTGCAGGTGAAACGGAGAGAAAATGTTCAGAGAGGACAGTTGATAGAAATACTTCTTTATATCCATCATGGGTCTAAAAAATATATATATATTTTTTAAATGTATTGTCACATACACCAGATAGCTGTAGTGAAATGTGTTGTTTTACAGGGTCAGCCATAGTAGTACGGAGCCCCTGGAGCAAATTAGGACACATCGACAGATTTTTCACCTTGTCGGCTCGGGTATTCGAAACAGCAATCTTTTGGTTACTGGCCCAACGCTCTAACCGTTAGGCTACCTGCCACCCAGGATATCCTTCATTTTTTCTTGTGCCTTCAGTGTTACTGTTACTGTCTGTTATTGTTATCAAGTATATGTCTTTTGAACCCAGCACCTAAATACTTGTTATTACTATAAACTTTTGAGTTGAACCAATTGCTTATTCTATGCCTTCTGTGTTACTACCACTACTACTCGCACTACTCCCACAACCCCTTTTAATCACTAACATTAACACTATATACAAAATTGTCAGCACAGCCATAATGATTCTATACTCTTTCTTTCTCACCACATATTTCCCCCACTATAAGAACGGTACATTTACTCTTTTTATAATTCTCCAACAGCAACTAACCACACCACTTGGGACCCAGATTCCACCTCAACCACTTCTTGTACCCTGAGCAAGACAATCCCAGCATATTACTTACAAAGGCACTGGGGAAGTGATCTGTCCCAGAGGCCGTTTGACTGACAGGTGAGAAGCGATGAGCCGAGCAGATAGAAGGCCTTCTTGCAGTGATACATCACACTGGTTCTGTAGTTGAAGCTCTCGGGGAAGCGCTGCTGCGGGTGACGAATGGCATTCTCCACAAAGCCTGGATCGGAGCAGTTTACCACTGCAAGATAAAACCGGCCGCATGCTTAAAGTCTGACAGTGAACCCAAGAGTGAGAAGAGAAGGGAAATCAACGAGAAAGCTTGAATAGCAGGATTCCGATTCATTTCAAAACAACCCATCCATGCTTTTTAAGATATACAGCTTCTCTCATGTACTGTAACTACAGATTTTCTACAGTCAATAGCATTTGACATAAAGTTTCTCTAATAACTGTGTAGCAATGTCATACATGTGGGTTGATATGCAGTTTCTGTTTAGTTTTGTTTTACTTGTCACAAAATGTAGATTCCTTATTTACTCCAGTTGCACTTAAAACCAGCAGGGCATGAAGCCCCAGTAACAATAACAAGCTGTACCTCTTGCCTCAGAGTTGGCTGAACATTGTTTTCAGCTATTGCCCTTCAACAAAAAAAATGCCTAAAGTTAAAGTAATGTCCAGGGCAAACTAAACAGATCGCTTTCCCTCAGTGACAGCTGCCAATGCCTTGGCAGTCAATGAAACCCCTAGGGACAGAGAGGTAGGAAAAACTCCTCCAAAATTGATAATTGGCACATGCTATTGGCGTGTTCCTTACCTTTAATAGACACCATTATTCGGGTTACCCTCTTGAAAAAAGGTGATTGTTGGAAGACTATTACTAAAGGAACCCTGGGTGAGGGTGTGGGAGTGCAGAGTGGCTTACAAAATTACATTGAACAGAGTGTCAGTAGCATGGAGCACACTGACATACTGTAGGAATACTGAACAGGCTGAGGTAGCAGGGAGCACACTGACATACTGTAGGAATACTGAACAGGCTGAGGTAGCAGGGAGCACACTGACATACTGTAGGAATACTGAACAGGCTGAGGTAGCAGGGAGCACACTGACATACTGTAGGAATACTGAACAGGCTGAGGTAGCATGGAGCACACTGACATACTGTAGGAATACTGAACAGGCTGAGGTAGCAGGGAGCACACTGACATACTGTAGGAATACTGAACAGGCTGAGGTAGCAGGGAGCACACTGACATACTGTAGGAATACTGAACAGGCTGAGGTAGCATGGAGCACACTGACATACTGTAGGAATACTGAACAGGCTGAGGTAGCATGGAGCACACTGACATACTGTAGGAATACTGAACAGGCTGAGGTAGCATGGAGCACACTGACATACTGTAGGAATACTGAACAGGCTGAGGTAGCATGGAGCACACTGACATACTGTAGGAATACTGAACAGGCTGAGGTAGCATGGAGCACACTGACATACTGTAGGAATACTGAACAGGCTGAGGTAGCAGGGAGCACACTGACATACTGTAGGAATACTGAACAGGCTGAGGTAGCAGGGAGCACACTGACATACTGTAGGAATACTGAACAGGCTGAGGTAGCATGGAGCACACTGACATACTGTAGGAATACTGAACAGGCTGAGGTAGCATGGAGCACACTGACATACTGTAGGAATACTGAACAGGCTGAGGTAGCATGGAGCACACTGACATACTGTAGGAATACTGAACAGGCTGAGGTAGCAGGGAGCACACTGACATACTGTAGGAATACTGAACAGGCTGAGGTAGCATGGAGCACACTGACATACTGTAGGAATACTGAACAGGCTGAGATTGTTGTGGCAGGTGAAGGAGGCTATTTCATATTTTTTATATACATTTTTTTAACCATGTTATCCCTTGCTTTTTCAGCATGGAGGACTATTCTATTCATACAAATACATGTCATTATTGATTTTTAACATGGGTCTTTACTGAAGTTGCGCAACATGAGCTCATGGGCTCTCATGAAGTGTTTGATTAGATTTTCGATTACATTAGCATTGATGTCAGAGTGATTAGAGGGACAATAGAGTGCTGATTACCAGGCAGTTAGTAAGTTTGGTAGGCTACGAATGACCATCAGCAGCATCAGAGCTTGGAGAAGCCTAATTACTGTGAATAAATGGTCACGTGGAATTTGACTGCCTTCATGACTCGTGACCGCCGGTGTGGCGGTAATACGGTCACCGCGACAGCCCTAGTCTTTAGAGAACGGTTCATCTGATGGTGAGATACACACTGAGTGTACAAAACATTAGGAACATATTCCTAATATTGAGTTGCACCCCCTTTTGCCCTCAGAACAGCCTCAACTTGTCGGGGCATGGACTACAATGTGTTAAAAGTGTTCCACAGGGATGCTGGCCTTGATCTTGATTCCAATGCTTCCCACAGTTGTGTCAAGTTGGCTGGATGTCCTTTGGATGGTGGACCATTCTTGATACACACGTGAAACTGCTGAGCATGAAAAACCCAGCAGTTCTTGAAGTGGATTTAACAAGTGACATCAACAAGAGATTCACCTGGTCAGTCTATGTCATGGAAAGAGCAGTTGTTCCTAATGTTTTGTACACAAATTGGGCAATTTTTATTCTTCATTGATCCTGAAGAGGGGATAGAAATAGACATCCATTATTATTTGGCCTGTAAACTGGAGATAGTTTGAGACCAGGTCAGAGGCACAGCACAAGATGTCCCGGATACTGTTAACATGTTCATGTCAATTTCACCAGGCTTCCTCAAGAAAATAACCACTAAGATGAATTATTGATCCGCAAAGACCTACACAGTCCTTTGTGTCAGAAAATGTGCTGTAATGTAACATGGTCTGTTGCATTCCATTGGAATTTCTAAAATCACCTGGCTAGAACAGAAAATTCCTTAAAATGGAACTGACAACATTTTAGCAACATTAAATCTTATTCAAATCTGTTCATATACACCCCCAGGAAGAATATGACACTTCCCAAAAAAAAATCTGACAAGCGAGCACTTAGATATGGTCATTTTCAAGTTTTCGTAAATTCTTAGAATATTTGGGAATTACGTATACTAAGGTATTTGTGAAAATTCTATAGCAATAAATAGTGGGAAAGCGGCCGTGCGTTTGGACAATTAATAGACACTGCAGTAAATAAAACCTAATGAAAACATCTGTCTTGTCCAGGACCGGAGTCTACGCAGACCGGTGCGCCATAGCCAATTAGAGCTACAGTAAGCCTTTATGCAAACAAGCCATTTGCCACACAGGCCTGCCATCATTCACTTTGAAATGGACTGTGTGTTTATAATAATAATAATAATAATATGCCATTTAGCAGACGCTTTTATCCAAAGCGACTTACAGTCATGCGTGCATAAAACATTTTTTGTGTATGGGTGGTCCCGGGGATCGAACCCACTACCTTGGCGTTACAAGTGCCGTGCTCTACCAGCTGAGCTACAGAGAACCACGTTTACAGGCAGTTGCAACAGCACGACTTTAGATCATTCGAATGCATTTGCCAAAAGCCACAAAATCAACCTCAATGAATTTCTGCAAATATGTAAATACCACAGGAATCCTATTACATTTGGGAACTTTACAGTCCTATTGATCAAGCAACCATGAAAAGGTAGGCTTTCTCTCCCTCAGTTATGCACATCAACAAGATCAACAACTAATGCTAGCCAGAGCAAGATGAGCTCAAATGTAATGAAGGAACATTAGATAAACTCTCTCAAACTTTTTCAGCTAGTTGCCCATCAAAATTGCACTGATAAACGATGGGGAATTGTAGCTTCCTCATCCTTCTGCAGCTTGCCTGCCAATGCATAAATTATTGTCCCAACCAAGCACCCAAGCTAACTGGCTAAAATTGGCTAGCTTGCTAGCTAGCTACTTCCAGACACAAATGAGAGAACACCTCACTCTGACCATTTTGCTCGCCATAGCAGAGCTGGTTAGGCTGTTTACATGCTATCTAGAGCGTTCTTGACTAACTATTACTTTTTTTGCCTACATTTACTGACCCCGGTCATATTCAGCAGGTGTTGCGCATTCATAAATTAATCAGTTATTCTGAACTCTTGCACACTCAGACAAGTGTGCTTTGAAATCGGAGTAGGTAGCCAGAGTGAATTTGCGAATGCAAGAGATATGTTAACTGCATAACAGTCGTTCAAGTTCTTGCTAGCTAACCAAATGCCACCTGCATCTCTAGCTGTGTATAGCCAGCGAAAAACGATATGAGGGGGAAAAAGTCAGTCACTCACCCACTCCTCCAATAGCATGGCATGACATCCTCCTAGCAGCTAGCTAACGTTAGGCTCCATGTTTTTAGCTTGCTACATAAATAGATACGCTAGCCTATTAGCCACGTTATGACTGACTTGTGATCATTGCCCTTGCTAGTTTGATTGTATTGACATTCCCAGCCTTAGTTACATTCGTCCATTTTTGTCCAAAATATTGAGTCATTGAAACTGACAGTGCATCCCAAATGGAGGCAGCAAACAATGTACCAGGCCAGCTGTGATTTATAACCTGATAGCAATATTTTTTTACCTACCAAGAAATGTATTGGTGAATTATATTAATCATAAATTGAACTGCATCCATCTATTCTGGCAAAAATACCTTAGTGTACTTCATGGAATATTGAGTCAAATATAACCTATTTTTAAAACCTCTTATAAAGTTGGTTTTGTAGCATAAACTGGGAATTTAATATTTTTTACTGATATTGCGATTGTGTGTTTGTTTCATATCTGCAAAGTAGTCAAAACGCTGTCAGTTCCACTTTAATACACAATGAGTAAGATTAATGTTTGGTTTGTGAGCCATCGACATGCACAAACTATCAATACAAAATAAAGTATGCACTTTACCCTCAAATGAAATGGATATATCTGAAAAGCTTTGAATTTATTTTTGCCCGTGTCTTACCTCTACATACTGGAAGAGGGTTGCTCCACTGTCCAGTCATCCTGCACTGAGCTCTTGAGGCACCATGCAACATATATCCTGTGCCGCAGGTGAAGTTGACCACATCGTTCAGGTTGAACTCGCTGCCATTAGTTCGACCATTTGCTGGGTTTCCAGGGTGACCACAGGTAATGGCTTTGTAAAAAGTAGAGGTAGCCAAGAGAGAGCAAAAATAGTTTTACACAATTATTAATGATGGTGATTCAAAGGTCGAGAATTCCTGTAAATCTCTGATCGTTAAGGGAGAATCGATGAAGGCAATAACAAAACTTAAGTTTCTCCACTTACAAACACAAACAGGAGCTTGTCCGGACCATCTGTGGTCTTGTTGACAGATCCTAACCGATGTGCCAATAAGGCGAAAGCCAAGGTTGCACTGATATACAACAGTGTCACGATAACTGGAGCCACCTCCACTTATGTGACCATTGATGATAGGATCAGGGGAGTCACAGTGGCCAGCTAGAAGTGAGAATAAACCAAATACATGCATCATATTTTCAGTTCTTAGATGATACTTGAAATAGTTGACACATTAGTATGGATTGGCATTAAAAAATACAAACGTTCTTCTTAGAAATGGTCTCAAAACTGTAATAACCATTTGGCACTTTGACATATGAAAACATTTTAAAAAATGTTTTATCCTTTCCTCCCCCAATAATGAATGTCTTTGTGCTGAGAACTGCCTCAATAATTTTATCTGATCGATAATCTAATCTATAATAATGTTGGTGGTACAATATATCTTCATTTTTAACTGACATTTTGTAGTTGACTGCTGTGGTCGGATTAAATCTAATGGATAGAATGATCAGTATAAGAAGTTGCCTACCCTAAATCAAATTTGGACACTGGTAATTGAAGATAAATTACCTTAAAAGAGGTTGACCTTCAAGAGTTTGAAGCGGATCAACTGTAACCTGAGGAATCTTAATGTGTTTCTGGCATAATGATTTGAAAACCAATAAGGTGCTCTACCCCATTTGGTGTTCGTCCAAGATCATAACATTGGGGGACGTCCAGGATGACACAATTTTGGGGCTCGTCCAGGATAAGAAAATACAGAAATAAACATTTATACTGTACCAAGACATTTGGTTTCCACTCCGCTCCAGAGCCCGTTGACCCCACATTCCCTCACATGTGACCCCACCAGTGTGTATCCCGTATTACACATGAAGATCGCTGTGGCACCAAATGTAGTCAGGGTTCCTATCTTGTTGCCATAGGGAGGAGAGGGGAGGTCCCCACACGAGATAACTGGAAGTGACACAGACAATCAGAGACTGAGTTATACTTGGTTGCACGCCACTGTGTCTGAGTGGAAACAAATTCTACAATGAGGACTGATTAGTGGAGCATTTTGATCTACAGTGACTAGATATCCCTGAATGAAAGGCATGCAGAGAATTGTGTATTTCAGTGGAGGCTGTTGGGAGGAGCTATAAGAGGATGGGCTCATTGTAATGGCTGGAATGGAATCAATGGAACGCTATCAAAACCATCAAACATTTGGAAACCACGTTTGACTCCATTCCATTGATTCCATTTCAGACATTACAATGAGCCCGTCCTCCTATAGCTCCTCCCACCAGCCTCCACTGGTGTATTTGTACTAGAACACTAAATGGGGAAGTGGCACATCATGTCTTACAGCAGCTGAATGATTCAGCCCTCACAAGTTACCTGTAAATGTTACAATAAATGTAAATAATAATATAATATGCCATTTAGCAGACGCTTTTATCCAAAGCGACTTACAGTCATGCGTGCATACATGTTTGTGTATGGGTGGTCCCGGGTATCGAACCCACTACCTTGGCGTTACAAGCGCCGTGCTCTACCAGCTGAGCTACAATATGCAACTACCTTATGTAAACACATATTGCTGGCCGTTATACTAACATTCATTATATATTGTCCTTGTTTTTGTTTTGTCAGACCATTCTAATGTATGCAACAGTATGCTTGTTTGTTTGTCATTGTGCATTCACCTTCTTTAAATTCACCTACGGTCTGGTTCACCACATGAATAGAAAGGAGTCAGTAAAAATTACAGTATGTAAGGACATTGGCTATAGATGAAAATGAGTACTCATGCAGCATATCAGGGATGGAAATGAAGCTATCCCGCTAGCTCGAGTCTAGTACTTTTCTGACCGGGCTAGTAGAACATTTTCCCAACTAACCCACCGGCAAGTCAAATGTTTTTTTTAAAGTTTCGCATTACAGAGTTTGGACCCAGGCTAGTTACAATAATGCTGTATTCTATTAGCCCAGCTGGCCAGTGCTCAAAATACTTTAATTCCATCCCTGAGCTGTATGTCTTCCCCGTAAGGAGGCACCCCGGGAATGATCAGAAAACACACCAGGGACTCCTGGATGCACCTAATCAAACCCAAGGCCAATGTGCCTTTGCCTGTCCACAATGGCATGTAAACACATTACATATGAAGTCCCCGCTAATCAGAATGTTTACATTCTCCCTCTGACCTCTAATTAGGCAGAGCCTATTTTCCCTGATTACTTCATCACCACTACAGTTGTTTACACAACATGTCTAAGTAGAGGAAATAGGTAGAGCTGTGATCAAAACAAATTGCATGTTTGGATACTGCCTTGTGACTTCCCAGCTCCCACACCAAATCCTGGGGATTATGCATGTTACGGTCCAGAAATACACTGGGAGCCACAATGAGGCAGGGAGGATTTCAGACTTATTAACTGCCAGTCTGAATTACAGCCCTTGTCAGACAATGAAATTGCTCTCAGTAATTAGAAAAAGGTACTATTCATACTCGAAATGTCAAGTATTTTGCACTCCACTCTCATGACTGATCATCATCCCGTGTAGCTCAGTTGGTAGATCATGGTGCTTACAACACCAGGGTTGTGGGTTCGATTCCCACTGGGGACCAGTTAAAAACATATATATATGAAAATGTATGCACTCACTATTGTAAGTTGATCTGGATAAGAGCATCTGCTAAATGACGTAAAATTTAATTTTCTGTAACTCTAAGCAGTGCAGACTGGTGGTACATGCACAGTATGTATCTTACTCTTGCAGGTAGACCTCTCCTCGATTCCAGCCCAGGTTCCATTAGCTAAGCACTTGACGGTCCTCTGTCCTCCCAGGTAGAAGCCAGGAGTGCAGCTCAGCATTATCTGAGCTCCAAATTCATTCAGTGACCCCGAGATCAGCCGCCACACCATGTGTTCTGAGAGCACGCTCTCAATGTTAGGACATTGGATCGCTGTGGGGGGAGACAGAACAGGCCAGAGTTAATGGAATACCGCGACCCTGGCCTTCATTCTGAACACACTCAAAAGTCCAGACATGACAGAGAAATCTCAATTTCCTTTACTTTCTCCAACTTCAGTGATTTGATATTCTAAAAGCCTTGTGATGTGTGTATTATCGGTCTTTGTCCTAGAGTCTATACAGAGTATTATATTCTATTAATAAAACCGCCAAAGCACTTTCTGAGACCAAATGTTTTTGTTATATATATTGTATTCACATAAATCACACTCATTGTAGTATGAACATGTAATTTAAACAGTCATGTCCCAAAATGACTTAAACATGATTGCTTAGAGTGTTTCTGGTAATGCAGGCCTGAGGGGGCGGGGTTGCATCCTACCATTTATTTTGTGTGAGTGCTTAGCCGCAAAGATCTAGTCATTATTGCTCACCCGTTACCTGCTCCACATTACTCTCTAAGGAGGATGTTAATGAGACCTGCATTGACTGCAGTGGCTCAATGAGGCAAGCGATTTTAGCGTACTGTTGGCATAGAAACAAAGGGTTATTTTTCTCACGTAAACAAAGAGGTGGGTGTGCAGTGTTGCTCCATGTCCCGTCCTCCAGACAGACGGCGCTCGTGGAGAGACTTGTCTCCATCCTGTACCCTTCATTGCACTGGTAGTTCACTTTGCTTCCCACTGTGTACTGGAAACCATGGAATGAACCATTGGCAGGAGACTGAGGGATTCCACAAGATATAGCTGCCAATGGAAAGATATGAAAATATAAAAATTATACTCTCATCAAACGATAATTTCTCACCCTGCAACTGTTTATTCAAATCAGAATTTCATCTACCTAAGCAACAGGAACATCTACCAAAGCAACAAAGCAACATATTTTGAGAACAGTTCAAGCTAGTAGATGTTTTCATAGTTCCAGTAAAAGCAGTGGGACCAATTAGGCTGTTTTCTTGTCAAATTTGATCACAACCTTACGTTTAAATTGGATTAAACAGAGAAGCCAGAATCCTCCTCTGCCTCCCCATGACCTTAAGAACAGCTGAATGAATTACTCTCAGCACTTACAGAAATTATGCCACATAATTAGTGGACACTATGGCCACTTCTCATCACATGAGTGTTCTGTGTTCTGACTATAGTGGCCGTGTGTCTCAAAGGGCAGGGATTAAAAGGAAGTAAGCTAAGTATGTACCAGTACTGTTAGTATGTACCAGTACTGTTAGTATGTACCAGTACTGTTAGTATGTACCAGTACTGTTAGTATGTACCAACTATTAGAGTACATTGGAAACCAGAACTTTACCCTTGAAGATTGTGGCATTCACTTGCTTAAACCCACGCTTACTGTTCGAAATACCATGTTTAGAATACCGTGCAAATGGAACAGACGATCTCATCATATAAAATTATAATTTCCTATCAGGTTTAGTGAGGATAACAAATAGCTATCTTGTTTTGTTCGCTTGTTACCCACCTATAGTTGACCACAATTGAGTGGACACAATTTTCAAATAATTATTCCCTTTCCTTTGTACCTTTAAATAGATAATTGTCTTGCATGCTCTATCGCAAACAGGCGTTAAAGATAAAACCCCCAGAAGTAATTAGCTCCACCTTATCCTCTATTCCTTTATGCAAAAATAAATCTTGTTACAGCAATGGGCTGTCACACTAGTGAACACAATGCAGAAAGGCTCAGTTACATAACTGTCGATGATTATATATTTCTGAACAAAGTTTGTTAAAAGACTTCTCAGAATCTACTCATTAAGATATTTTCTATGATATTAGGAAATATTCATGAATTGTAGCCTGCTATGTTGAAGACCAAATAGAAAAAGAAACAGTAAATGAATCACAATTCCTCCAGATTTATGCAGACACAAACACATCTCAACATTGTGACAAGAGGGAGCCCAATCACATTTGCAAGACTTTCACCAGACATAAGATTAAAGTGAATCCCCCTCGAGTCAGTAAATGCCATTCGCCGTTCTGCATTACCTTGACATAGTGGAGCTGGGGCATCCCAATGATACAGTCCATTCAGATGTAACCGGCAGGTGGAATTTCTGGGCCCCACTAGTCTGTAGCCAGCATAACAATAGTACGCCAGATTGCTTCCTGGGATCTCTCTTGTTCGGTTAAGCACCCCTCCATTTGCAGGTGGGTCGTTAATGCTACAATAAGGAGCTAAATTGAAAAGAAAGGAGCAATTTAAGTGTTTTCTATATCATTCCTCCTTCTAAATGATGAACGATATACACTAGATATACATTAGTATTTTATATTACATTACATTAGTATAACATTACATTAAATCCATCCAACCAGTGAATAGTACTAAATGGTTAAGTCTAGGTTCTGGGTGATTAGACCTCATGTTAAAACTCCAAGCATCAGTCTAATTTACTTTGATGAAAGACCAATGGACTGTTAAAGACGAAGGGAAAAGTCCCCTGGCTGGGTAAAGACTTCTTCACTCCCAAAGCAGTTTTGTAAAGATCAAGCGGAAGTGTATTACCCTGTCTGTGTTCAACATCCCTGCATTATTTAAAAATACTTTTACATAGTTTGACAGCACCGAGGTAGCCAATCTGAAGCCTTCAGAAACCATCACTTATTCTGACACGTCAGGCCTCAATGCAATGTCAAATTTTTCATTCATGCACAAGGGATGGCAAATTGAATAAATGGGGAAACGTGGAAACAAACTGGAATAATAACTAGCACAGGGGCTGGAATGGCAAAAGGATCGACTAAAATGAACAGAGAGAAGAAAAGTGACAGAAAAGGCGGAGAAATGGAGAGTAATCATTGCCACCAGGCTTTGTGAGCTATAAATCATGTTTGGTCATTGGTGGAAATGTCGGTTTGAGGCACCGGACATGGCGGTTATTCATACAAATTCATCATCGGATCTTTGACCTCTATTATGGAGGACTTGCAAAAGGATCCCTGCAGGTATAGTCTAATGAGGGCTAACTTGGAAAAGTCTGACTGCCTCACACTCTTTGACCTACATTGGATTCAAAGCAACAGCCTCAGAGGAAAGAGACTGGTGCCTAAGCTTCTCTGACACCCATTCCTGAGGAAAAAGGTTATGGCGCTGTCCCCCTTTTTGAATGTCCTGTAATTCAAATGTTTCATTTGGTGTCTGTTATGAAACATAACAGTCTCCCCTAATAAGAATTGTGATGCATTAGCAGAAATAGTCATCCCCACAGCACATGGGCGTTAAAGCCTTATCGCAAAATGAAACATATTGTTATGCACTACAAACCTGTGTAGCGGATTCTGAATCCTCTTTTGCTGGTTGCATGATCAGTGGACCATCTCAGGTAAAGGTGGTTGGTCTTGCTTGTAAAGTTTAACTGTGTGGAGTGATTTCCACTAAGGGCCACAAGCAAAGGGCTCTGGCCAGATGGTCCTAACAGATCAAAAGAAACACTCACCAATGACAGTGCTCGTCGTAAGGCATTTGAACATTAAAGCATCTCTGACATGGCATAAACATTTTAGAACAAACAAAATAAAACATGCATATGACTTATTTGGCTGTTGGAAGAGGAAATTACCGTCAAAGATCTCAAGTTCGTCGAACTGCTTCTCACTCTGAAACATCTCCACAAAGATGGAGATGGTGTATGCAGGTTGAACTCTGATGACCCAGGAGCAGGTCTGAGAGTTGGGGTAGTTTTTAGGGAAACCTGGACTAAGGATAACTCCGGATGAGGAGGAGCGTTCCTCATTTGCAGGACACTGGGCTAAACGCACAACAAACACAAGTAGACAAATGAGAAATAGGTCATTACTGCTACGGTACACATCTTTATCACCCCAACTGTCCTTCTCTTGAACTTCTCCAGGTTGCTAAATCCAAATGAGCTCAGGGGTTAGTGATCTATGGCAAGAAAATAATGTGAAGGCATTTTCCATTTTCCTGTTATATTCTACCCTGTGGGCAAATGATAATGAAAACAAACCAAATGGACCATAGCTGCCTCGCTGCATTACGGAATTACAAAATTTAAGGAAACTCCGCTGCGCTTATCTCCATATCTCCCCAGAAAATGTGCTTTGTGCTGTGCTAATGGAACCATACTGCTACCTTCCATCTGTGTCATCACATTGGCACTATAATTAGAAGTGATATGTATGACATTCATAAGCAATTCAATCTGTGACTCACTTTCTGTCAGTGCTCTGATTTCAAAGAGTCACAGAGACTCTGGCTATACTCTAGCTGCACTTAGTTTTTTAACAGGCTGATGCACACCTTGGTACAATGCCTAGTAATAGTGTTGTATAAAGGAGTCATCACAAGGATACAAAGAAATGAGGATAGAACGTCAGATTGAAAAAGCAGGGCAGGCAAACTGACACGCTTGTAAAAGCAGATAACATAGATCATTTCTTGGAACTATCTGAGCTGAAAGTTTACCTCCTGTTATAAATGGAAAAATGATCAGAAAAGGTCAGAACATTCTCTTACCTTCACAAGTAGGCGGAGGACTCTCAAACTGGAGATGAGAGTTGAGCTTACAGGTAAGCTCACTGTTGCCTACCAGGGTAAATCCAGGGAAGCAGCGATACTTCACAACGTCTCCTGGACAAAATAATTATTTCATACGTCTTATAGCAGATGTGACATTATCAACGACTGATGGAAACCTACATTAGATATCAAGTTTATGTCTCTCGAGACAATACCAACAACTATATTACATAACAGCTTGCGTTATAACCCTAACATGGTTGTCCAAGGTCATTTCAAATAAAGGTTCACACCACCATGGTGTACCTCTTTGACTCAAAGTCACATAGGAACATGTTTAAACTGAATCAAGTAGCGGGCCACTGTCTGATTTCCCACCGCAACTCTGAATTATAACCCCCAGTGCTGACCATCTCTCTGGTACACACTTACCTATTTCATAATCTTGATCTTCATATACTATTTCAGCTTCTTCCACTGTTGGGGGAGGTGGACATTTCTTCAGACGATAGGCTGGAGGGGAGGAATAATGAATAAGTAGTTGACCAAAATCACATATTCCACAGTATATTAGACTTATGGATACGTATTCTATCCTTTCATCTATTTGACAAACATAAAAAACTAAGAAATCACCCACAGGTGGTTATAAAAGAAAATAAAGGGATGGGTATATACATATAAATACAATCACATTCACCCGGTTGACCACATTCACCCGGTCACAAAGTAAAAACATGAGAATACTTTATTTCTGATATATTTTCAAAACAGGGAATCAGCAAGCTTTAGCAGTAACAGTATGCATTGCATTTTTAGCTACAACATTTTTTTTATTTGGAAGAGAAACTAACCATGGAAATTGAGGACAAAGAATCCACTCGTGGAGAAGTCGCTGTGAAACTTGATAAGGACCTGATTGAAAGAACTGTAGGCTGACTCTAGTGCTGTATTACCACTGAAAATCCCAAGCTGTGGGTAGCTGTGCTCAGGGCCATCCCTGGAAGAGGCCAGAAGACATTGAAAGTGCATTACATTTATAACGCACACATTAAACAGTGCAATGATGTCCAGAATTTCAGTGTGGCTCGGTTGAATTGATTTGCTCTCAAATCTATAGCAAGATTTGTGCTGACGTTCATATAAAAACCATTACATTACAGACTGTGTTGAATGAAAACAGCAAATAAATGATGACTTTACAGACTACTGGCCTCTGTTAATGGCTACTGAAGATGAATAACCTATATAACTCACAGAGGGCTGTATTGTGGCAGAAAGTGTGTATTTTACCCGTTGAAATACATCGTTTTAATCCACTCTCGGGTGCTGCAGATTAAACCAGTTCATGCACTTATTCTATTGTGACTATCAAGTGCATCTTCACTAGTCAAAGGAATAAAAGCACTATGTTGATTTGTTTCCTTTCTTGCTGTATTTACAGTATAACTCTGGGTTTTCCTGTGCAGGTTAGCACTGCAGAGTGCCCACTGGGCAAAAACTGGCTGAATCAACATTGTTTCCATGTCATTTTAACCCCCAAAATCATTTGACGACGATGAATCAATGTGGAAAACTAATTGGATTTGCACGTTGAATTCACGTTAGTTGACAATTCAACCAAATGTAAATCAAAACTAGACGTTGAACTGACGTCTGTGCCCAGTGGGTCGTCACTAGCTGGCATATCCACAAAGTCATAAAATTGGAACCCTAACCTTAACCACACTGCGTGCTAACTCTAACCTTAAATTAAGACCAAAAAGCTATTTTTCTAGAATTTTTCCAATATTGCCAATTTTTACTTTGAAGCTGGCCCATCTAGTGGAAATCACTCAGGTTTGCCTCAAGGACAAGACTCTTCCCGATACATGTCAACCTGCTCGTCCTGTGCTGTGAAGTAAATGGTAGTTCTTCACAGTAAAAGACATATCAGCCAATGATGAACTGATGGGGCTTGTGAGAAACCATGAAACCCTTACCATACAGCAATGTAATCTGTGACAGGCTCCGTCTGAAGCAGGGTGAAGTTGATGTAAATGCCATGTCCATGTGGTACGGTGATAAGCCAGGTGCAGTCCTGTGAGTTAGGGTACTCATTTGGGTACTGGGGCGAGAATATGGTGCCATTCTGAGCTGTCATATTGTAGCCACATGGAGCTGCAGTAGAAGAGAAGATGGAGCGGTTTCATCACAGAGGGTGTGGCTCAGTTGGTAGAGTGTGGCGCTTGCAACGCCAGGGTTGAGGGTTCGATTCCCACGGGGGGGGGGGACCAGTACGAGGAAAAAAAGTATTAAATGTATCCACTCAAGTTGCTCTGGATAAGAGTGTCTGCTAAATGTAGAGCATTTAGTAGGAATTGATGTTAAGTGGATTGGTCGGTCTCATTTGCTTGGCTTATTTGTCTGCTAACAACTTAAGAGCATTTTCTTCACCAATTGAACCTTCATTTCAAATATCTGTACTACTTGTAGATTAAATATGAGCAGCAATCACGAGAGCAGTTTTGACAACAGAGTAAATCCCACATTGTGTTATATTATCATGGTAAGTGTCACTTTCCCTGTTTTCTAGGATTAGTCAACCCTGCACATTGAACTTTGAACCCAAAAGGGATGCAGTGATGACTTCAGCTGCTTCAACAAGAACCCAGTTTACCAAATACACCTCCAAAACACAATACCATGACGCTGAAAGGTGTCGTTGAATGAGGGCCACCTCTTAGAAATCTTTGCAGGTATTGATTGAATAAGCCTTTGCCAGCTCGTACACTGCTCAATGCAGAAGAAATGTAGAACGTGTCCCAGTAGTGTGGGTCTCAACTGGAGCAGTTTTCAAAGGCAGTAATCTGAGAGGCAGTTTCTGGAAACACTGCCTTTTTTCATACAGTATTTTTTCTAACAGAACAGAACAGAACTTCAACAGCATTACGAGGGTTATATAATAACATCTAGTATAGGGCTGATACAAATGTCCTAACAAATACATTCTAAAATAGTTTGATAAATAAAGCAAAGAAGCCATTGATGCTTTTGGTAAATATCTGTTATGTATCATATTAACCCATGCTCACCCTCACAACGGGGAAAGGGATGATTCCATTTTCTGTTGATTCCATGTTGGCATGTGAGCACAGGATGTCCAATCAGAACGTATCCAGGAAAGCACTCAAAAGTTATTGACTGGCCAGCATTGTAGTCATTATTAATAATATATCCATTAGGGAATGGAGTAGGGTCTTGGCAATTCTGCAATTCATATGCTAAAACACAAGAGAGCAAGACAGAAAAAAACGTGTGATTACACCTAGAAAATGTCACATTTATGACAAGCTTATGCAATAAAAATACATATTTCTTGTAACAGGAATGCACATACATCATAACAAAATAAAACATATTTCAACAAGAAATGTTCAAACGAATTCTGTGGACTCTCGTCCACAGCCCACAGGTGACCCATCCCACTTAACCTTTAGAGACAGTACCGGAACACACATGCCACCTGTCAGACACATTTCCACGAAATGTCACTGTGACATGTCTATTTCAAGCATATGCCAACAACAAAGAATGAATGCCAGGAACACCAAGAAACGTTTCTATTTCAACCTAAAAATACAGCAACGTCACGCCAAAAGATATTGAAGCTTGACAGCGCTGGTAATTGACGATCAAGTTCAAATTTCTTTTTGCATACTATGAGCGAGCAATTGTTAAATGAGATGTGGTGTTTTGTTTGGTGAAAGGAGAAGAGGAAAAGCCAGGATCTGAACCCTCTGGCCTCGATGTGGGGGAAGACGACACACAGGGTTATCTCTTGAAAAGTGGAAGCCATGAACTCAACATCTACAGTTGCCATAGACCTTAACAAGGACCACAGGACCAGTGGAAGCAAAATAGCCCCATAACATCAAAGTGCACTCAACATCTAAATGCCGCTCTCCATTGATTCTGAATGGTTTGTCCAGGCGGGAGCAGCCACATAACGGAGTAACCTCTCAATGATCCTGAGAGGGCAGATTCTCCGATAATTTAACTGACAGGTACTTAAGTCCTTGAAGCGGACATTCCATCTATTTTGCATTTAACCTTTAATCACCCTGATTTACGTCCTAAAAAGAAAGCTAGAGCATATCAACAGAAGATAGATAAAAACGGTATCAATAAGGATTTCACATCAGACATTCCCATAGATTATTTCCCAGATTTGGCACAAACGCCCCCAAAACAACATCCAAGCCTTGTTGCACCACAATTGTCAATTGAAACCAATAGAGACCAAGCTCTTTTAGGTGAGGCGAAACCATTTGGTCGATGAAACCAGAGTACACCTCACCTTGGTAGGCCAGTTTGAATCCCTGCCTGTTTTCGGAGTGGTCACTGTAGAAGTGAATCACAGTCTCATGTGTTGTACTCAGCAGGTTGGGCGGCAGCTGACTTCCGCTGAACTGTCCAATCAGAGAGCTGCTGTGCTGTGGCCCATTTCGCACCTCTAAAAAATCATGGTTGTCTTCAGAGGAGAAGTTGAGGAACTGAATATGAGCCCCTGTAAAACACAGAAACATTATATGAGATATACTGTATGGACAACGTCTTCGGCTGTTGGAGCTATGTTTATTTCATAATCAAAACATGCATCAAAACCTGCCCTCTCTCTTTGAAAGTTACGGGCAAGTCTATGGGCCAAATGTCCCCTCCCCTTCTGAAATTCAAAAGATGCTAAAACCTGCGAAATCATGAATTGTTCAAATAACCAGTGACGAAAAACACAAACACTGAAACTACTGCTGCTCGTTAGCCCACGCATCCGTTTCCTTCCTGACAGATTCTACGGTACCAGTTACTGGATGTTTAGGTAGATCTGTCCACCAGAGATTACCTAAAGTGTTAACTATTAATAATAATATGCCATTTAGCAGACACTTTTATCCAAAGCGACTTACAGTCATGTGTGCATAAATTTTTGCGTATGGGTGGTCCGGGGATCGAACCCACTACCCTGGCGTTACAAGCACATGCTCTACCAATTGAGCTACAGAGGACCACAGTGATTAACAGTGATGTTGTGAAATTGCGGCGTGTGTACATGTTTTGTAATCATGTAATGCATTTAGCCATTACCTTGGCTCATTTCATGTGCTTTTGACCTAATTGTACTAGCCTATTTTTGTCAAGGTACATCATGTCTGCATGTTGAGAAAAACTCTTCAACTCACTAATATGTTATGATGGTAGAAATGATTCAGCAATCTAATACTGAGATCAGGTCATGTTTTTCCAGGGGAGACACAGAAATGGGAAATGAATACAATCAATTTAACTGTGTTTTTCTGTTCTCTTACGTTCGGTTCTTCCAAGGCTAGCAAAAGGCCTGATGCTGGAGGAAAGCATTTGCCACTTGGTGATGCTTAGGAGAATCCTTTGAAGGATAATCTTGTTGTTATGCAGCCATGTACCACTTTCTCACAATGCTTTATCCTACCCATTCTGTCTGTCCTAAAAGCTGTAATCAGCGTCTGCAAAGCCTCTTGTGTCTTTTTAAAAATATTGGGCCCTGTAAACAACACAAGCTAATGCATTTTTGGTACACACACAGCCCAAAATGATCATTCTTGTCTTTACTTGTGGAGTTCTTGCTTGATAAGGCAGAAAATTGCTTTTGGATATCTCGATGTGTTACAATATTTTTCTTATGTTAGGTAGAGAGAATTCTTTGTGCTCAGAGGCAAGCCTAAATAGCTTTTTAAATCACACACAATTACCTTGTTAACATCTGGAGTGGTTACTTTGTTCTGGACTCATTTGAACTGTGAAGCACGACAAATATGTGGGCTGCAACCCACAGCTCTCTTGTAAATTGCTAAACAGACTGCAAAGGTCTCAAAATGGAGATAAAGCAAGAGGATAGCTAAAGGGGATCCATTTTCATAAGGAAGATGTCACAGAACCACAACTACCTTTTGTTAGTTCCAGGCAGAGATGTAAATCACTAATATATTGTCTATTAATGTTCTGTATTATGTCATGTTTGATGTTTTGTGTGGACCCCAGGAATAGTAGCTGCTGCTTTTTCAACAGCTAATGGGGATCCTAATAAAATAGCAAATATATTAAATAAAGAAAATATATACAGTGGGGAAAAAAAGTATTTAGTCAGCCACCAATTGTGCAAGTTCTCCCACTTAAAAAGATGAGAGAGGCCTGTAATTTTCATCATAGGTACACGTCAACTTGAACAGACAAAATGAGAAAAAAATATTCAGAAAATCACATTGTAGGATTTTTAATAAATTTATTTGCAAATTATGGTGGAAAATAAGTATTTGGTCACCTACAAACAAGCAAGATTTCTGGCTCTCACAGACCTGTAACTTCTTCTTTAAGAGGCTCCTCTGTCCTCCACTCGTTACCTGTATTAATGGCACCTGTTTGAACTTGTTATCAGTATAAAAGACACCTGTCCACAACCTCAAACAGTCACACTCCAAACTCCACTATGGCCAAGACCAAAGAGCTGTCAAAGGACACCATAAACAAAATTGTAGACCTGCACCAGGCTGGGAAGACTGAATCTGCAATAGGTAAGCAGCTTGGTTTGAAGAAATCAACTGTGGGAGCAATTATTAGGAAATGGAAGACATACAAGACCACTGATAATCTCCCTCGATCTGGGGCTCCACGCAAGATCTCACCCCGTGGGGTCAAAATGATCACAAGAACGGTGAGCAAAAATCCCAGAACCACACGGGGGGACCTAGTGAATGACCTGCAGAGAGCTGGGACTAAAGTAACAAAGCCTACCATCAGTAACACACTATGCCGCCAGGGACTCAAATCCTGCAGTGTGGGACGTGTCCCCCTGCTTAAGCCAGTACATGTCCAGGCCCGTCTGAAGTTTGCTAGAGTGCATTTGGATGATCCAGAAGAGGATTGGGAGAATGTCATATGGTCAGATGAAACCAAAATAGAACTTTTTGGTAAAAACTCAACTCGTCGTGTTTGGAGGACAAAGAATGCTGAGTTGCATCCAAAGAACACCATACCTACTGTGAAGCATGGGGGTGGAAACATCATGCTTTGGGGCTGTTTTTCTGCAAAGGGACCAGGACGACTGATCCGTGTAAAGGAAAGAATGAATGGGGCCATGTATCGTGAGATTTTGAGTGAAAACCTCCTTCCATCAGCAAGGGCATTGAAGATGAAACGTGGCTGGGTCTTTCAGTATGACAATGATCCCAAACACACCGCCCGGGCAACGAAGGAGTGGCTTCATAAGAAGCATTTCAAGGTCCTGGAGTGGCCTAGCCAGTCTCCAGATCTCAACCCCATAGAAAATCTTTGGAGGGAGTTGAAAGTCCGTGTTGCCCAGCGACAGCCCCAAAACATCACTGCTCTAGAGGAGATCTGCATGGAGGAATGGGCCAAAATACCAGCAACAGTGTGTGAAAACCTTGTGAAGACTTACAGAAAACGTTTCACCTGTGTCATTGCCAACAAAGGGTATATAACAATGTATTAAGAAACTTTTGTTATTGACCAAATACTTATTTTCCACCATAATTTGCAAATATATTCATTAAAAATCCTACAATGTGATTTTCTGGAAATTTTTTCTCATTTTGTATGTCATAGTTGACGTGTACCTATGATGAAAATTACAGGCCTCTCTGATCTTTTTAAGTGGGAGAACTTGCACAATTGGTGGCTGACTAAATACTTTTTTCCCCCACTGTATATATAAAAATAAAGCTATTATCTCTGAACTTCCTAACATGGCTTCTCCTTATCATTATCATAGCAGGTTCCTCACCATATCCAACTGGTAACAGAATCCTCCATGTACAGTCCATGTTACCAGGGTAGTTGCCAGGGAATCCAGGACTTAAAATAACATCGGCCAAGTCAACTGCTGTTCCACCGCACTTTGCTGGAAAATAAAAATGCACATTACGTGTGGCACACCTTGAAAAAATACTGCAGACAATGAATAGCACTGAAACTGTAACACAATTGCCTTGAATGTGACCACCTCTAAGTAAAAGTTCTTACCGATGCAGAGTGGGGGAGGGTAGTTCCAGCGCCGCACGGTCCCTGGCATACAGGATATATGAGAGTGGCCCTGGAAAATGTAAAGGTAGGGGTTTCTCTCTATAATGTAAGGTAGGGGTTTCTCTCTCTGATGTAAAGGTAGGGGTTTTCTCTCTCAGATGTAAAGGTAGGGGGTTTCTCTCTATAATGTAAAGGTAGGGGGTTTCTCTCTATAATGTAAAGGTAGGGGTTTCTCTCTATAATGTAAAGGTAAGGGTTTTCTCTCTATAATGTAAAAGTAGGGGGTTTCTCTCTATAATGTAAAGGTAGGAGGTTTCTCTCTATAATGTAAAGGTAGGGGTTTCTCTCTATAATGTAAAGGTAGGAGGTTTCTCTCTATAATGTAAAGGTAGGGGGTTTCTCTCTATAATGTAAAGGTAGGGGTTTCTCTCTATAATGTAAAGGTAAGGGTTTTCTCTCTATAATGTAAAAGTAGGGGGTTTCTCTCTATAATGTAAAGGTAGGAGGTTTCTCTCTATAATGTAAAGGTAGGGGTTTCTCTCTATAATGTAAAGGTAGGAGGTTTCTCTCTATAATGTAAAGGTAGGGGTTTCTCTCTATAATGTACAAGTAGGGGTTTTCTCTCTAAAATGTAAAGGTAAGGGTTTTCTCTCTATAATGTAAAAGTAGGGTTTTTCTCTCTATAATGTAAACGTAGGGGGTTTCTCTCTATAATGTAAAAGTATGTGGTTTCTCTCTATAATGTAAAAGTATGTGGTTTCTCTCTATAATGTAAATAGGGCGGCTGGTGGCTTAGTGGTTAAGAGCGTTGTGCCAGTAACCGAAAGGTCGCTGGTTCTAATCCCCGAGCCGACTAGGTGAAAAAACTGTCTGTGCCCTTGAGCAAGGCACTTAACCCTAATTGCTCCTGTAAGTCGCTCTGGATAAGAGCGTCTGCTAAATGACCAATTTATTTATTTAAAGGTAGGGGGTTTCTCTCTATAATGTAAAGGTAGGGGGTTTCTCTCTATAATGTAAAAGTAGGGGTTTTCTCTCTAGAATGTAAAGGTAAGGGTTTTCTCTCTAGTATGTAAAGGTAGGGGGTTTCTCTCTATAATGTAAAGGTAAGGGTTTTCTCTCTATAATGTAAAAGTAGGGGTTTTCTCTCTATAATGTAAAGGTAGGGGTTTACTCTCTATAATGTAAAGGTAGGGGGTTTCTCTATATAATGTAAAGGTAGGGGGTTTCTCTCTATAATGTAAAGGTAGGGGGTTTCTCTCTCTAATGTAAAGGTAGGGGGTTTCTCTCTATAATGTAAAAGTAGGGGTTTTCTCTCTAAAATGTAAAGGTAAGGGTTTTCTATCTAAAATGTAAAAGTAAGGGTTTTCTCTCTATAATGTAAAGGTAGGGGGTTTCTCTCTATAATGTAAAGGTAGGGGGTTTCTCTCTCTAATGTAAAGGTAGGGGGTTTCTCTCTAGTATGTAAAGGTAGGGGTTTTCTCTCTAAAATGTAAAGGTAAGGGATTTCTCTCTATAATGTGGTTTTCTCTCTATAATGTAAAGGTAGGGGGTTTCTCTCTCTAATGTAAAGGTAAGGGTTTTCTCTCTATAATGTAAAAGTATGTGGTTTCTCTCTATAATGTAAAGGTAGGGGGTTTCTCTCTCAGATGTAAATGTAGGGGGTTTCCTTCTATAATGTAAAGGTAGTGGGTTCTCTCTATAATGTAAAAGTAGGGGGTTTCTCTCTCAGATGTAAAGGTAGGGGGTTTCTCCCTATAGTGTAAAGGTACGGTTTTTCTCTCTATAACTCTATAGTGTAAAGGTAAGGGGTTTATCTCTATAATGTAAAGGTAGGGGGTTTCTCTCTCAGATGTAAAGGTAGGGGTTTTCTCTCTATAACTCTGTAGTGTAAAGGTAATGGGTTTCACTCTCTAATGTAAAGGTAGAGGGTTTCGCTCTATAGTGTAAAGGTAGGGTGTTTCTCTCTATAATGTAAAGGTAGGGTGTTTCTCTCTATAATGTAAAGGTAGGGGGTTTCTCTCTCTAATGTAAAAGTAGGGGGTTTCTCTCTATAATGTTACAGTAGGTGGTTTCTCTCTATAATGTAAAGGTAGGGGGTTTCTCTCTCAGATGTAAATGTAGGGGGTTTCCTTCTATAATGTAAAGGTAGGGGGTTCTCTCTATAATGTAAAAGTAGGGGGGTTCTCTCTCTAATGTAAAGATAGGGGGTTTCGCTCTATAGTGTAAAGGTCGGGTGTTTCTCTCTATAATGTAAAGGTAGGGTGTTTCTCTCTATACTGTAAAGGTAGGGGGTTTCTCTCTCTAATGTAATGGTAGGGGGTTTCTCTATATAATGTAAAAGTAGGGGGTTTCTCTCTATAATGTAAAGGTAAGGGTTTTCTCTCTATAATGTAAAAGTAGGGGGTTTCTCTCTATAATGTAAAGATAGGGGTTTTCTCTCTATAATGTAAAGGTAGGGGTTTCTCTCTATAATGTAAAAGTATGGGTTTTCTCCCTAAAATGTAAAGGTAAGGGTTTTCTCTCTATACTGTAAAAGTAGGGGTTTCTCTCTATAATGTAAACGTAGGGGGTTTCTCTCTATAATGTAAAGGTAAGGGTTTTCTCTCTATAATGTAAAAGTATGTGGTTTCTCTCTATAATGTAAAGGTAGGAGGTTTCTCTCTATAATGTAAAGGTAGGGGGTTTCTCTCTCTAATGTAAAGGTAGGGGGTTTCTCTCTATAATGTAAAAGTAAGGGTTTTCTCTCTAGAATGTAAAGGTAAGGGTTTTCTCTCTAGTATGTAAAGGTAGGGGGTTTCTCTCTATAGTGTAAAGGTAGGGGTTTCTCTCTATAATGTAAAGGTAGGGGGTTTCTCTCTCTAATGTAAAGGTAAGGGTTTTCTCTCTATAATGTAAAAGTATGTGGTTTCTCTCTATAATGTAAAGGTAGGGGGTTTCTCTCTATAATGTAAAAGTAAGGGTTTTCTCTCTAGAATGTAAAGGTAAGGGTTTTCTCTCTAGTATGTAAAGGTAGGGGGTTCCTCTCTATAGTGTAAAGGTAGGGGTTTCTCTCTATAATGTAAAGGTAGGGGGTTTCTCTCTCTAATGTAAAGGTAAGGGTTTTCTCTCTACAATGTAAAAGTATGTGGTTTCTCTCTATAATGTAAAGGTAGGGGGTTTCTCTCTATAATGTAAAGGTAGGGGGTTTCTCTCTATAATGTAAAAGGTAGGGGGTTTCTCTCTATAATGTAAAAGTAGGGGTTTTCTCTCTAGAATGTAAAGGTAAGGGTTTTCTCTCTAGTATGTAAAGGTAGGGGTTTTCTCTCTAAAATGTAAAGGTAAGGGTTTTCTCTCTATAATGTAAAAGTAGGGGGTTTCTCTCTATAATGTAAAGGTAGTGGGTTTCTCTCTCTAATGTAAAGGTAGGGGGTTTCTCTCTATAATGTAAAATTAGGGGTTTTCTCTCTAGAATGTAAAGGTAAGGATTTTCTCTCTAGTATGTAAGGGTAGGGGTTTTCTCTCTAAAATGTAAAGGTAAGGGTTTTCTCTCTATAATTTAAAAGTAGGGGTTTTCTCTCTATAATGTAAACGTAGGGTGTTTCTCTCTGTAATGTAAAGGTCAGGGTTTTCTCTCTATAATGTAACAGTAGGTGGTTTCTCTCTATAATGTAAAGGTAGGGGGTTTCTCTCTCAGATGTAAATGTAGGGGGTTTCCTTCTATAATGTAAAGGTAGGGGGTTCTTTCTATAATGTAGAAGTAGGGGGTTTCTCTCTCAGATGTAAAGGTGGGGGGTTTATCCCTATAGTGTAAAGGTAGGGGTTTTCTCTCTATAACTCTATAGTGTAAAGGTAATGGGTTTCACTCTCTAATGTAAAGGTAGGGGGTTTCGCTCTATTGTGTAAAGGTAGGGTGTTTCTCTCTATAATGTAAAGGTAAGGGTGTTTCTCTCTATAATGTAAAGGTAGGGGGTTTCTCTCTCTAATGTAATGGTAGGGGGTTTCTCTCTATAATGTAAAAGTAGGGGGTTTCTATCTATAATGTAAAGGTAAGGGTTTTCTCTCTATAATGTAAAAGTAGGTGGTTTCTCTCTATAATGTAAAGGTAGGGGGTTTCTCTCTCCGATGTAAAGGTAGGGGGTTTCCTTCTATAATATAAAGGTAGGGGTTTCGCTCTATTATGTAAAAGTAGGGGGTTTCTCTCTCAGATGTAAAGGTAGGGGGTTTCTCAATATAGTGTAAAGGTAGGGGTTTTCTCTCTATAACTCTATAGTGTAAAGGTAAGGGGTTTCTCTCTATTATGTAAAGGTAGGGGGTTTCTCTCTATAGTGTAAAGGTAGGGGGTTTCTCTCTATAATGTAAAGGTAGGGTGTTTCTCTCTATAACGTAAAGGTAGGGGGTTTCTCTCTCTAATGTAATGGTAGGGGGTTTCTCTCTATAATGTAAAAGTAGGGGTTTTCTCTCTAGAATGTAAAGGTAAGGGTTTTCTCTCTAGTATGTAAAGGTAGGGGTTTTCTCTCTAAAATGTAAAGGTAAGGGTTTTCTCTCTAGTATGTAAAGGTAGGAGTTTTCTCTCTAAAATGTAAAGGTAAGGGTTTTCTCTCTATAATGTAAAAGTAGGGTTTTTCTCTCTATAATGTAAACGTAGGGGGTTTCTCTCTATAATGTAAAGGTAAGGATTTCTCTCTATAATGTAAAAGTAGGGGGTTTCACTCTATAATGTAAAGGTAGGGGGTTTCTCTCTCAGATGTAAAGGTAGGGGGTTTCTCTCTATAATGTAAAGGTAGGGGTTTCTCTCTATAATGTAAAGGTAGGGGGTTTCTCTCTATAATGTAAAAGTAGGGGTTTTCTCTCTAGAATGTAAAGGTAAGGGTTTTCTCTCTAGTGTGTAAAGGTAGGGGGTTTCTCTCTCTAATGTAAAGGTACAGGTTTTCTCTCTATAATGTAAAAGTAGGGGTTTTCTCTCTATAATGTAAAGGTAGGGGTTTTCTCTCTATAATGTAAAGGTATGTGGTTTCTCTCTATAATGTAAAGGTAGGGGGTTTCTCTCTATAATGTAAAGGTAGGGGGTTTCTCTCTATAATGTTAAGGAAGGGGGATTCTCTCTCTAATGTAAAGGTAGGGTGTTTCTCTCTATAATGTAAAAGTAGGGGTTTTCTCTCTAGAATGTAAAGGTATGGTTTTTTCTCTAGTATGTAAAGGTAGGGGTTTTCTCTCTAAAATGTAAAGGTAAGGGTTTTCTCTCTATAATGTAAAAGTAGGGGATTTCTCTCTATAATGTAAAGGTAAGGGTTTTCTCTCTATAATGTAAAAGTAGGTGGTTTCTCTCTATAATGTAAAGGTATGGGGTTTCTCTCTCAGATGTAAAGGTAGGGGGTTTCTTTCTATAATGTAAAGGTAGGGGTTTCTCTCTATAATGTAAAAGTAGGGGGGTTCTCTCTATAATGTAAAGGTAGGGGTTTTCTCTCTATAATGTAAAGGTAGGGGGTTTCTCTCTCAGATGTAAAGGTAAGGGGTTTCCCTCTATAGTGTAAAGGTAGGGGGTTTCTCCCTATAGTGTAAAGGTAGGGGTTTTCTCTCTATAACTCTATAGTGTAAAGGTAATGGGTTTCTCTCTATAATGTAAAGGTAGGGGGTTTCTCTCTATAGTGTAAAGGTAGGGGTTTTCTCTCTATAATGTAAAGGTAAGGGGTTTCTCTCTATAATGTAAAGGTAGGGGTTTTCTCTCTATAACTCTATAGTGTAAAGGTAAGGGGTTTCTCTCTATTATGTAAAGGTAGGGGGTTTCTCTCTATAGTGTAAAGGTAGGGGGTTTCTCTCTATAATGTAAAGGTAGGGTGTTTCTCTCTATAACGTAAAGGTAGGGGGTTTCTCTCTCTAATGTAATGGTAGGGGGTTTCTCTCTATAATGTAAAAGTAGGGGTTTTCTCTCTAGAATGTAAAGGTAAGGGTTTTCTCTCTAGTATGTAAAGGTAGGGGTTTTCTCTCTAAAATGTAAAGGTAAGGGTTTTCTCTCTAGTATGTAAAGGTAGGAGTTTTCTCTCTAAAATGTAAAGGTAAGGGTTTTCTCTCTATAGTGTAAAGGTAGGGGTTTTCTCTCTATAATGTAAAGGTAAGGGGTTTCTCTCTATAATGTAAAGGTAGGGGTTTTCTCTCTATAACTCTATAGTGTAAAGGTAAGGGGTTTATCTCTATTATTTAAAGGTAGGGGGTTTCTCTCTATAGTGTAAAGGTAGGGGGTTTCTCTCTATAATGTAAAGGTAGGGTGTTTCTCTCTATAACGTAAAGGTAGGGGGTTTCTCTCTCTAATGTAATGGTAGGGGTTTCTCTCTATAATGTAAAAGTAGGGGTTTTCTCTCTAGAATGTAAAGGTAAGGGTTTTCTCTCTAGTATGTAAAGGTAGGGGTTTTCTCTCTAAAATGTAAAGGTAAGGGTTTTCTCTCTAGTATGTAAAGGTAGGAGTTTTCTCTCTAAAATGTAAAGGTAAGGGTTTTCTCTCTATAATGTAAAAGTAGGGTTTTTCTCTCTATAATGTAAACGTAGGGGGTTTCTCTCTATAATGTAAAGGTAAGGATTTCTCTCTATAATGTAAAAGTAGGGGGTTTCACTCTATAATGTAAAGGTAGGGGGTTTCTCTCTCAGATGTAAAGGTAGGGGGTTTCTCTCTATAATGTAAAGGTAGGGGTTTCTCTCTATAATGTAAAGGTAGGGGGTTTCTCTCTATAATGTAAAAGTAGGGGTTTTCTCTCTAGAATGTAAAGGTAGGGGGTTTCTCTCTCTAATGTAAAGGTACAGGTTTTCTCTCTATAATGTAAAAGTAGGGGTTTTCTCTCTATAATGTAAAGGTAGGGGTTTTCTCTCTATAATGTAAAGGTATGTGGTTTCTCTCTATAATGTAAAGGTAGGGGGTTTCTCTCTATAATGTAAAGGTAGGGGGTTTCTCTCTATAATGTTAAGGAAGGGGGATTCTCTCTCTAATGTAAAGGTAGGGTGTTTCTCACTATAATGTAAAAGTAGGGGTTTTCTCTCTAGAATGTAAAGGTATGGTTTTTTCTCTAGTATGTAAAGGTAGGGGTTTTCTCTCTAAAATGTAAAGGTAAGGGTTTTCTCTCTATAATGTAAAAGTAGGGGATTTCTCTCTATAATGTAAAGGTAAGGGTTTTCTCTCTATAATGTAAAAGTAGGTGGTTTCTCTCTATAATGTAAAGGTATGGGGTTTCTCTCTCAGATGTAAAGGTAGGGGGTTTCTTTCTATAATGTAAAGGTAGGGGTTTCTCTCTATAATGTAAAAGTAGGGGGGTTCTCTCTATAATGTAAAGGTAAGGGTTTTCTCTCTATAATGTAAAGGTAGGGGGTTTCTCTCTCAGATGTAAAGGTAAGGGGTTTCTCCCTATAGTGTAAAGGTAGGGGGTATCTCCCTATAGTGTAAAGGTAGGGGTGTTCTCTCTATAACTCTATAGTGTAAAGGTAATGGGTTTCTCTCTAGAATGTAAAGGTAGGGGGTTTCTCTCTATAGTGTAAAGGTAGGGGGTTTCTCTCCATAATGTAAAGGTAGGGTGTTTCTCTCTATAATGTAAAGGTAGGGGGTTTCTCTCTCTAATGTAAAGGTAGGGGGTTTCTCTCTATAATGTAAAAGTAGGGGTTTTCTCTCTAGAATGTAAAGGTAAGGGTTTTCTCTCTAGTATGTAAAGGTAGGGGTTTTCTCTCTAAAATGTAAAGGTAAGGGTTTTCTCTCTATAATGTAAAAGTAGGGGGTTTCTCTCTATAATGTAAAGGTAAGGGTTTTCTCTCTATAATGTAAAAGTAGGTGGTTTCTCTCTATAATGTAAATGTAGGGGGTTTCTCTCTCAGATGTAAAGGTAGGGGGTTTGTCCCTATAGTGTAAAGGTAGGGGTTTTCTCTCTATAACTCTATAATGTAAAGGTAGGGGGTTTCACTCTATAATATAAAGGTAGGGGTTTCTCTTTATAATGTAAAGGTAGGGGGTTTCTCGCTCAGATGTAAAGGTAGGATGTTTCTCTCTATAATGTATAGGTAGGTGGTTTCTCTCTATAGTGTAAAGGTAGGGGGTTTATCTCTATAATGTAAAGGTAGGGGGTTTCTCTCTCTAATGTAAAGGTAGGGGTTTCTCTCTATAATGTAAAGGTAGGGGGTTTCTCTCTCAGATGTAAAGGTAGGAGGTTTTTCTCTATAATGCACTGTAAAGGTGGGGGGTTTCTCTCTATAATGTATAGTTAGGTGGTTTCTCTCTAGAATGTAAAGGTAGGTGGTTTCTCTCGATAATGTAAAGGTAGGATGTTTCTCTCTATAATGTACTGTAAAGGTAGGTGGTTTCTCTCTATAACGTATAGTTAGGTGGTTTCTCTCTATAATGTAAAGGTAGGGGGTTTCTCTCTCAGCACACTGAACTCAAAGACAAATCACAGTTTGCCTCTGTTGCTGAGTTGACCTTGCATACAAGACATGCGACACAGGACACATCTTTACAAATTTACTTAGGGGAAAAGCTTAGCAACACGTTGACATAGCAGTGGGAATATAGCACACATGATTCTCTAAAAGGCTCTCACCTGCAGCATGTATCCCGGTTCACAGCTGAATGACACCACCTCATTGACCATGTACCTGTCTGCTGTTTTGATCCCGTTGGCAGGCACCATTGGCTCCGGACAAGTGGTGAGACCAACGGCTGGATGAAGCATAAAGAGAAAAAAGGTGTCATCATGCCTGCTTAGATAAATACTTGATGTTGCACATCACAGGAATGATTGGTCTTCAATACTCAGTATGGTGATCCTGTTTTGATGTTTCAGAGTACAGTATTTATCAAAGCTGGAGCAACAAGAGGCAAACACATCAGAGAGTATTGCAAAGCCAATTGGATATGATTATTGTATGCTGTCAACAGGCTCTGGTATAGCCTATAGCTATTAAAATAGATAAGATGATTATTGATTTTGTCATGATGACATAGAATTTTTGTACGTTTGTTAAGTTTTGTATAGTTAAATAATTTGTCATTTGGATGGTTATAAACCCGGTCGTAGGAAGGTCATGCAGATACATAACTACAGTTGGGTACCCAGGGGCACAGGATACTGACAACGTCATGAAGCTATAAGTGTATTTTGTGCTGTAGTGTGTAACCATTGTCTCTATGCTTTTTCATTTAGAACGCTAAAACAGTATTGTAAAAAAAATCTGAAAATAGCATACCCACTGATCCGTGTTATTTAAATATGCATTGTGATTTTGCTCATTTCTTGGAAACATCTTCCAGTGGGTTAAAACTGTACACACTGCAGGAGGAGACAGTGAGAGAGAATGTTGCCATGACAACCACCTTCGTCATGCCAATGAAAGGAGATCCTGTATAAATGTGTCTTATTTGGATTGCACCACTCAGCAGGTAGCACTGTGCAGTTGTGAGTGTGTGTAAAACTCTCTCATTTTTCTACCCATCAATAGCAAAGGACTTTCACCTGCGATGCCTACATTACCCAACACAACAAAAGCCAACAGACACTGACACACTGCTAATGTGTAGGTGACTGTTTCAAACAGGGAAGCCCAAATGGCTGTGGGCAGCTAGGGCGAGACTAGGGAGATTAAACATTGGCATTGGTTCAAGGAGAATTCACAGCAGAATTCGGAGCAAGGTACTTTCAATAGATTCTAAGGAGCATGTACTCCTGTTCAGGAGGGAGTGAGGCGAGATGTACAGTATGCAGCTGGTAAAAAACCGATGAACCACAAAAGGAACACTGGGCATTTCTTTAAATGCTAAGGCATCAGAACCCTGGCTTGTACCAAACTACTAACACATTTATTTAGATCAATTTCACTTGTGAATTCCAATTCCATCTAGCTGAAACTCACAATACACATACCAACCATTGGAAGTGATTTTCTGCTGAATAAATCAATAAAATGCCACATGGCCATAGTCTCACTCTCAGAGGATAAATTATAACCCTTGAGGGAAAAAATCTGACATTTTCTCTACAATCACAACGGACTGATCCAGGCAGGAATTCAGATCCAAAAAGTCGAACATTTGATACACTTGTCTCCTCACCCGAGCTCTAACAAATTCAGCATCTTGATGTGTGATAAAAACACGTGGCATGAATCTCATTATAGATTTGGCACTTCGTAACTACCGTGCACAAGACAGATTCAGTCTAGGATCATTAAGATGCAGCCACAGTCATCCGATGCTAAACATTCAGGATAAACCTAAAAGTCAATGACAACCATCTCTATGCAAATATAACAAGCTCCTCTCGTTCTGACAGAAAGTCACAAAGCTATTCTTTTTTAATGATATCTACTTTTACAGTACATGTAGCTCTAGGTAAAAATGTATTATAAACTGGGTGGTTCGAGCCCTGAATGCTGATTGGCTGACAGCTGTGGTATATCAGACCATATACCACAGGTATGACAAAACATGTATTTTTACTGCTCTAATTACGTTGGTAACCAGTTTATAATAGCAATAAGGTACCTCGGGGGTTTGTGGTATATGGCCAAAATACCACGGCTAAGGGCTGTATCCAGGCACTTCGCGTTGCATCGTGCCTAAGAACAGTTCTTAGCCATGGTATATTGGCCATATACCCAGTGGTGGAAAAAGTACTAAATTGTCATACTTGAGTAAAAGTAAAGATACCTTAATAGAAAATGACTCAAGTAAAAGTGAAAGTCACCCAGTAAAATACTACTTGAGTAAAAGTCTAAAAGTATTTGGTTTTAAATATACTTAAGTATCAAAAGTAAAAGTAAAAGTATAAATAATTTCAAATTCCTTATATTAAGCAAACCAGACGGCACCATTTTAACTGTATTTTTATGATGGATAGCCAGGGGCACGCTCCAAAACCCAGACATCATTTACAAACAAAGCATTTGTGTTTAATGAGTCCGCCAGATCAGAGGCTGTAGGAATGACCAGGGATGTTCTCTTGATAAGTGTGTGAATTGAACCATTTTCCTGTCAAAATGTAATGAGTACTTTTGGGTGCCAGGGAAAATGTATGGAGTAAAAAGTACAGTCGTGGTCAAAAGTTTTGAGAATGACACAAGTATTGGTCTTCACAAAGTTCGCTGCTGCAGTGTTATGAGATATATTTGTCAGATGTTACTATGGTATACTGAAGTATAATTACAAGCATTCCATAAGTGTCAAAGGCTTTTATTGACAATTACATTAAGTTTATGCAAAGAGTCAATATTTGCAGTGTTGACCCTTATTTTTCAAGACCTCTGCAATCCGCCTTGGCATGCTATCAATTAACTTTTGGGCCACATCCTGACTGATGGCAGCCCATTCTTGCATAATCAATGCTTGGAGTTTTGTCAGAATTTGTGTGGTTTTGTTTGTCCACCCGCCTCTTGAGGATCGACCACAAGTTCTCAATGGGATTAAGGTCTGGGGAGTTTCCTGGCCATGGACCCAAAATGTCGATGTTTTGTTCTCCGAGCCACTTAGTTATCACTTTTGCCTTATGGCAAGGTGCTCCATCATGCTGGAAAAGGCATTGGTCGTCACCAAACTGTTCTTGGATGGTTGGGAGAAGTTGCTCTCGGAGGATGTGTTGGTACCATTCTTTATTCATGGCTGTGTTCTTAGGCAAAATTTTGAGTGAGCCCACTCCCTTGGCTGAGAAGCAACCCCACACATGAATGGTCTCAGGATGCTTTACTGTTGGCATAACACAGGACTGATGGTAGCGCTCACCTTGTCTTCTCCGGACAAGGTGTTTTCCGGATGCCCCAAACAATCGGAAAGGGATTCATCAGAGAAAATTACTTTCCCATTCCTCAGCAGTCCAATCCCTGTACCTTTTGCAGAATATCAGTCTGTCCCTGATGTTTTTCCTGGAGAGAAGTGGCTTCTTTGCTGTACTTCTTGACACCAGGCCATCCTCCAAATGTATTTTGCCTCACTCTGTGTGCAGATGCACTCACACCTGCCTGCTGCCATTCCTGAGCAAGCTCTGCACTGGTGGTGCCCCGATCCCGCATCTGAATCAACTTTAGGAGACGGTCCTGGCGCTTGCTGGACTTTCTTGGGCGCCCTGATGCCTTCTTCACAACAATTGAACCTCTCTCCTTGAAGTTTTTGATGATCCGATAAATGGTTGATTTAGGTGCAATCTTATTAGCAGCAATATCCTTGCCTGTGAAGCACTTTTTGTGCAAAGCAATGATGACGGCACGTGTTTCCTTGCAGGTAACCATGGTTAACAGAGGTAGAACATGATTTCAAGCACCACCCTCATTTTAAAGCTTCCAGTCTGTTATTCTAACTCAATCAGCATGACAGAGTGATCTCCAGCCTTGTCCTCATCAACACTCTCACCTGTGTTAACGAAATAATCACTGACATGATGGCAGCTGGTCCTTTTGTGGCAGGGCTGAAATGCAGTGGAAATGTTTTTTGGGGATTAAGTTCATTTTCATGGCAAAGAGGGACTGCAAATAATTGCAATTCATTTGATCACTCTTCATGACATTCTGGAGTATATGCAAATTGCCATCATCAAAACTGAGGCAGCAGACTTTGTGAAAATTAGTATTTGTGTCATTCTCAAAACTTTTGACCACGACTGTACATCATTATCTTTAGGAATGTAGTGAAGTAAAAGTAAAAGTTGGCAAAAATATAAATAGTAAAGTACAGATACCCCAAAAAACTACTTAAGTAGTACTTTAAAGTATTTTTACTTAAGTACTTTACAACACTGCATATAACACCTCCTCATGCCTTATTGCTTAATTATACAGTTGATGTCCTTTACAAACACTGGCTCTCCCCTATTCTGCATAACACTGCAGAAATGGCATGGCTATAGCAGGCATAACGCTTCCAGGAACACATCCTGCCAATGATGTGTATTAATATTGAAGAAAATTGGCAAAGAATACATACTAAATTGTCCTGACATTCTCAGCATGTCTCAGTTTTGTCCAAAATCTATTAGTAAGGGCCATCTGAGATTTTCTGCTCAACATGTCCTCAAGCCTCCCTGGTCTGAACCTGCCGACTCTGCCATGTTTTAGCTTTATTTGAACAGATCGGTTGATTGAGGAGACATTCTCATTTACAACAGCGACATGGAAAGGGAAGTGTTGCTATGGAGAGGCGAAGGGTTAAACGAGACAATTCAAAGCTAGGGATGATTAGGTTGCCGTTGCCATGATTGTATTAAGGAGGTTCCAGGGTGGCAATTGAGCCAGGACTCCAGGGTTAACACGCCTAATCTAGCATGTATGGTTGTGTTGTGGGGTGTGTAGTGACCAGAAGGAGTCATGCCCTGTGTTAAATATATCCTCTTCATGCCGCGGTGAGATAAATCATCTATCTCTAATCAAGATAAGAGACTGATTAAAAAACGTTGGTATGTTTCCTGTTTAGATCCCAGGATCACAGGGCTATTCAACTATATTCTTACGGGGGCCAGATGTATACAAGTTTCATTGCAGGGGGACATTTTCCACATGCTTTGGAAGAACTGTATAAAAAAGCAGGGAAACAGAAGGCAGGTACGTGTTCCTGAGATTCGTAGCTTTTAGGAATGAGGTCATAATATTTTGTAGCTTAAACCGTTTAAACGCTAGAGCCAAATTCATATGAAGAACACATGATTAACATGCCACATAGGCGCTAGAAACAGCAAAAAAACTGCTAGAAACTGCTAGAAACCACACTTTAGACAACCACCATAGTGTATTGTATTTGTCACATGGACCGACTACAATAGGTGCAGACTTTACTGTGAAATGCTTACTTACGAGCCCTTTCCCAACAACGCAGAGTTAAAAAGTGTAAAAAAAATTGCAAATAAGAAAAAAAGGAAATAGTAACACAATACAATAACGACTATATACAAGGGGTACCGAGTCAATGTGCAGGGGTATGAGGTAGTTGAGGTAATTGAGGTAATATGTACATGTGGGTAGGTTACTAGGCAATCAGGGTATATAATAAACAGAGTAGCAGCGGCAGATGTGAAGATTGTGAACGTGTGTCTATGTGTGGCGTCAATATGCATGTGTGTGTGTGTGTGTGTTTTGTGCATGTGAGCGTATGTAATGTGTGAGTGTTTTGACACTGAAAGCCGGATTTTGGCAGGGATTTTTTTGCAGATCATTTATTAATGTTCAGAATTGATGAAAGGGATTAATAAATGGGCCGGATCTGGCCCGCGGGCCGCCATAAGAACAGCCCTGCCGTATCACTGTCACGCCCTGACTTATGGGACTCTAGTATGTTGAGTCAGGGTGTGGAGTTCTATGTTGTTATTTCTATGTTCTCATTCTAGGTGTTGTATTTCTATGTTTGGCCGGGTGTGATTCCCAATCAGAGGCAGCTGTCGCTTGTTGTCTCTGATTGGGGATCATACTTAGGCAGCCTGTTGGCATCATTAGTTGTGGGATCTTGTTCCGTGTGGAGGCTTGTATTGTGTTTAGCCTCACGTTACGTTGTTCGTGTGTTTAGTTTATATAATAAACATGTATGCATTTCACGCTGCGCCTTGGACTGACCCGTCCTTCAACGTCCGTGACAATCACATAGCACATAGGCTGCACATGGGGGATAAACTTCTAAGTGGGCTGAGAGAGGGGAAATAGACGAATTGGGATCCTCAACGAGAGGCCTTGGAGATAGTGGCAGAGGACGTTGAGGTGTTAAGAATGAATAAGGTGAAATGGTTTACATCAGGACTGTCCACGGCAGCTAAAGGGCACTGTTTCTTCTGTTGAGACAGAGCCAGATGAGGCAAGCAGCCACAGAGACAGATGATCTCTGATGCTATCAGTGTCCACACAGCACAGTTTGGGAGCCCATTTCAGAATTGAAAAGAGGAATTCCCATCAGGCTCCAACCCATGTAAGAGACAGTGGTAAAAGGTAGAGAAATTGGATTTTATCAGACAGTTTCCTTTGTATTTATTTTTGGGTTAACATAATTATTGTTGTCATGTCAGTGAATTATGCTGTACTTGTTGAACAATTTATGCTAATGTTGTAAGTTTGTTGTTTAAATCTTCCTGACATCAAAGCCATGACACGCATCTTAATGATTTGTGCACATAGCATGCTACAGATCAATCCAAACTCATCTCCCGGCATGTCCAGCCCATCCATTATCTCAGCCAATCATGGCTAGCGGGAAGGTTCCTGTCTTTTTCCGTGGCTAAACCTACTAGGCTTGTAATTGAACTATTTTATTCAAATTTACAGATGGAATACAAGTCTGTTATTAAGGCACATTAAAGTTCACATGTTCCAGAAGGGATTTCCGCCCCCAAAAAACACATTTTGATAAAACATTTATGTTTACGTTCAAATGCCTCTCCTGTGAAGAAGTGAAGTCGACATATGCCTAATTTCCTGAAACTAATCAATTATGTACATTATGTGTTATTGGACCCTACTAAAGCACATAGGTTTATACAGTACAGTATTGATTCAAGAGAGGGCAATTCATTGGTCTACTGTCTTTTGTTGTGCTAGTGAAAGTAGGTGAGCGAGATAGCATCCAAAGGCAAGCTGACAACCTTTCCAAAGGCAATTTTTTTCCCTTAGACAAATTACTGTATTCAGATCAGATCTTACTCAGTAGGCTACAGTAGTGAGTTAATAAGACAGGTGGACTGAGTGTCAACTATGATGACAGCTTTTGGTTATTTTTCTAAAGCTTTTTAAATGTCAAAATACACATGCCTCACCCAGAGCTGCTTCATTTTTAACATTACAAAAGTAGAACGCCCCGTTGAGTGCTTTTGATCATGATTTTTAGCTGCACTGTATGTGATGCCACTACATACCCACTGCATCCTTGTTATAAACAAGGAAGCAGAAAGAGAGAAAGAGAGAGAGTGAAAATCTTGTAGATTCCTTTTTTTTCACAGGGTCAGAGGGTATGGAGATAATGAAAGTTTCATGATGAGACACACTCTGTACTCACTTTTGTACTCAAGGTGGAATCCAGCAGCAACAACACTGATATCACTCTGGAAGTGAAGGTAGAGTTGGTTGGAGGTACTGTTCAGCAAGGCTGGAGCGGTTGTACCTGAAATACATCACACAGGAGACATCTACATTCATCTCACTGTTGAAAGAAGTTCCATTTGCAATTCTGATTATATATATGGATGTTCTCTTGAGGGTTGGTTCGTCAAGTGACTAGAGTTTATATCAATGGCCAGAACAGAATAAGGTGTACAGCTGTTCACTATTCTATGGACATGTTTCATCCTTTATAAACCAGATGAAAAGATGTGAAAGGAGGGAAGGGGAATTAAAAAACATGCTTTGATGTCTAACAGACAATGGTCACTGAAGTTTCTGCTGTTCTTCAGTATCTGAGCTCCCAGGAGAGAGCTCTCATCAAAGGTTTCCAAGGGGCAGTCAACCATACCACCACTGAGAGGGGAAAGTCTACAGAGCTCACAGGGAGCCATCAGGGTGGTAGATGCCCTATGTTTTTGGACGATATGCTTTGGCTCAGGCTGCTGAAAATCAGAACACAGTTTTCATTATGAGTAAAGCAAACATGCTGTTGAAAAAGAGTGTATGTGCCGTTATATAACCTGAAACAGTGTCATTCATCACTTGTGTCAAACTTTATAATAGCAATAAATCTATTGTGTCTTGGGCATTGGTCAGTTTAATAAAGAAATGTTGAAACTCCCCTAGGCAGATTAAAGATACAGTAACATATTCTGTTGAGACACCAGCTTTTCTATTTTTCAGGATATTATTATGTTCAAACCCCAGCTCACAAGTTCTGTGACATAGTATTTTTATGCTCTTCAACGATGTCACACATAGAGTTGCAAAAACCTGGTAATGTTTCCAAAAATCCTAGGTTTTCCAGAAACCCTTGTTTGAAAATTCCTGGCACCAGGAGGGAATAAACCGGAAATCTGAAACCTCCAACCAGGATTTCTAAAAATCTGTGGAAAGTTTCCAGAATTTTGCAACCCTATTATTACAATTATTAAATGTGTATCCTCCGAGCCATCTTCACAGGTTTTAAAGCTATGCTATGATATAGCAATATAACCTTCACTCATTCATGACATAACGTTGACTGACTTAACACAAACGACACGTTTATAATCAATCACATGAATAACTCTGATGAAATGACTAAAGCTCTCCTGCAAAATACTGACTTGAAAGATATTAAGATACAGTATGTTCACCTGCAAATCATGTCAGTGAGCTACCCACTTTGCAATGGGTTTCTGTAATGTTATGGGATCCAGCACAGCATGGCAGTAGAAGAACGGGCGGGCATAAAATTGTCTGAGTGCATTATGCTGATGATTGTGGTCTGTAAAATGCACCTTTACGCTTGAATGACTTGACTAATAATTTCTGGATTAAGTTTGACAGCTCTGTAAAGCTCATCCGTTGTCCAGCTATTCAGAGGTCCATCATCTCTATTAGTGAGACGGGCAACTCCAGTGTTTCCAGAGCTTGTCAGATAAGTCACAGATGAGCTTAAAATGCACTTTGCGGGATTGAATCTGGCACATTTAGTTTGATTAGGGAGTCTAGAACCTTGTTATGATTTAAGAAATTCTTGATGTGAACTTTCAGCCAGGAAGCAGGGTAATTTGATTTTTGTAATGATGGAAAACCAATCTTGAAATACAATTTACCATTATGTTTTTTTTTACATTAACCATTTGGCATTCATTTCTAAACATGATGAAGCAAAACCCCATCAATAGCCACAATGGCCCCAGATTGAGAGAGGTATAGAGAAATAAACTGTCGCTATCGAGCGACGGCAACAGTAAATGAGCAACTACACAGGCTATCTGCATTGACCCTTTTAACTCATCACATACAGTACGCTGATGCTACTGTTTATTCTCTGTCCTGTTGCCTAATCACTTTATCCCTGCTTATAGTATATGTACATGTCTACCTCAATGACCTCGTGCCCCTGCACATCGACTCGGTACTGGTACCCCGTGTATATAGCCAAGCTATTGTGTATTTATTCCTTGTGTTATTATTTTCATATTATTTCTATTTTTTCTCTCTGTATTGTTGGGAAGGGCCCGTAAGTAAGTATTTCACTGTTAGTCTACACCTGTTGTTTATGAAGTGACAAATACAACTTGATTTGATCTTTGGAGTCCTATAAAATGTATTTCAGATTGTGGCTTTAATTACTTTTGTCGTGAATACTTACATTTGAAGTATGATTAATTTGTGATCGATGGAAATATTTCCATCGATCACAAATGAATCATGCTTCAAATGTAAGTATTCATGGCAAAAGTCAATAAAGCCACAATCTGAAATCAATTTTCCAGCCAAGGAATACCAAACTATGCAACAACAGCAGCTACAGTAAGTTAACTTTTTCAACAAATATCACATTTACCGTTTTCTCAACAGCATATACTCCTCATTTGCACACTCTACTGTTAATAGTGGTAATAGGGGATAGTGGTAAACAAAAAAGATAAGCCTCATTCAATTGTAATTTAATTGGTATTTGATGAAGTGTGATTAATCCTGTATGATACATCATGCAAAAAGGAGGGAGACAGAGAACACAAAGCATTTCCGACAGTTTAATTAAGAGAATTATCCTAATAGATTTGTTACTAAAAGAAGAATAAAAAGACTGATTGTAATGGTGAGGATGTCAAGGATGTAAAGGCGGACCACACAACGATGAAGGGGAAACCGTGCATCTTAACGTGCCACCGCACACCATATGTCCTTCACCCCTCCCCTCTTTCTTATTCCCTCCTAATGTCACTGATTGCTGATTTGGAGACATTTCACCAATGTTAAAGATGACTCAGTGCCTGTGCCATTTGGACAACCCAGCTCAAAATGGAGGCAAATAACCATTGCATTTTCCTTTAGGGTCAATGAGTCATACACAACCATCACCTAGTGTTCTCTGACATAATTATTTATTTATTCACTAGATGGCTTAGACAACCTTTTTTTTGTTGCATTTAAAGCCTTGGCTTAGAGGAGTGAAGCGGCGGTGAACCAATACATTCAGAATGATATCTTAGCATAGACATTTTGCCTTAAAGCCACATGACTCCCTAGTTGCCTGACCTTTTCTAAGCCTGTTGTTATGACACTAGCTGAGTTCATTACAGGCTTGTAGAAGGCATTGCTCGGGGCATGGCCACACGTATCTCCATTGGGAGGCACAAAAAAGGTTAATCCCCCTTTCCCGCTGCAGGAGATTCCCTCCTGCTGGAGAGACCATGGTAATCAAATCAAATCAAATGTTATTCGTCACATGCTTCGTAAACAACAGGTGTAGACTAACAGTGAAACGCATACTTACGGGCCCTTCCCAATGATGCAGAGAGAAAGAAAACAGTGAAATAATAGAAAAGTAAAACACGTAATAATAAAAGTAATAATAAATACACAATGAGTAATGATAACTTGGCTATATACACGGGGTACCAGTATCGAGTCGGTGTGCAGGGGTACGAGGTAATTGAGGTAGATATGTACATATAACTAGGAATAAAGTGACTAGGCAACAGGATAGATAATAAATAGTAGCAGCAGCGTATGTGATGAGTCAAAAGAAGTTAGTGCAGAAAGGGTCAATGCAGATAGTCCGGACAGCTATTTGGTTAACTATTTAACTAACTATTTATCCGTCTAATGGCTTGGGGGTAGAAGCTGTTCAGGGTCCTTGGTGCATCGGTAGCAGAGAGAACAGTCTATGACTTGGGTGACTGGAGTCTTTGACAATTTTTAGGGCCTTCCTCTGACACCGCCTGGTATAGAGGTCCTGGATGGCAGGGAGCTCGGCCCAAGTGATGTACTGGGCTGTACGCACTATCCTCTGTAGCGCCTTGCGGTCGGATGCCGAGCAGTTTCCATACCAAGCGGTGATGCAGCCAGTCAAGATGCTCTCAATGGTGCAGCTGTAGAGTTTTTTGAGGATCTGAGGGCCTATGCCAAATCTTTTCAGCCACCTGAGGGAGAAGAGGCGTTGCCATGCCCTCTTCACGACTGTGTTGGTGTGTGTAACAGATGTGTCCATTCTCACATCTTTATTTTGTAACATAAAGGATGTGTAGTTTTGACCCACAGGAGGACATCCTAAAATACCACAGATGGGAAGGCTTGACAACATAACCTGCCACGGAAATCCCCCACAGTTTAACACTCCCACACAGCTAACACCTATCAGTTGGCATTTAGCATAATCAGGTTATATAAAGGAGGACAGACGCAAGTTAAGACACCCTCCACCCACTGATGCACCCAATGATTTATATATACAGTGGGGGAAAAAAGTATTTAGTCAGCCACCAATTGTGCAAGTTCTCCCACTTAAAAAGATGAGAGAGGCCTGTAATTTTCATCATAGGTACACGTCAACTATGACAGACAAATTGAGAAAAAAAAATCCAGAAAATCCCATTGTAGGATTTTTAATGAATTTATTTGCAAATTATGGTGGAAAATAAGTATTTGGTCACCTACAAACAAGCAAGATTTTTGGCTCTCACAGACCTGTAACTTCTTCTTTAAGAGGCTCCTCTGTCCTCCACTCGTTACCTGTATTAATGGCACCTGTTTGAACTTGTTATCAGTATAAAAGACACCTGTCCACAACCTCAAACAGTCACACTCCAAACTCCACAATGGCCAAGACCAAAGAGCTGTCAAAGGACACCAGAAACAAAATTGTAGACTTGCACCAGGCTGGGAAGACTGAATCTGCAATAGGTAAGCAGCTTGGTTTGAAGAAATCAACTGTGGGAGCAATTATTAGGAAATGGAAGACATACAAGACCACTGATAATCTCCCTCAATCTGGGGCTCCACGCAAGATCTCACCCCGTGGGGTCAAAATGATCACAAGAACGGTGAGCAAAAATCCCAGAACCACACGGGGGGACCTAGTGAATGACCTGCAGAGAGCTGGGACCAAAGTAACAAAGCCTACCATCAGTAACACACTACGCCGCCAGGGACTCATATCGTGCAGTGCGAGACGTGTCCCCCTGCTTAAGCCAGTACATGTCCAGGCCCGTCTGAAGTGCATTTGGATGATCCAGAAGAGGATTGGGAGAATGTCATCTGGTCAGATGAAACCAAAATATAACTTTTTGGTAAAAACTCAACTCGTCATGTTTGGAGGACAAAGAATGCTGAGTTGCATCCAAAGAACACCATACCTACTGTGAAGCATGGGGGTGGAAACATCATGCTTTTGGGCTGTTTTTCTGCAAAGGGACCAGGACGACTGATCCGTGTAAAGGAAAGAATGAATGGGGCCATGTATCGTGAGATTTTGAGTGAAAACCTCCTTCCATCAGCAAGGGCATTGAAGATGAAACGTGGCTGGGTCTTTCAGCATGACAATGATCCCAAACACACCGCCCGGGCAACGAAGGAGTGGCTTCGTAAGAAGCATTTCAAGGTCCTGGAGTGGCCTAGCCAGTCTCCAGATCTCAACCCCATAGAAAATCTTTGGAGGGAGTTGAAAGTCTGTGTTGCCCAGCGACAGCCCCAAAACATCACTGCTCTAGAGGAGATCTGCATGGAGGAATGGGCCAAAATACAAGCAACAGTGTGTGAAAACCTTGTGAAGACTTACAGAAAACGTTTGACCTGTGTCATTGCCAACAAAGGGTATATAACAAAGTATTGAGAAACTTTTGTTATTGACCAAATACTTATTTTCCACCATCATTTGCCAATAAATTCATTAAAAATCCTACAAAGTGATTTTCTGGATTTTTTTTTCTCATTTTGTCTGTCATAGTTGACGTGTACCTATGATGAAAATTACAGGCCTCTCTCATCTTTTTAAGTGGGAGAACTTGCACAATTGGTGGCTGACTAAATACTTTTTTTCCCCACTGTACATTAGATGGCTGACAGGGGCGCTGTTTTGAAGTCGCCGCGCCTCCATCTTGGCACTCCCCCAACATTGTAGAACATATTTTGGAAGCTATAGAAATGCATTTATTAATGTCTACATTTGTTTTTGCCAGGTTTATTCTATTACAGACACCTTAATGCATACTTTTACATTATATTATGTGAGCTAAACATGAATATATACCAAAAAAACATTTTCCTTAAAGAATGCTTTTTAGAAAGTACTAATGTTACTGTCCCCACTACAACAACAACAATACATACATCCATGTCAAAATCCCTGCTGCAGTGTGCGCAAACCTGGTCTAGACCTACAGGAAATGTATGATCTCTGTAATTGCAAACAAAGGTTTCTGTACCAAATATTAAGTTCTGCTTTTCTGATGTATCAAATACTTATGTCATGCAATAAAATGCAAATTAATTACTTAAAAATCATACAATGTGATTTCCTGGATTTTTGTTTTAGATTCCGTCTCTCACAGTTGAAGTGTACCTATGATAAAAATTACAGACCTCTACATGCTTTGTAAGTAGGAAAACCTGCAAAATCGGCAGTGTATCAAATACTTGTTCTCCCCACTGTATATCCATGTCATTTTGTTCTTGAAACATTGAATTGAAATCCTGCAGAATTCCATTCATTCCTATGGAGGAGTTACCACATTTCCCCAATGTACATGTCCGTCGGTACCTTCTTCTCCAACTGACCTTGCTTACTGACTAATTTAAAATGATGTACACATACTGGAAGTTATGACCTAATGGATCTACTCAAGATTGATAAACCCACACATTTGTCATACAGGGGAAGCGATGGAATGTGCCCATACGTATCACTGATCATGCCTAATGCAGCCATAGCATTCAACATCTTCATTAGATAGCAGACACAGCTGTTCAGTTGCGGAAATGCTGTTACTAGGATTAACTGGGAGGCAACGAAGGCCAAGATGGCTGCCAACTGGATCTCAAAAGGTCTCTGGAGCTAATACTGTGAGTCATCCAACATGGCGATAGAGACTTTGGTCTGCTGTGTAAAAGATGGCAGAGAAAAGTATTGGACCCATGATCAATGTTCAGTCCCCTAGAAAAATTACGGAACATAACATGAGTGGGTTTCATTTTTATTGTAGTCTTCAAAATAATAGGCCTGTAAGAATTCTGTAAAACACACAAAACCTAATTCGCAATAAGTATTATATTGCACACAGATATGATCTCTCAAGGGGAAACGTGTGGTTCCATACATGATTAAGTAATCCAATTCCCACCTGAAAAGCTTCCAAGTTTAGGAGCTGTCATGTCCCCTCCATCATAGATTTCCAAGGAATCCCAATTATGCTCGGTGGCGAAGCTCATTACTTGAATCTGCAAAATAAAAAAATAAGTAAATAGAGTGACAAAAATAATGTACATGCCATCTCTCTTAAAGGACAAGTATTTTTAATGGTTAGATGAGATACTTGGTGTTTGTTACTGAGGGAAGCTTTCTTTCCTGCTACAGACTTAGAAACAGGTTTTATACTGTGCTTTTGTAAGAACTATTTAAAAAAACGAGTTGTTAGGGCACGATCAACAGCAATAAGACTGCAGCTGTTTTTTATGTGCTTTAAAACTACTTCTGCTGGCAGCGGGTCTAATTTAAACCGTCTGATTTTCTTTTCTTCTCAGTAGGATGACTGTCGGTTAAAATGTGCTACATCCTGTCACTCAAAAATACATCTTTCCCTCTCTTCTCTGTCTGTCGGTGTAGCTTATTGCTTTTGATGAGTTCAGACCTGCCCCCTTTGTACTTGCCTGAATCCCAGCGCCTTCGGTGACAATGATTTTCCACACGCAGTTCAAGCTGTTCCCATAGGGCTCTGGGAATCCGGGGGAGAGGATGGTGCCTCTTCTCTCTGTCAGATTACCGCTGCATGGAACTGGGGAGTGAAACAGAGGGGAAATTACAGTCACACTGAATGGGGCACATGCCAGGTTCCTGTAGCCATGGTGAGTCAAGACACAGAGGGGAAATTAGAGTCACACTGAATGGGGCACATGCCAGGTTCCTGTAGCCATGGTGAGTCAAGACACAGAGGGGAAATTAGAGTCACACTGAATGGGGCACATGCCAGGTTCCTGTAGCCATGGTGAGTCAAGACACAGAGGGGAAATTAGAGTCACACTGAATGGGGCACATGCCAGGTTCCTGTAGCCATGGTGAGTCAAGACACAGAGGGGAAATTAGAGTCACACTGAATGGGGCACATGCCAGGTTCCTGTAGCCATGGTGAGTCAAGACACAGAGGGGAAATTAGAGTCACACTGAATGGGGCACATGCCAGGTTCCTGTAGCCATGGTGAGTCAAGACACAGAGGGGAAATTACAGTCACACTGAATGGGGCACATGCCAGGTTCCTGTAGCCATGGTGAGTCAAGACACAGAGGGGAAATTTGACATAAGTCATTAAAGCAATAAGGCCAGAGGAGGTGTGGTATATGGCCAATATACACAGATAAGGGCTGTTCTTATGCACGACGCAACACGGAGTGCCTGGATATAGCCCTTAGCCGTGGTATATTGGCCATATACCACAAACGCCCGAGGTGCCTTATTGCTATTATAAACTGGTTACCAATGTAATTAGAGCAGTAAAACATTTTTTTTGTCATACCCGTGGTATATGGTCTGATATACCACAGCTGTCAGCCAATCAGCATTCAGGGCTCGAACCACCCAGTTTATAATTCTATATAGAACATTATTGTGACTAAAGAATCATCTCACTTCCCAATATCGTGGTATGTGTGTGGTGTTTATGGTAACTTACCAATGTAAAAAAGGATGACATATCTATTAGATGTTCTACTCACAGTGTGTTCTTAAAGGGCAATTCCACCACATTTCAACCTCATATTCATTATCTCAGCACCATACCAATGTCTACATATGTAAAAACGGTGCATTCCTACGTTTTGTCGTAAAACATATCTAAAGTAAAAACGTTTATTTTAACGGCAGATCGTGGAAATGCGCTGTTTTCACATATGTAGACTCCAGTATGGTGCTGTTGAAAATATCAGGTTAAAAAGTGGTGGAGTTTCCATTTTACAAAAACATTTATCCATCTTTAAATCAATCTCCACAAATGTGACTGATTTGAGGAGGCTTACCAGCACAAGCGGGCACAGTATCATTCCACTGGGCTAGCGCATTGGGGACCACATTGCATTTGATGGCTTTGGATCCCTGTAGCAGATACCCAGGGTTGCACTCAAAGCGAACAACGGAGCCAGTGGAGAACTCGGACCCAATCCGTCTACCGTAGCGCGGCTCTGGGACAGAGCTGCACTGCGTGTCACTGGTGCGAGGAACAGCTACAAAGAAAAGAGTACCCAGTGTTTTTAACACCTAGATGGGTTAACACTTCGCCTAAAGCTCACAGGAAAATTGCAATACAATGTGGTAGGAATATATGATTTGTCATTATGGACATATGAGACCTTTAGAATGATCTCAATGTATCATCAGCCATACTAGTGGCTAATGCATGCTGAAGTGAAACACTTTGTTATTCAACCATGAACCCTCTCAGGACACCAAGGCATGGAAGATGACAATGAAACCCCATATATATATATATATGACTGGGAACAACCTGTACTACAGTCCATCAAAACATGATGTACCACTGCATGCATGCCCTTGTCCCCTGTTCTCTGACAGACGTGAATGTTTTTCACATGGGAATGTTTTTTCACATGTGAAACTACATATCCGATTTTCACGTGAAAGTTTTTAACACAGGAAACCGCAAATTTCACATGTGAAACTGCAATTCACATGTTAGGTGAAAACATGTTATTCTCCTCACATGTGAAAAGGTGATGTTAACATGTGAACTCTAAATGTAATACATGTGAAAATATAGTTTTCACGTGTGAAATTTAAGCTCAACAAAATGTGTTTTTCCCATGTGAAACTGCAGATTTCATATGTGTGGTTTTTTTGGGGGGTGGGTAAGGGTTCAAATACTATTATATCTCTGTAGTATACCTTGGTGCAATATGGAGGCCTTTACTGTTGGGCTGGGAGGGATTGTGTCTGATATTTCTAAATCTGTACCAGAGCGGATGAATGCTCTGCAATCTTGGATACCTCCAAGTACCAAACAAACTAGCCTAACTGTCAGGGAGTATTTTAAAAACCCTTCCATCCCCACAGTCTGGTGAGCACTGTACTGTATGTGTGCTCAACTTCCTTCACCAAAGATCACGATTTGAGATGATCCATTTTTACAAGGCAGCTGACAGTAAAAATTCATGTAATTCACACAGATTATTTATAACAATTTTGACAGAGAGAGAAAATGCTTGATGTGTCCTGAGGTGAGCTATTATCTACATGAGAGAGAACCTTTAAATGACACTAAAATAAAGCAGACATGACACCTCGATGATAAAAGCCAAAGGCATCATTGGATTTAAGGAATCCGAAAGGATTGAGTTAAGAAAGAAATAAGACAAATCATACTCTGCCATCCTGGAAACGTTTTATAAAACATGTGGGTTTATATTTTATATATTCATGTGTGACATTTTATATTGATTATGCAAGAGAGAGAGAGTCCTTAAATATTGGATATGACACTTTCAACATACTGTTCTATACTGTATCTGTATGAGCTCTTCTGCTCATTGCCTACTAATACAGCTAGAAATCCCTTTTACCATGACATGCCTTGCGCAGGTATAATGATTAGAGTACTGGCACCCTAGGCTCCCATGGGGCCAGAGAGATACCGGCAACCCCCTGAACAGCCTGACAACCATAACATGGATAGATAAGACCCTCTGGTGCCTGGGGAGGGAGGGCTTCAGGAGGCCTCCAGGACCCTCAGAAACACACCTACTGCCACAGGGGTAAGAACAGTGAGGAAGGGTCATGCATGTGACCCGAGTGCGTATATATTCCAACATATTACCTGTTCATACAGTATGTAAACATACCTTGGTAAACAAAGTGGAAACCCCTGGCGGAAGGACCATTCTTTGCAGTGAATCGTACCATAATTTGGTTTGATGTCGCCAGGGGCAAGGTCTCTCCTGCAAAAAAAGGATGAATAGCTTTTTTTTTAACACACACAATATGCTGACTCACAGTGTTAACCCTCTGAAGCCAACATCCCCACCTTCTTGTGTGCTATACAGAACATACCTAGGCTGCATGATGAATTGCTTCTTACAAATATACTAGCTCCCCATTCAAAAGCTTGATGGGTAAATAGCATGCTGTTGGCAGAGTATGGTCTATGCAGTAGAGGACTATCTTAATGATAAGGAGAAGAACAACAAAGTCTTATCAATAATGAGAATGTTGGACAAGCAACCAACTTTGTATAGGCTACATATTTGTAGGCCTGAGTCTTGTAAAACGTAAACAGCCGTGACGATGAAAGCATGGTAGGGAGGGCCTTCTTGACGGCGCGAACCTATTGAAAGCCATGATATTTGAAAGCCTATAATTAGTTCGAGTAGCTTATTGTGGATGTGGCTAATGTAGGTTGCTAATCAGCCTCCATTAAGGTGAACGCAGCCAATGCATTATGATCTAATGTATCATTATAATTCAAATGTCACCATGAATAGACAGGGAAAACACATCAAGTTACTTGATGACAGAAACTCTCAATTAACATTGCAAAGGAATAGTGTACAGAAAAGATTAGTATAGGCATCTTGGACAAATGTCAGAGGTAATTCATGTGTTATCTAATTCAGTATAACCGTTCCATTTTAATTTTCTATAGCACATCACATACTGCATTACTAAATGGTGAAATCCAACGTTTTCAAAGACAAAGTAAAATCAAACGATCATCATCTCCCTTGGGAATGTATTGTTGCTCTGCCGAATAACACACATCTGAATAGTACAAGGTCCCATAGAAACAGTTTATATCCAATGGCCTTCATCAATCCTCAGAATAATGTAAAGTTGAGGCTGATTTCTGTTCTGAAATATAATTACCTTCCTCTGTTAATACCAGCGATAAATCAGATGAGGACAGCTGTTGAATTTCCGTATTTTATTTGGTGGCTTGAAAGAATAAAAAATACTGAGAGAGTGGCCTAAGGACTGAAACCATGTCTTTAGATCTTCATAATCATTGAAGCATTGCTTATTTCTGATATGGCTGTCCTTCCTGCTCTCGCATGGATGTCATGTCGCAATATTAATTACTGAAATGAAAACATTTTGAATGAGACAGTAACCAAGTGCCAACAGCAGTTATTAATACAGGGATCACGCTGAGACCTTTTTGTATTAACACCTCTTGTCTTCCCCAACAACATCCACATGTGCGTGTGTGTTTTCCATTGGTTTTGTTCATTTAAAAGCTATAAACAGTGGAAAGAATGGAAAGCTATTACTTACCTGAATGAGACCCAGCGAGGGAGCTTAGCAGCCTGGCATTCTGATTGGCCCCATCAAATAGTTCCACTGAGTCATTCATTGCTGTCTGAAAGTAGGCAAACTGCCCAAACACCACTGAGGAGACAAAATGGTGACATCATATACGTTACCTCAGTATGTAAAACGTTGCAACAAAACAATCCTATCCACAAATGGTTAACCAAGTGTTTAAAATGTCTCTTGACGACAATGACACAAGGCTAGCGTGCTAACTACCCAGGTCTCAGGGTGGGTGATGTCACCACACAACAGGCTAGCCAACAAGAAAGCATGACTTGTATGAGGTCAAACAAGAACCAGGGATGACTCTAGCATACCTTGATTCATGATTCAGCACTTCATGACTGAACTATGCTTTGTATAAGTCTGGGAGACTAACTTAAGGTACACACTTTCCACAATGATAATATCTGAAAATGATGGTAAATCCTCCATTGGACTGTAGGCAGCTAAATCAGAGGTTTGAAACGAGTCAGATTAAGTCTAAGTGCTGCTTTAATAATGTTGATTAACCTTACCAAATTCTCCAGAGACAGTAATGTAGTAGGAACAGGTTTGACCAGTGGTGTAGTTGTGGGGGAAGTTAGGAGAGAGCACCACGCCTTCAGATGCAGCATAATGACCACCACAAGGAGCTGAAAAACACACCCAAACAACCTCTGTGTTACTCAATTCCCAGAGACAATAATCATGAAAGGACAAGCACCATGTAACTGTAAGTCGCTCTGGATAAGAGCGTCTGCTAAATGACTAAAATGTAAAATGTAAATGTATACGCATGGGAGAAAAGACAGTGCACTAGCTGCGAGCTGTTCTGTTGGAAGAAAGATGTGCCGTGCGTTCTCTTAACATCTGGAGCGTCATTCGACATTCACAGCAGCTCAATAATAAAGGTTCAAAATAACTCAACCCACAACTTGTTTTGTTACATAGGCCTAAGTCAATAACATTGGTGAAATGTGGCATTTGAATGAAACAAAACAAAAAACAGTTCCATGTTTTTAACTTTGTCTTTGTTGTTTTTAGTCCCTTCTGAAAAGAACCGGTACAACCTGTTAAATGATGTCTGCTGGGACCTTTTTCAGCAACCCAACTAACAAAAAAAACATGTTTATCAGAGGCAAAACATATTGATCTAAACTCACTGTACAAAATACAAACACAGTTTCAGACCAACATTAAAGGTTAACATGATTAAGATTCCATAAATCCCTGTGTTTATGTGGCTCTTAAGCATGTGTACAGTAAGTCCTTAATATGGCCTGCAATGGGTCCAGAGGTGAAATATACTGATGTCAATGGCTCCATGGACACACGTGGCTTCACTTGAAGGACATAGCATGAGGGCCATGCATGAAGGGTAAAATAAAATAATCGAGGGTCCCCACCTTTAAAATGTAAGGTCAATGAAAACAGAACACAAAAGGAGGAAATCTGTCAATGTCAAGATTCTATTATCATACTGTACATGGGCCCCTGGACTAGTAGTGTACTGCCCCTACTAACTACTTTGAGAAACTCTGAATAAATACTGGCAAAAGGAGAAAAAATGACTGAAAACACAACATTAGGGGGCAGCGAGCTCTGGTCCTCTTCTGTTCTCCCTGACCCTAAATCACTAGTTAACCCTTCTTCTAATTTCCTTTCATAGTATTATTACTTGCTGTACTCCCTTCAGAAAATGTCAACGCCCCAATCGCTTGATACCCTCATGTGTTCTTCCGGCACCTGCCTTGTTCCTTCCATCCCCTTTGTCCTTGCTACAATGATCATCGATTGAGATTCCTGTCACATCTCCAGCACCCTAAGGCTCCCAGGGCATCACTCCACCAGGTCTGCTCCTTCATGCCCACAATACCTTGCTCCCCCAGGTCTGTTCCTTCATCTGCCCACAATACCTTGTGGAGCTTATAAACCTGGTGTCAGGATGCAGCTGCGGCTCATGGTCCTCTGCTTATCAAACTCCTTCCCCATACCTTTGATCACATCACCCTCGCCTCATACTTTCTATGGGAAGACAGAGTTTCTGCTGTAAAAAAAAATCATTAAACACCCCTGGAGTGAGAGATTTAGTTAAAGGTCCAATGCAGCCATTTTTATGTCAATATCAAATCATTTCTGGGTAACAAGGGATCGTTTCGGGATTTTGGCAATGAGGCCCTTTATCTACTTCCCCAGAGTCAGGATATAATTTGTATGTCTCTATGTCCAGTAAGAAGGAAGTTAGAGGTAGTTTAGTGAGCCAATGCTAGCTAGTCATTGCGACTTCCAGTCATTGCGCTAACGCTAGTTGCACTAACGCTAGTTAGGAATTGCGCTAGTGCTAGTTAGCAACTTCCTTCAAACTGCATGCAGAGACATGCACAAGTTCATCTGACCTTGGGGAAGTAGATAAAGGGCCTCGTTTCCAAAATCCCAAAGTATCCCTTTGAGTACCATACTTCAATTAAAGTGGTCAAAAAGAAACAAAAATAGCTTCTTAGCAAAGAGCAATTTCTCAAGCAATAATTTTGCTAGGAATGTCAGTGATCTCGGGAAGGGAAAACTGAAAACTAGATGTTATTGGCAGAGAGGTTTAAAAACTCTCTCTTATTGTTCTATTAACTAAAATTCCATCCCACCAAAACAGGCTGAAATTTCAACCGGTCTTTTCAAACAGCTCCTACACTAAAAGGGCAACATCATCATTTTCACAGTATTATTCCAACCTCATAGTGTGGAAATATATATACAACTCAGGAAAATCGAGTTTTTTACTACACTGGGCCTTTAACACAGATCCCGTCAGTAAAATTGGGTTTGTTTCCCACGGGGGGCCAGTATGAAAATATATGCACTCACTAACTGTAAGTCGCTCTGGATAAGAGCGTCTGCTAAATGACTAAAATGTAAAAATGTAATTCATAAAGAAAGGGTGTCTGATATTTGTTGAACTGTTGGCATTGTAAGCAGTGTCATGTCAGGCGAAAGTGTACTTTCTCTTCTAGGTATCAAATGCTGGATCACTCACTCACTATTTATCATAAGCAATATTGGATTTAATTATTTAGTCTGTCAAGACAGGTTAACAATCTTCATGATACATGAACAAACCAGGGCAATGACATAACCCACTTCTCAAAGATCAGGGATAAGCATTTCACTGTTAGTCTACACCTGTTGTTTACAAAGCATGTGACAAATAACATTTTATTTGACTTGGGGTCAATGTACTCAGCAGACATCTAACTGTGGGTTACCATGGTGATACTGAATATTACAATTTAATATTAAATATGCTGTTGAGATCACTGGTTACTTGAGCATCGGTCAGCCAGTATGAATTATGATGATAGTAGTTAAAATGTTTTACTGCCATGACTAGGTGAGAGTGACAGACAATGACAAGCTTCCAGAAGCTTCCAGATTTTCTGTGCAATATATAGAAATATACTACATTTAAATAGACACTCTTTCCAGAGTGACTTACAGGAGCAATTAGGGTTAAGTACCTTGCTCCAAGGCGCATCGACAGATTATTCACCTAGTCTGCTCTGGGATTGGAAATAGCGACCTTTCAGTTACTGGCCCAACACTCTTAACAGGTAGGCTACCTGCCGCCCCAGTGAATAGAAATATGGACAAAAACTAAGAAAAACATATTTTTTTTAAATCCACAATTTCGATTTTGTCTCATCGCTGAAACTCCCTAACGGGCTTAGGAGGCGAAGGTCGAGTCATGCGTCCTCCGAAACATGACCCGCCAAACCTCGCTCCTTAACATCCGCCCGCTTAACCCGGAAGCCAGCCGCACCAATGTGTCGGTGGAAACACCACTCAACTGCGATGAGGTCAGCTTGCAGGCGCCTGGCCCACCACAAGGAGTCGCTAGAACGCGATGAGCTATGTAAAGCCCCCCCCCCCCGGCCAAACCCTCCCCTAACCCGGACGACGCTGGGCTAATTGTGCACTGCCCTATGGGACTCCCGATCACGGCCGGTTGTGATACAGCCTGGGATCGAACCCGGATCTGTAGTGACACCTCTAGCACTGCAATGCAGTTTCTTAGACCGCTGTGCCACTGGGGAGGCCCCCAAGACAAACAAATTAAATGACACTAGACAACATGCTCAAATCAACACCAGATAATATGCCAGCCACTATAGCAGCATGCCAAGATAGTCATCGTCAGACCTTATTTCTAATAATTTTATATGGGAATGTACATAATTTAGCTATTTAAGGACATTCAAACATAGCATCATGTTTATGCATACAGTAATGTAACAGATGCCACAAGCCGCTTAAAACCTAACAGACCGTACAATGTTGGCTGCTATCACGTGCCCGATTTGAATACAGCTCTACACCAATGTAAGCAAGTGTGATTTCCCTTCACTAGTATCATGGAAACAGATGTGTCTGCCACCTGACCTCAACGTCTCATCTAGAGGAGTCAGCCGTGAAAAAACATCCATGTAATACCGCATCAGAGATAATGTGAGAAAGAGAGAGGGAGAATGAAAGCGTGCATGCCTGAGACAGATAGTATGAGAGAGAGAAAGAAAGAGAGAGAGAGAGAGAGAGAGAGAGAGAGAGAGAGAGAGATGAGAGCACAAGTGTGAGAGAGAGAGAAAGAGAAAGAGTTCAGACGTGACCACTGAGGACCATAGTGTGGATACAGAGGACCATAGTGTGGATAGAGGTCCATAGTGTGGATACAGAGGACCATAGTGTGGAGAGAGGACCACAGTGTGGAGAGAGGACCACAGTGTGGATACAGAGGTCCATAGTGTGGATACAGAGGACCATAGTGTGGATAGAGGACCATAGTGTGGATACAGAGGACCATAGTGTGGATACAGAGGACCATAGTGTGGATACAGAGGACCATAGTGTGGATACAGAGGACCATAGTGTGGATACAGAGGACCATAGTGTGGATACAGAGGACCATCGTGTGGATAGAGGACCATAGTGTGGATAGAGGACCATAGTGTGGATACAGAGGACCATAGTGTGGATAGAGGACCATAGTGTGGACAGAGAACCATAGTGTGGATAGAGGACCATAGTGTGGATGCATAGGACCAGAGTGTGGATAGAGGACCATAGTGTGGATACAGAGGACCAGAGTGTGGATAGAGGACCATAGTCTGGATACAGAGGACCATTGTGTGGATACAGAGGACCATAGTGTGGATAGAGGACCATAGTGTGGATACAGAGGACCATAGTGTGGATACAGAGGACCATAGCGTGGATACAGCGCTCCATAGTGTGGATACAGAGGACCATAGTGTGGATACAGAGGACCATAGTGTGGATACAGAGGACCATAGTGTGGATACAGAGGACCATAGTGTGGATACAGAGGACCATAGTGTGGATACAGAGGACCATAGTGTGGATACAGAGGACCATAGTGTGGATACAGAGGACCATAGTGTGGATACAGAGGACCATAGTGTGGATACAGCTATTGCATTGCTATGCCCTCAACACAGAAGCACACAGACATGCCTAGATCCAAACAAGCTCTAATGCCTATAGTCTATGCAGTTCATCTGGCGCCGTCGCGGCCGTGTGTCAACAATGCCCGCCTCCGAGGGGCGCCATACCACCGTGCTTTAACCCTATTACACACCTTCTATTTACAGTCATGGAGGATTCCTCATTCAAGAGACAGTCTTTTACTGTAGTTACTATGGAAACGAATAAAAGACCTGTTTGGATGAGAGAAGCTGACAGAGCGAGGGGGGGGGAAATCCTTTATTATTTAAAGGGATCTCACCCCTTTCTAATTAGTTTTGTCTGAAAGCCCAAGGAAGTGCCTCGGAGTGAATCAGTATTCCAAAAAGCAGCGGAAAATCACAGCCCAGTGAAACATTTAAAAAGGCTAAAATTTGGTCTTCAGTAGATATACTGCAAGTTTTTCATGGGTGCTATTTTCAGAGGGGATTAAAATATAAAAGGGTAGAACATGAAGTAGCTAAATAAAGGTGAAGAGAAGGGTTGTTGGTGTTAAATATAGATGGTATCATGGTTTTGTTTTTGCATTAATATTCCTTTCTGAACATGACAGTTGTTTAAACTGTCAGTAAAGCTGGACCTCCAGAGGCTAACCACCACCCAGAAGCAACAATAACAACACAACACATAACTGATACATTTAAAGTGTTTGCTTTACTTCAATACTGTACCACTTACCTGTATACACTCACGGCTTCTAAAAATGGGGATTCATTGGGTACAGGGAAGTTTTCACTGACAAATATTCCCACCCCCTTCCCCCACAGTCCTTATTAAATACATAACGATTCCTTTCATTAGTCGGGTGATACTGGGGACATTAGTAATCATTTCCCTCAACCGGCAGCAGAATGAGTTTTAACATTCACAGTGAGTCCTCCCTGTCTCACTGTGACTGATCTGCATATAACCCACGTGGCACTCTGGCGTTTCACCGTCACTCAAGAGGCCTTGGCTTGCAGGCACAGCCACAGCCTTTAGAAATGGCTCTTTCTTTTGCTCACTTATGAACACAACCAGCAAATAGCTTTCTTCACCTCTTCATCGTCAGGCAAAAAAAGCTCAATTCAACCACAGACAAGAGGGTTAAACGTGCGTTCTCACAGACTGTACGCTTATGTTCAGGCATGTTGAAAAAGGCTAGGCAACTGATGTACGTTTCCCAGACATCAAACTATGAACTAGCAGCTTACAATGGATTTCCTCAATCAAAATGCTGTTTCATCTAGCCAAAATCTATGACCTTGAACTAATGATTCCAACTATGAAAACTAAATCATTTCCCTTCCTTTCATTGATGTTCTTCAGAACATGGCTTTAGTGTAGCGTATGCACACCCACAATCCTCCTTGAAGGTGACATAAATAACATATTTCTAGGATTAGACATAAACATAACTGACAGACCAAATGGCCCGTGAAACAGAAACAGAAACATCCCCTTAGTTTTCAGAGTGATTTCCAATTGTGCCTGCTGTGTGCTTTTCATTTTAGAAACAGAATAATGTGGAATTCATATCTCCGATCAAATGTTGTGTGTCATTGATGGCAGGCTATATACAACTGTTGAGAAAGGTCATAAGCCAGAATAAGCCATTTAGCTCATTCCTTTCATACATTTTGTCTTATCCAGAGCGACTTACAGGAGCAATTAGGGGTAAGTGCCTTGCTCAAGGGCAACGACAGATTTTTCACCTAGTCGGCTTGTGGAATCAAACCAGCGACCTTTTGGTTACTGGCCCAACGTGCTTAACCGCTAGGCTAGCGTTCTCTTTTAAGCCCAGGGTATCGATCAACAAAGGCCATTGTGCCATTCTGGCATTGTTGAGAGGCTTTGTGAATCGCTAACATCATGTCTCACCCTTTACAATCCACATACTTCTCCTTTACGGAGTCTAGGGATTAAAAAGCATGTGCTCGAAAATCCATATGGGACCACACAGAACATAGTTGTTCATTGTCACGGTTAAACAATCTTGATAATGGCAAATTATATATCAATAAGCTCTTAGCAGAAAGACCCTTTTCCATTGAAATGTATGAAAGATTCAATGAGACAAGAGCGAGACTAGAGAACACCTGAAAGTCAATTTAATGATGGAATGGAGAAGCAGACAGTGATCCTGAGGTCCTCAGCTGTACCACGAGTTCAAGCAAACTGTGTCCATGACCAAGCCATAACTCTAATTACGCAATGCTACTGAATCATTCCATTAAGAATGACAAATGGAATGTTTAAGCCACATCCATAATGCACAATGGTCAACAAGGGGAATGCAGCTCATGGTAATAATTCTCTAGCTCTCCGCCAAACCAAAATAAATAAATAAATAATAAAATGGGAAAGGCAAACAGCCAAATATACCATCAGTGTGAGAAAATAAATGATCTGGGAGTGAAGAAATGAAAGCTATACCTCTCTAGGGGCAGAGGCATTTTGGCTCAATCAAAAAGGGTCAACTAATCAACACATGTTGTTTAAAAGCTCAAATCCACTTAGACTGACTTACAGACAGGGGTTAGGAGTGTTAGCAATGTAAAATCATTATACGGTCCCTCCAGGAATTTGCAGGGATATTTTGTGATATTTGCGAGCAAAAATGCTTGATTTTGCTGAGGCAATTCTGACATTTTGCATGGCAATATGTGATGATTTTGTCCAATTTGTCGTGAAAATGCACTGATGAGGAAAAAAGTTTGTTGATGTTTAACTTGATTGAATCGTATTATGCAGTAAATGTGCAGTGATTGGATGAAATTGCGAGACCTCTTTTTATACTGCGGTGGTGGGTCAGTTTTATGCGATACTATTGCGATGATTTGACTGTTTTAAGCAGAAATAATGCAGTGATTGGTCAAATTTGCAAACCCTCGCATAATATATGGTAAATTGTTGGTTTTGCAAAGAAGTCATGCGATCGCAGAATAGCAGAATCCTGGAGGGACTAACTATAGATCCATGGCTTCATTTGTAGTTCCTCTGCTGATTTGTTCTGCAGTCTCCTGTTGCTTCAGCTGTCTATTGGTGCTCAAAACCCTCTCTATTGTTTATTTGAATGCCAGAGTAACTTAATGACATACAATCAGATTCACAAAAGCCCCAAATCTCTTAAAGGAAGGAGCTCAGGTGGATTTTCGCTCATGAGTCTCACACTCCCCGCCCGACAAGATCTGACACTTGGGTGAAAATTGGTTTTAAAAATGTGAAGCTAGCTAATCTTGCTTATGTTTCCTTGAAAATAGCTTATTATCTAAAAATGATCAGCTTTATGCATACATCTAGAAATTTGAATTGAAAACAACATAATTCCATGTTCATCACGTCGACCAGAACACTTTGGTGTGTGTCTCTCATATCCAAGTCATGTCTCCAGTGGCCATGCTGCTATAAGGTAGAGGCTCAGAGTGTGAAGTGGCAGGGTGGAGGCATAGAGACAATGTGGCAGCAACTACACAGCCACCTGTCTGAGTTTCTGTGTCTCCTCAGAGACGCACAGACATGAAGGAGAGAGAGAGAGGGGGGGGGGGGGGGGGGGGGTGAAAGGACGAGTGAGTGGCAGTTGTCACCGCCCAAGCTCTCACAACTGTCAATAAACTGATAGAAAGTTCAGCCGTGGTCTTTAAAAAACCCATACTCCCTTCTTGTGCAAAGACAAAAAGGGGTCCACAAAACCTTTCGGTGAAACCAGTAAAAAATGGCTTGATATTAGCCTTGATTGATAGTGCCGATGATGGTTAGCCTCGCAAGCCGCCTGATCTCACAAGCTTACATGAATGGTTCTCTCCCACAGAGCGGTAATCAGTCTGGTAATTAAGAGGCTAGATGAGGGTACCAAGACAAATCAATTAGGAGATGATTGTGGACTACAGGAAAAGAAGAGGACTGAGTACACCCCCATTCTCATCGACGTGGCTGTAGTGGAACAGGTTGAGAGCTTCAAGTTCCTTGGTGTCCACATCACCAACAAACTATCATGGTCCAAGCACACCAAGACAGTCGTGAAGAGGGCACGACAAAGCCTATTCCCCCTCAGGAGACTGAAAAGATTTGGCATGGGTCCTCAGATCCTCAAATGTTCTACAGCTGCACCATCGAGAGCATCCTGACTGGTTGCATCACCGCCTGGTATGGCAACTGCTCGGCCTCCGACCGCAAGGCACTATAGAGGGTAGTGCGTACGGCCCAGTACATCACTGGGGCCAAGCTTCCTGCCATCCAGGACCTCTATACCAGGCGGTGTCAGAGGAAGGCCCTAAAAATTGTCATAGACTGTTCTCTCTGCTACCGCACGGCAAGCGGTACTGGAGCGCCAAGTCTAGGTCCAAAAGGCTTCTTAACAGCTTCTACCCCCAACCCATAAGACTCCTGAACAGCTAATCATGGCTACCCAGACTATTTGCATTGCCCCCCCACCCCACCCCACCCCCTCCCCCTCTTTTACGCTGCTGCTACTCTGTTTATTATCTATGCATAGTCACTTTAACTCTGCCCACATGTCATATTACCTCAATTACCTCGACTAACCGGTGCCCCACACATTGACTCTGTACCGGTACCCCCTGTATATAGCCTCCCTACTGTTACTGCTGCTCTTTAATTATTTGCTATTTTTATTTTTTACTAATCTATTTTTTTCTTAAAACTGCATTGTTGGTTAAGGGCTTGTAAGTAAGCATTTCACTATAAGGTCTACACCTGTTGTATTCGGCGCATGTGGCAAATAATTATCCAGTCACATTCCTTTCCTGTTGGGTATGGCTGTGGATAGTTGGGTGATAGAATCACCCCAGCAGGGCCTGTCACGTTGCCACCGCAGGTAGCTATCACATCAAGGAGAGTGAGGGCAACACACAGGTTTTAATACGACTTGTCTCCATCACATTAACTGTTTATGTTGATTGAAGTGACAAAACAGGCCACCACGCATAGACGTTCAGTGACAAACAGTAGCGATGGAATTCCTCCCTGCCACTGTCATTCAGAAAGGTTATTAGCATCTTTGCTTCTATATTTTTACCATTGTGTGAGGCTTGTTTGAATGTCAATTCAAGTGTGTGCTAAGTAAAATAAGACTCCGTTTGAGTTCCAATCCTGTCAATCACGTACTTGTTTGTAAGCAGTATGAAAAATGTATGCACTCACTAGCTGTAAGTTTCTCTGGATAAGAGCGTCTGCTAAATGACTAAAATGTGAAATGTAAGAGCAACATTTTTCTAATCTTAGTAATCTTCCACCATTACAAATGATTCTGGCTATAAATGGCCTTCCATCAAACAATTATTAGTGGTGTGGTAAACATGCCAAAAGACTAGAAGTGACAAAGCGCACTGTCTGACAAAGGATTGGTTGACAATGGCTGAAAATGCCAATTACATTTCAGTTACTGATGAATCATTCTTCACAGGGGGATTCACACTCTACTGAGACATGGTTTACATTCCTAATGTTACGTTTCATTCTTTCTAATAATAAACATGTCACTCATTCAACATAAAGTAATTAAGCAGACACAAATGAGTGGTGGTTCATAAAACACTGTCTACGTGTATTTTCAGATACAACAAATCCTTCAATGAAAACAACGCAGTGGCCTAGCATACACATCCCAAATCGCCTTCTTGCAGTGGAATAATCGTAAAGGGAACATCTACCTATTGTACAAAGCCTTTGTTGACATCAAGCCATGAAGAGAAATAACAGTGAAGTCATTTCTCCATTACTGTGGAGGTCAAAGCAACATACCTATACAGGTAGGAGGGTCTGGCTGCCAGTAGAACCTGTTGTTGAGCTGTACACAGGTGATCTTGTCCAGGCCCTGGACCTGGTAACCTGGGTCACACTGGAAGGTGATGGTGTCCTCAGGCTCCCGACTATCCCCGTAACGTGTCCCGTTCTGGGGTGTCCCACCCCATCCCCACCCCCTCTTTTACGCTGCTGCTACTCTCTGATTATTATCTATGCATAGTCACTTTAACTCTACCCACATGTACATATTACCTCAATTACCTTGACTAACCGGTGCCCCCGCACATTGACTCTGTACCGGTACCCCCTGTATATAGCCTCCCTACTGTTATTTTATTTTACTGCTGCTCTTTAATTATTTGCTATTTATATTTTTTACTTAACACTTTTTTTTTTTTTTCTTAAAACTGCATTGTTGGTTAAGGGCTTGTCAGTAAGCATTTCACTGTAAGGTCTACACCTGTAGTATTCGGTGCATGTGGCAAATATAATTTGATTTGATTTGATTTAGACTTAAAGGGAGGACAACAACAAGGTACTCTCTCTGTGATAAGCTGTTGGGAATCAGATTTTATAACCGTAGGTAAACTGAAAACCTCTTACCTTTACACGTTGGTAGGACCTTGTCCCATATAGGTTTTCCATCCGGACCGAAAACGCATGTGACTGTGGCTGGTCCAACAGCAGTATAACCTGAGTTACATTGATAGGTCACCGTGGAGCCCAGTTTGTAGTCCATGCCCACGCGACTGCCGTTCATGATATTTCCAGGGTCAAAGCATGCCTCCCTGGGTTTCTCTGTGGAGTAGAGAACGTACACAAGCTTAAGATAAAGTACCGTGCAGGACCATAGACCTTGAGCAGAGAGACTTGATTTCAATACAACACCAAGGAGGAAAATGTCAAACCAAAATGATTTTTGCTAAAGCATTGCAACTTATCCATAAATGCAAAAGAAATTCAGCAGTTGAAAAGCCCAGATATCATGAACAGGCAGGGTATGGTATCCTGGGTTACTGGGTGCATTCAAATAAATCAAATCAAATTTTATTGGTCACATACACATATTTAGCAGATGTTATTGCGGGTGTAGCGATACGCTTGTGTTCCTAGCTCCAACAGTGCAGAAGTATCTAACAATTCACAACAATACACACAAATCTAAAAGTAAAAGAATGGAATTAAGAAATATATAACTGTATGAACATTCCAGGGATTCTCAGAAGCCGCTACTGATGTGTCTCTATGGTGAACCTTCATGTAGGAGGCAGAACACAGGGAGAGGAGAGTACAAAAGAGCAGGTAGAGTTGCTCCAAAGAATCCTCAATAGTAAAGACCAGCACAAGGTAAGCATGTGGGTCTGTAGGAAATAGGGGGGCAGCTAGTGTCCTTATGGGAACAGACACTCGGAGAACGACAGTTGGAAAAGGCTCTGGAGGTGGTGCTTGTATACACTGCCAAACAAGATGACAGCTAACAGCCCACTTCTCTCTGCTGCCTTGTGCTTTGGGGAGCAGTGAAAGTAGGAGGGTAGCGGTGGGAGATTTTATCACTGAAATTGCCATAGTGCATCACAATTTTATCCGCATTCCAATACCCAGAGAGGGAAAATGCTTCTCAACACACAAGGCCAAAGTATACATGCCAATGCCCATAACCTAAAGCTACATTTTGACATGGATTTATGAATACATTAGAAATAAAGCAGTAGAAAACATCATTAAAAATATATGAAGTATATTACAGTAATAAGTATGAAACCAGAAATGGTAATTCCATTATTTTAACCCGCTCTTATCAACATTTAAATGACCTTAGTTAATGGTGCATGGATGGGGGAAAAAACTATGAATATAGGAGATTGATTTACAGAAAAAATAAGTACAGATTATATTTTCAATTAGAGAGAAGAAACATTTGAGTGCTTTTAGCCTCGGGATATGACACATCTTACCGAGTTCCCATGGAAGGTAATTAACTGCTTTTATTGACAAAAGCACAGTGAAATACATGACCAACAAAACAAAACAACAAATTATGTTATTGATTGGTTTGAATAAATCTTCCAAGAAGAACGAGAGGTTGAAAGGGCAAAATACTATACACATCTGTGTTCATGTGTTTTGTGACTTTCATTGATTTGCCGTAACAAATCAAACCAATTATCCAGTTGATCTAGTTCTATCATCAATGCCTTCAATCAAAAGGCATTTAATAAAAAGAAGTAGGTTCGAATACATACTGTTTTTCAGATACTGCATAGCTCTCTGTAGACAACAGACAAAATAAGGACAGCTAGCTGACAGGAAGAAAAACATGCAATAAGGCTTATTATGAAAAAAGATAGTCTATAAAATATATTCTCCAGTTCCTGGAAATCTTTCATCTTAGAAATCTATATCTGTTGAAAACATTTTTATAGAGACATCAACCTTACGATATGGCCAATGCTATACACTTTCAAAGAAACCTAGGGTCACCTCCTGCGAAACTAACATGTTGACAACTTGCCTTTGAATTCAATGGCAAAGCCAGACATCCCGAGGGAGGCGTCACTCCTAAAGGCGAGGAAGAGGCTGTTGCCACTGCTCTCGATGCGCTCCGGGGCCTGATTTCCCTGCAGGCTGCTGATCAATGGACCGTTGGAGTTATCCCCCTCATAGACGTGCAGGAAGTCATAGCTGGGCTCCATGTTGAAACTGGGAGAATGCAATAGAAAACAATGTTTATTAAAGACTGATGCCTGAATCACAGGTTTACATTTATTGGGATGACTCGTGTACTGGAGGCAGCTCTGCAGGGTGGTCACTAGCTGGCACAGCCACAAAGTCATAAAATCTGATTTTAAACCTAACCCTAACCTTAACCACACTGCTAACCTTGTGCCTAACCCTAAGCTAATTTTCGTTTTCATAAATGTTTATGATTTATATAGCCAATTTTGACTTTGCCACTGGCCCATCTAGTGGAAATCCAGGACAAGAGTCATCCCCAAAAACATAAACCTGAGCCTGAATCACACTGTAGGGCCAAACCAGAACCATACTCTGTTGGCTCGGATGCTTCCATTCACATTGTCCTTACTAGCAACTATGGCCAGGCCAGTTCAGCTCGCCTTGGCCCTACAGTGAGAATCAGGCATGTGGGGGCCTGTCTATACTGTCTGTAACTGTCATTAGAGGGATGGTGAGCTAGTAATGTTCAGATTAATCTAAGATCAACTGATAAGAGTTTGTTTGGATTTTTCTCATTTGAACCAATGTAATTCCTGTGGGTTGCGGTGCTTTGTAATTCGAGGAACTATAGTACATTTCATCAAAGCTATTCCATTTATATCTAGGCATATAGTGTAATACAGTAACACACATCGATTTGGATAATATTTGAACAAACGCAAACTATTTCACCTCAAACACAGATGTGTTTGATGTTTGTTTACGGTAATTACCAAACTGACAAAGACAGAGTGGATACGCTCCTTCCATCTGCTCTTTGACCTTGGTACTTATTACCGTAGGTGCCTCGCAGCGTAGTGTGAGTGACATACCTTTTGAAAATTAGGGCTATAACAAAGTCCGGGTTGACTTTAATTCTCCAGTCACATTCCTTTCCTGGTGGGTATGGCTGTGGATAGTTGGGTGATAGAATCACCCCAGCAGGGCCTGTCACGTTGCCACCGCAGGTAGCTATCACATCAAGGAGAGTGAGGGCAACACACAGGTTTAAATACGACTTGTCTCCATCACATTAACTGTTTATGTTGAAGTGACAAAACAGGCCACCACGCATAGACGTTCAGTGACAAACAGTAGCGATGGAATTCCTCCCTGCCACTGTCATTCAGAAAGGTTATTAGCATCTTTGCTTCTATATTTTTACCGTTGTGTGAGACAAGTGTGTGCTAAGCAAAATAAGACTCCTTTTGAGTTCCAATCCTGTCAATCATGTACTTGTTTATAAGAGCAACATTTTTCTAATCTTAGTAATCTTCCACCATTACAAATGATTCTGGCTATAAATGGCCTTCCATCAAACAATTATTAGTGGTGTGGTAAACATGCCAAAAGACTAGAAGTGACAAAGCACACTGTCTGACAAAGGATTGGTTGACAATGGCTGAAAATGCCAATTACATTTCAGTTACTGATGAATCATTCTTCACAGGGGGATTCACACTCTACTGAGACATGGTTTACATTCCTAATGTTACGTTTCATTCTTTCTAATAATAAACATGTCACTCATTCAACATAAAGTAATTAAGCAGACACAAATGAGTGGTGGTTCATAAAACACTGTCTACGTGTATTTTCAGATACCACAAATCCTTCAATGAAAACAACGCAGTGGCCTAGCATACACATCCCAAATCGCCTTCTTGCAGTGGAATAATCATAAAGGGAACATCTACCTATTGTACAAAGCCTTTGTTGACATCAAGCCATGAAGAGAAATAACAGTGAAGTCATTTCTCCATTACTGTGGAGGTCAAAACAACATACCTATACAGGTAGGAGGGTCTGGCTGCCAGTAGAACCTGTTGTTGAGCTGTACACAGGTGATCTTGTCCAGGCCCTGGACCTGGTAACCTGGGTCACACTGGAAGGTGATGGTGTCCCCAGGCTCCCGACTATCCCCGTAACGCGTCCCGTTCTGAGGTGTCCCGGGGTCATTACAGGTCATGGCAGTAGTAGCTGAAATCACACAAATGAATCACTTATAAATATAAACATGAGACAAATGCTGACATTTTGACAACACGCATTTAATTCATACAACTCAATTTTTTTGCTGCCAAATGCTGATTATGATATACGGTAATATAATATTTTATGTGAAATCATTGGACTGGCAGCAAACTGAATTGTGGCGACTACTTGTCTTTGAAATAATATTTCCAGAAAATATTTGCCATTTATATGCAAATGCAATGCTCCATTTCATTTATATTTGCATGAAATATTTATGGTGCAAAAAATAATTTTCGTCATAAGAGTGGTTTATACGCGGACATAAAAGACTTAATAACAAGTTCAAATCGAGGCTGAGAGAGGGAAATATCAAGAAAATACTGTAGCCTTTGTTTGAAAAGTTACTGGTATGAATGTCATATCAGAATTCCTCTGGTCTGTTGTAACAGGTGGAGTGCTACTTACTTGAGAACTGAATGGAGAAGCCTGACTTGCTGATGAAGTAATCACTGTCAAACTGGAGCGTTAAGATGTTGAAGGTGCTGTGGGTGTCATCGGGCAGAGCTGACCCACTCCATTCCTTCAGGAGAATACCCCCCTCTGTTGGACCGTCCCACACTTTCAGGATGTCATGGGCCACTTCCGTGTCAAACACTATGAAGTGGAGGCTAAATAGAAAGAGAGGGAAGTATTAATTATACACTATGCAGCTCGTCAAGAATTAGAACCTTGCATACTATAGTCTGGCCTTACCATTGGTTCACATCTGTGACAAACACCTAAACAGTCAACCACTGACCAAGGGTAGTTACCAACTTGGAATACGAAATCCTCATTGGAGTTCTAGCGAACCAGTCCTCAAGTAATGCCTCAGACCAAGGAAACATCTAGATCAGAACGGTCTTGCTCACCAAACCATTTAAGGAATGTTTTAATTATTTTCAGTGGCAAAGTAGATGGAGGATGAATTCTTTAAAAAGTTCATTAGTCAGCGATGTCAATTGTATCTCTCACCCTTCTTGATCCTTAGATTGCTTGAATTGAATTGGCATATCTAATTTCTATGGCATTTCTAGCGGGCATAATTGGTTTATCTTTGGAGGTTATTGTTTGGTTTTGAAGAAGCGAGTAATGGACCTAAAGGAATAGATGCTAATGGCAAGGAAGGCCTAGCAGTGGGGTGAAATGCAATCAGCAATGGCACATTTAATCACAGCTCATTTTCCAAAAGTACAGCAGAACAATTGCTCCGCTATACTAGGACACGCCTCGCAATAAACTAGCTGATTTCACTTCACATTTAAATGGAGTCAAGGAAAATTGGGCTATTGTGTATCTAATCGCCTTTTCCATTGTGAGATACTGTACCTGATGGTCTTGCCTGTGTCCGCTTCGATGGACCAGGTACAGTGGAGGTTGTTGTCGTAGGGCGCAGGGTAACCCGGGGAGAGTATCCGTCCAGATATTGCACCTGCGATGTGGCCTCCACATTCAGCTAGATGAGGAAACCGAAACATGTATCTTACCATGGTCATCAGAAGCCCTAGTGTTCAGTGTAAATATGTTTGGGCTCATATCATCACAATAGAAATCCAATTAAATAAGCTAACCTGATCTTTGAGGTGTCTTAATCCTGATGAACCTTAGGCTGGCTTATCTCTCTGGCATCAACCAGCCCAATTCATAAACATCCCATAATACATTGCATAACCACACTTGAAAGAACCTAATATGTTCTCTAGCTTCTCCACATACATATGTGTATTATTTTATTCACTGCTGACAACAGAAAAAGAAGAGAGGATATCCCTATTATGTCACTTCCTTCAAAGGAAAGAAAAAATACAATGACGGCCTGAGGCAATGTCATCCATTTTCCATGCTACTTTTCTGCAGTATAGAAATGTGTCTGAACCGAGCTGGGATAATTAAGGAATGAGGCTGAACTGAAGAATGACACTGTAATGTATCAGTTCTCACCAGCACAGAAAGCTCAGTGTCCTACTTAAATTAAGAGAGAGACACACAAGGTATCTACATACATAGCTTTAGGGGTAGTAATATAGCCAGCATTAGGGGATAAATGCTCATAGCTGTTAACTAGTGTAACTATTTCGGTACAGTATAACAACAGTATGACAGGAGGGGGTTTGACTCGTAGTTGGCCTGAGAGAGTAGAACTGGCAGAGATCGTCAGATAATGGAATCAGTAAGATATTAATAACAGTGGGACAGAACGCAGACAACACAACAGAGTCCATATACTTGTTCATAAGAGCAACCTCCTGTAGCTCAGTTGGTAGAGCATGGCGCTTGCAACGCCAGGGTTGTGGGTTCGTTTCCCACGGGGGGCCAATATGAAAAATGTATGCACTCACTAACTGTAAGTCGCTCTGGATAAGAGCGTCTGCTAAATGACTAAAATGCAAATGTAATATATTCAATAGTATGCGTCAGATGAAAATGAATCCTTTGATATGGGCATCTTGAACATTGCTCTGATAATTGATATGTCAATAGAATCTTCCTTAGGAATGGAAATGGTGTGTATTGCCATAGTCAGGGAAAGCTCCCTGATGATTCCTACTACTGTACATCATATCTTATTTCCAAATTCTATCCTGTCTATACACACCACGTATTTATATTCTGGATTCTGACACATGCTCACTCTACTATATCTATCAGGGATGTAGCTCAGTTGGTAGAGCATGGCGTTTGCAACGCCAGGGTTGTGGGTTCAATTCCCACGGGGGGCCAGTATGATTTTTTTTTTTTTTTAATAATGAATGCACTCACTAACTGTAAGTCGCTCTGGATAAGAGCGTCTGCTAAATGACTAAAATGTAAATGTAATCTACTCTGGGTTGTTAATTGGACTCATTCTGTCATTTCTTGATTTCTTGTTTAATATATATATATATTTTTGTGTATTTGTATTGTATTTGTTAGACATTCTACTGCACTGTTGGAGCTAGTAACACAAGCATTGAGCTGCACCTGCTATAACACCTGCAGATCTGTGTACGCGACCAATAAACTCTGATTTGATGGTGAGATTTGTCTATTTTCCGCAATTACTCACTCACCTAGACAGAAAGGCAAAGGTTTGTCCCAAACCCTACGGTCTCCACTTAGGCATGTCAGAGTGCTGCTCCCATGGAGAGTATAGCCAGGGTTACAACTGTACAAAACAAATGTGTTCGCAAAATGGCCGTCATCTTGAATCTTGTATCCGTAATTCGGAGTTCCTGGTTCATCACACTTGACAAGGTCAAAACCTAGAAAGACAGATTTGACGCTTTAGCCCATTCAAACATTAAAAGGACATCTGTCCAGTGCCCACTAAAACATGAATCAAGGAATATCTATATAGGCTGTGTCTCTGGACATAATCTACTCACTGCTGTAGGTCAGTCTGAATCCCTTGTTGGTTTCACTGCCGTTGCTGTTGAACTCAATCCAGAGGTGATTTGAGGTACTGTTGATGATGACATTGTACATGTCAGTTTTGGAGAAATTGCCAAGAAGACGATGTGAAGTATCCTTCCCGTCATACACCTGTTGATGAAAGAACCAGGTTTGTCAAAATACTATTCATATTCAAGGGAATATTCAATAGCGCACTCTACAGTATGCAGCCTCTTGCAGTACAATTCCATGATTTGCTGAGTGGCAGCGTAAGAGTTTTGAGTGAGTAGTTAGCATTCAATCCATCAACAAAAGCATAAAGAGCAGGTAGATACATATTGTACATAAATACTATGAATATATACACAAATTGGAGAATAACTAAAGTGTGGCTTCCAGAGGATAGTGTTCAAGACAAAGGCAGAAACATGTTAAAGCGGGCAACCAGAAGGGTGCCTATTCCAAAGAACATACATTTTTAGACTTACAGTGGACTACACAGAAATATGATACACAGAGATATGAGAATGGCGCCAGAAGGAATGGCACCTGTTTTTCTACGGGCTCCTGACTAATTGTGCTATTTTGTGTATTTTTTGGTGCTGATCTGTCACGACTTCCTCCGAAGCTGCCTCCTCTCCTTGTTCGGGCAGGCTTCGGTGTTCGTCGTCACCGGCCTTCTAGCCACTGCTACTCCTCTTCTCATCATTCCATTTGTTTTGTCTTGTTTTTACACACACCTGGTTCATATCCCCTCATCAGTCCCTGCAAAAGTATTCCCTCTGCCCCCCATGTCTTTGTGTGTGATTGTTTCCATGTGGAGGTGTCGATAGCTCGGTGGAGCATTACAGTTAAAGTCGGAAGTTTACATACACTTAGGTTGGAGTCATTAAAACTCGTTTTTCAAACACTCCACAAATTTCTTGTTAACAAACTATAGTTTTGGCAAGTCGGTTAGGACATCTACTTTGTGCATGACACAAGTAATTTTTACAACAATTGTTTACAGACATATTATTTCACTGTATCACAATTTCAGTGAATCAGAAGTTTACATACACTAAGTTGACTGTGCCTTTAAACAGCTTGGAAAATTCCAGAAAATGATGTCATGGCTTCAGAAGCTTCTGATAGGCTAATTGACATCATTTGAGTCAATTGGAGGTGTACCTGTGGATGTATTTCAAGGCCTACCTTCAAACTCAGTGCCTCTTTGCTTGACAACATGGGAAAAGCAAAATAAATCAGCCAAGACCTCAGAAAAACAATTGTAGACCTCCACAAGTCGAGTTCATCCTTGGGAGCAATTTCCAAACGCCTGAAGGTACCATGTTCATCTGTACAAACAATAGTACGCAAGTATAAACACCATGGGACCACGCAGCCATCATACCGCTCAAGAAGGAGACGCGTTCTGTCTCCTAGAGATGAACGTACTTTGGTACGAAAAGTATAAATCAATCCCAGAACAACAGCAAAGGACCTTGTGAAGATGCTGGAGGAAACAGGTATAAACGTATCTATATCCACAGTAAAACAAGTCCTATATCGACAACCTGAAAGGCCGCTCAGCAAGGAAGAAGCCACTGCTCCAAAACTGCCATAAAAAAGCCAGACTACGGTTTGCAACTGCACATGGGAACAAAGATCGTACTTTTTGGAGAAATATCCTCTGGTCTGATTAAACAAAAATAGAACTGTTTGGCCATAATGACCATCGTTATGTTTGGAGGAAAAAGGGGGTTGCTTGCAAGCCCGAAGAACACCATCCCAACCATGAAGCACGGGGGTGGCAGCATCATGCTGTGGGGGTGCTTTGCTGCAGGAGGGACTGGTGCACTTCACAAAATAGATGGCATCATGAGGAAGGAAAATGATGTGGATATATTGAAGCAACATCTCAAGACATCAGTCAGGAAGTTAAAGCTTGGTCGCAAATGGGTCTTCCAAACGGACAATGACCCCAAGCATACTTCCAAAGTTGTGGCAAAATGGCTTAAGGACAACAAAGTAAAGGTATTGGAGTGGCCATCACAAAGCCCTGACCTCAATCCTATAGAACATTTGTGGGCAGAACTGAAAAAGCATGTGCGAACAAGGAGGCCTACAAACCCGACTCAGTTACACCAGCTCTGTCAGGAGGAATGGGCCAAAATTCACCCAACTTATTATGGAAGCTTGTGGAAGGCTACCTGAAAGGTTTGACCCAAGTTAAACAATTTAAAAGCAATGCTACTGAATACTAATTGAGTGTATGTAAACGTCTGACCCACTGGGAATGTAATGAAATAAATAAAAGCTGACTTAAATCATTCTCTCTACTATTATTCTGACATTTCACATTCTTAAAATAAAGTGGTGATCCTAACTGACATAAGACAGGAAATTTTTACTAGGATTAAATGTCAGGAATTGTGAAAATCTGAGTTTAAATGTATTTGGCTAAGGTGTATGTAATCTTCCGACTTCAACTGTATGTACTTTATCGCCGGGATATTCACCCATGTGTTTTGTTTTCCCCAGTGCGCCGTTAAGTCGCACTGTAGTTGTTTTACGCATTGCTGCGAACCGCTGTATTGGCCGAATAAACCATTATTCTGGGATTTACACCTCCTGCGCCTGACTCTGTCCAAATCATCTTAACTTTTTTTGCACATAGTGTTTCCTCCATCGTTTCCTATGACCAAAAAGAGCTTCTGGACATCAGAACAGCTATCAGTAACCTTGATTTCTACTTTAGTGAGTCTGATTAGACTACAGTGGCAAATTAATAAATCGCCTCTACCCTCTGTTCTATTGGCGAAAGTACAATCACTGGAGAATAAACTGGACGTGCTCCGTTTGTGACTATCCTATTAACGGGACATTAAGAACTGTAATATACTATGCTTCTCGGAGTCATGGCTGAACAAGGATATGGTACCAGTCAAAGGTTTGGACACACCTACTCACTCAAGGGCTTTTCTTTTGTTTTCTACTATTTTCTACATTGTAGAATAATGGTGAAGACATCAAAACTATGAAATAACACATATGGAATCATGTAGTAACCAAAAAAGTGTTAAACAAATCAAAGTAGCCACCCTTTGCCTTGATGACAGCTTTGCACACTCTTGGCATTCTCTCAATAAGCTTCATGAGGAATGCTTTTCGAACAGTCTTGAAAGAAGACTTGGTCCTCTGTAGCTCAGCTGGTAGAGCACGGCGCTTGTAACGCCATGGTAGTGGGTTCCATCCCCGGGACCACCCATACACAAAAATGTATGCACGCATGACTGTAAGTCGCTTTGGATAAAAGCGTCTGCTAAATGGCATATTATTATATAAGGAGTTCCCATATACAGTGGGCAAAAAAAGTATTTAGTCAGCCACCAATTGTGCAAGTTCTCACAATTAAAAAGATGAGAGAGGGCTGTAATTTTCATCATGGGTACACGTCAACTATGAAAGACAAAATTAGGAGAAAAAAACCCAGAAAATCACATTGTAGGATTTGTAATGAATTTATTTGCAAATTATGGTGGAAAATAAGTATTTGGTCAATAACAAAAGTTTCTCAATACTTTGTTATATACCCTTTGTTGGCAATGACACAGGTCAAATGTTTTCTGTAAGTCTTCACAAGGTTTTCACACACTGTTGCTGGTATTTTGGCCCATTCCTCCATGCAGATCTCCTCTAAAGCAGTGATGTTTTGGGGCTGTCGCTGGGCAACACGGACTTTCAACTCCCTCCAAAGATTTTCTATGGGGTTGAGATCTGGAGACTGGCTAGGCCACTCCAGGACCTTGAAATGCTTCTTACAAAGCCACTCCTTCGTTGCCCGGGCGGTGTGTTTGGGATCATTGTCATGCTGAAAGACCCAGCCACGTTTCATCTTCAATGCCCTTGCTGATGGAAGGAGGTTTTCACTCAAAATCTAACGATACATGGCCCCATTCATTCTTTCCTTTACACGGATCAGTCGTCCTGGTCCCTTTGCAGAAAAACAGCCCCAAAGCATGATGTTTCCACCCCCATGCTTCACAGTAGGTATGGTGTTCTTTGGATGCAACTCAGCATTCTTTGTCCTCCAAACACGACGAGTTGAGTTTTTACCAAAAAGTTCTATTTTGGTTTCATCTGACCATATGACATTCTCCCAATCCTCTTCTGGATCATCCAAATGCACTCTAGCAAACTTCAGACGGGCCTGGACATGTACTGGCTTAAGCAGGGGGACACGTCTGGCACTGCAGGATTTGAGTCCCTGGCGTCGTAGTGTGTTACTGATGGTAGGCTTTGTTACTTTCGTCCCAGCTCTCTGCAGGTCATTCACTAGGTCCCCCCGTGTGGTTCTGGGATTTTTGCTCACCGTTCTTGTGATCATTTTGACCCCACGGGGTGAGATCTTGCGTGGAGCCCTAGATCGAGGGAGATTATCAGTGGTCTTGTATGTCTTCCATTTCCTAATAATTGCTCCCACAGTTGATTTCTTCAAACCAAGCTGCTTACCTATTGCAGATTCAGTCTTCCCAGCCTGGTGCAGGTCTACAATTTTGTTTCTGGTGTCATTTGACAGCTCTTTGGTCTTGGCCATAGTGGAGTTTGGAGTGTGACTGTTTGAGGTTGTGGACAGGTGTCTTTTATACTGATAACAAGTTCAAACAGGTGCCATTAATACAGGTAACGAGTGTAGGACAGAAGAGCCTATTAAAGAAGAAGTTACAGGTCTGTGAGAGCCAGAAATCTTGATTTTTTGTAGGTGACCAAATACTTATTTTCCACCATAATTTGCAAAAAAATTCATTAAAAATCCTACAATGTGATTTTCTGGAAAGAAATTCTCAATTTGTCTGTCATAGTTGACGTGTCCCTATGATGAAAATTACAGGCCTCTCTCATCTTTTTAAGTGGGAGAACTTGCACAATTGGTGGCTGACTAAATACTTTTTTCCCCCACTGTATGCTGAGCACTTGTTGGCTGCTTTTCCTTCACTCTGTGGTCCAACTAATCCCAAACCATCTCAATTGGGTTGAGGTCGGGTGATTGTGGAGGCCAGGTCATCTGATGGAACACTCCATCATCCTTCTTGGTCAAATAGCCTTTACACAGCCTGGAGGTGTGTTGGGTCATTGTCCTGTTGAAAAACAAATGATAGTCCCACTAA